CAATATTTCTTTCAATAAACAGATGATTTATCTCTACATCGAAACTGCCTGTTGTGAATACGATAGGCAAAGAGAAGAAAAGAATGATAATACAAGTATTACTAGGCAATGGACTTACAATGAACATTGATTTATATATTTATTTGATAATTTCTCAATAGTATTGTATAGCAAGAATAACACGGCGTTATTTTCTATTTCCGTTTCGGAACCACTTGTTGTTGTTGTTTCTTTCAGAATGAAAAAGAAGATCGAGCATCATGCGTGGTTAATTCCATTATTGCAGCGTTTAATTCTCGTTTATTGTCATTTACTCGTAGTAAATATTCATTTTCATTCGATCTTATTCGTCTTTTTCTTTTTCTTTTTCTATAATCTATTTTATAAATTTCTCGATAAAAAGATATGCTCATTGATACACTTTTATCATTTAAGAAAGCAAGCCGATTAACAAGTTAAGCTTATCAGAACAAAAAAAAAGAAACACAACCTATGAGATAATCACTAGTAGAAAGAAAGATGAGATCAAGATCGTAGCTCTATTCGGAATTGTTTTAGAATGCAAAACTAAATATCATATATAGTTAAATAAGAATTTTCTTTATAATTACGTCTAACGACTTAGTTCTTCTTCGAGAATTATATCGAATGTCTATCTAAAGATAAAAAAAACATGACACGCTAACCTTCTATCGTCTCCAAACAAACATTCGTGATGATTATCACAATAGTTCAACGGATAAAAATTCTTTCTAATTGCAAATCATATTAGGAAAATAAATAAATAAAAAGAGAAACCTTTTCCTGCTATTTTAAAACGAAAGCGAGAATGAAAGGTTATTTGTGTAGGTAGAAAAGTCATTGCCATATTTTTATGATTCTCTATAAAAGTATGTTTTCTGGTTTATTTACTGTCCAATTTTAAAACATCCGTTGTCATAGAGAAAAGAAAACTGATAGAACGTTGGAGACACACGTGATATTTTTAGAAACAACTGTCTGATTGTTCAAAATAGATTGACTACATCGAAATGATGACGACAACACAATGTCAAACATGAATGAATGTAAATATATATATATATATATATTTCTTGAGCATGAAGATTAAATAATTAAAACTAAATTATACTTCAAACGTAAATTCTAAAAAGATGACACTGCTAATGTTTATGAGTTTACAGGGAAACCTTTGAAAAAGAAAGCTATTATTAATCGTATACAATTACCATCGTTGACAATGGCAAAAAAATGATTATTTTCTTTGTTTTTTTCTTGATTTTGAATAGAAATATAATGTACTAGCGATACAAAAAAACGGTTTTTTTCTTCATATTAATGATGCTCAGCTTATATACAGTGGAGTGCAACATTTCTTGCCCAGGCTATAGTCTAGCTTTCTCTTAGCGTAACGTTGGAAATCCATGAGAGATTTTTTTTGAGCGGTTCCTAGAAATAATGAGGAGGTCAATGTGACGTTGTTTAAATCGAAGATCGTCCGTCAAAGACGTGAAATCATGAGAAACACACCCTGCAATAAAACACTGTGCAGCCGAACTGAACCAATAATCTCATTTACACTGTTGGCATGAAAGATCATCAGTATCTCACAGAAAACGATGTTGGGAACAAGTTTTTCATTTAAAATTTCAGATGAAATGCGTGAAAGATATACGAACAAACACAATGGAATACAATTGCTATTTAAGTATACTGCGATGATGTCAATGCTTACTAGTACATATAGCGGTTTTGGAAAATTTCGTGAGATCATCAAAGCAGGACCAACAGCTAGTCATTCAACGGTGATATTTAATAATCTTGAATCTCTCGATTTTCCAAAACTGCATCGATGGCTTATGATGAACGTCAAAAGGCTTAGTGACAAGTGAAAAACTTCTGAGCAAGAAACCATCAGAAAAACTTGAACAGCTTCCTACCGCGCTCGTCGTGTCTCCAGTAGAAAACCTTCCATTCATCATTAAAATTAGTTTAGAGACGAAGGAGCACTGAAATATCGATCAGTAGCGCAGATTTTCCATGAAATGAAAAAATAATAGCTACTTTAAGTATTCTTAATTATTCTGTAAGAGTGATAAAATGGTGCTCCTCGAGTCTTATTCAACTAAAAACCGATGTGATCATCGGCTCGGTGTTGTATCTTTGAAACTTGCTCTTTACTCTATTTAGAAATATATTTGCTTTACTTACTGATTGTTCTTCTGCCGCGGGACACAACTAACTTTGGAGGCAAGAAATTTTGCACTCTACTGTATATATATATATGCAGCTACGTTCAAGCATCTATATCAAAACACGCACAAGTATAATCATGATCAATAGCGAAGCATTATCATTAATGAACTATCGCGTTGTCTATCGGGAAAATCTGTGTTTCATATTCCTATGAATTGCTTGTTCCTGTTTCTTTTTATATAGTAGAATAAAATTTCTATGGGCCGTGCCATTTCGTCTAGTGAATATCTATCAATATTTTCTTGGAATAATTTTCCGATATAAAATAATGAGTTCCCGTGAGGCTGTCAGAAGAAAAAAAGAAGAAAACCGTTTCCAGCTTTTTAATAAGTGGTCCATAATGATGATGACAAAGAAATGTCAGATGAATGATTACTTTTTTGACTTTCTCGCTAATAAAAAAATATATGACCTGTCCAATGTTTCAACAGAAACATTTATATGTTTAATCAAAACAACATAAAATCCGCAAAACGTCCATAATTTCGAGACGAATGCATTCCGAATACACCTAGAAACATATTCCATATGGTCTATCGTACTAATTACTTTCAAATAAATGAAAAAACTGTGTAAAACTTAACTGCACTGAAGTCAATAGCAACCGTGCATAATTTATATCACAAATTTATGTATGAATATTTTATGCCAAAAGAATTCTTTCCAATCAAATCATTTCGTTTTCTTTTTTTTTTAAACCTTCTAATCGTTAGTGATAACGTTATTGTTAACAACAGAATACTATCAATGGCAAGAAAGTATCAGATACGTACAAGTAAATGCTTGAAGCAACAGAGTTTTTAAGGCATGATGGATCTCTACTTCAACGTAATTTCTACTGGCATCATCAATCTGTATTTGTCTATCACGAATAGAAGTAAAAAAAAAACAAGAAACAATTTTCTGTTGACATATCGTCTTCAGTTGAAATATTTGCTGATTCAGAGCTCTGAGTTACCAACATTCCGGCAACACATCAAAATAAACCTATGAAAAATGACTCCATTTAGAGTAAAATACTTTGTTGCCTATAATATGTCCTGAAAACTGACAGCATGTCAAAATGAGGATCAATAAAGTACGAATTAATATTTGAAAAAAATATGTATAGTTTTTTTGCTTGGCTCAGCGAACTAATATGTGTTATATATAATTTCAACATTAAAATTTGGAAATTCTAGGAAATCAATTTAAATTAATCAAGATTATTGTGTCTCCATATAGTACGTGTTAGTGCATAATTCGAATTGAATTTTAGCTGGAGAGTTAGTGTTTAATTTCTTTGTTAATTAGCTGTTTTGTCTAGGCCTGTAAGAGTAGAAAATCATTTTGAGATTTATTTGACATACTTAAGTTCTTGAAAAATTATAAGAACCATCTCCTTCGCCTCTGAATACCAATCTTCCAACTGTGATCTCTATAGCTAGTTAGTTTTTTTTAGTACTTGTATCCATAATAATATTTAAATTCAATTTACGTGATGTTTGACTTCCGTCAACATAACAACATGCCAGTATTAGTTAGAAAGAAAAACTTCAGAAGCAGCCAATAGAGAAGAGTAGTCTGTTGAAAAATGCATTTGTTCACCGATCACATAATATTCAATTACAACAGAGCTCTTTTCTAACATTACCTTGATCACAAGATGCCATTGATATCTTGCAAATTTGTAAGAGTACCACATGAAAATACCTGTTTAAAATGAAAATGTACTTAGCAATGGAAAAAAAGTGAATTTTGTTTATTAATGCAAAGGCTAGTTGGCTTTTTTAAGCGCTCAAAAATATTTTAATGACAAAAAAAAAGCGCATTAACGATTAAAGAAAACATATCTTCAGGTAGTATACGTCGAAATTTAGTTTATGATGCACTCTGTCTGATCCTGAAAACGTATTTTTTATTAGGAAAATATCTAACCGTGATGTTTGAGGCGGAAATAAATAGGACCATTGAGTGTATATATTTTTCAGGTGTTGCTTCTTTGTTAACAGCTGTATTTATTCAAGTTCGCTTAAGATTAATATTCATGTAAGTGTTTTTAGATTAGATTGCATAGTGAACAAATTCCGTCTAGACTATTGACATCCTAATATTAACAACTGGCTTGATCAAAATGAATAGAACAATATTATCAAAGAATAGTCAAAGTATCCGGTGAAAGAACTTCTTGTAACTTTTGAACAGTTGGCACAAATGGAAGACCTTGAATTTTGCTTCTGTATCGAAAGCTTTAAAAAAGAAATATGAATATGTTTTTTATCATTATCTTTCAAAATATTTGTTTTTGAGTTATCTTTTTTTAAACCTATCTGATTTATCAACGTTAAACCATGGCCTAACTATAATAACAGTGAATGTTCACCCAGTGTATCATTCATCGTCAATTGACTTTTTTTCTCGTCACAATCAATTTTATATTAGAATAAAATTTTAAAAAATGAACAAATTTATTTATTAATTGAACCACTTCGTTAAATATATATATATATAAAGTTCAAAAAAAAATTGTTTAATAAACAATTGTTTATGGCTAATCAATACTAATATATCACTTGTACTATTGTTAGCATTTGTTCTTACTGAAGTGTGCATATCAAGTGATTCACTTGACACATAATATGGTTTTTGTTTGTTTAGGTAATTGATCTATACGGATAAAATGAGTGTTCTCTTTAAAAAAAAATAAGTTCATTAACAATTGTAAATAAGAACTTGATCCTAAGTATCTATTAATTGATTACACTTTACATCCACAATAAAAATCGATTTGTTTGTTCTTTGAACTCGGCATCAAATATGTTTTCGCTTGTCAAATGAGTATTATTAATTAACCATTGCCGAGCGTTCGATTTTAATTCATGACTTGATGATTGTCCTTCAACAACAAGTGATATCAATTGTGATTGTTCCTTAAATGCATTTAGAATTGAAATTGTAATTGATTCGATCGGTATTCCATTAGTGACATCGATCTGTAAGTGGCGAAGACGTGTAAATATAGTTCTCAAATGAGGAACAAATTGTTCAGTTAATTGAGTCGGTGCTGCTGGAGCTGAACGAAGTATAAGTAAATGAAAAATACGGTTTTCTAAAATTTGACATGTATCTTTATCATCAAGTATTGGAAATAGATTGTCAAATGCAATAAATAATTCAGATAAATTTGGTGCAATTTGAAGAATTGCTTTTAATGCATTGTATTCTCTCGATGAATGTAGTAACCAAATACGCTTTAAATAGAATAAATTTGGAAGCGGTAGAAGTGGTTGTGAAACTAAACATGAGAAAAATTTAAGAAAAAAAAAGTTTTTTCTGGCATACATCATGATTTGTAAATTGTTGGTGGTTGAACTATTTCTATCAAAGAATGATCTATTATTAGAATCTTGTTAAAAGTAATTTTCAACTATTACTATTACCATACTAGATAGATTAAGTCAATTTGACATATATAATAATGAATACTGGAGCATTCTTTCTTTCCGTCATTGAATTTATACTTTCGGAAAAATTTCAACTGAATATTTTCAACAATATAAGAAATAGCAAACGGAATATAATAACATACAAATATCTGCAGGATCTATTCGTTGACTTCAAAAATATGTTACACTACGGTTGAGCTGTCATAATATAGAAAAGCTGACTTTTTTTTTTATAGAGAATGACTTCTATATAATTCAACACGTTTTCAATCCATGAAGTTATTTTTCATACCTGATAGGATTTCATCGTTTTTTTCATATGATTGAATTGCAATTTCTTTTATTTGGCGGCAACGTGCAACAATGGGAAATGTTTCAGCTAAATCCATTCCATGATAATCATAAAACATTTCAACATTTTCATAGTTTTCATATGAAGACATTTGTTTTGCCATAGGAGCTGAGATATTCAATAAAGGAAATCGATATGGCATTGTATGTAAAAATGCTTGCTGTATATTTTCATCAATTAAACAAATCATGAGAAAGTCAGATGCTACTAAAGCATTTTGATCAATTTCTTCAAGTTCATCATAGAAATAGCGAAGTCCAAAATTAAATTGTCGTATAGATTGTGGTAAAATGTGAATAAGTTTTTGTTCACTATTAACAAAACTGACATCTTGTGAAGATAATTGTAATGATAAATATTCAATTACTGGTGTTTTACTAAATAGTGATTGAAGTGCTTCTAATGACCAAAAATGATCATAGCAACGAAGAAAAAAGTCATTGAGAAATGTTAATGGTGACAGATGATCGAACGATGCGTCCATCGTAGTGATTTCATCAACGGTTACATTTAATCTACGAATATTGGGAATACACGAAAGCAGTTGAGATAATTTATCAAGTTTTCGTATTGATATAGTTAGATCAAGAATATTCGAACATAATGATGTTGGTAAATCTGAATAACTTGTTTTAAATTTGATTGAAGTAAAACGTTTGTTATTTGTTTCGACAACATGTTGCAGTAGATTTGATTGATCCGTGAGAAGATCAAATATCTCAATTTGATTAAGATTATTAAGATTATTTAATGTATCAAGAAATCTATCTAATTCATCAGCAGTAAAACAAATAAGTATCAATTTTTGAAGATTCGGAAATATTTTGGAGATTTCATGTGAAAAATATTGTGAAAATATTTTACCCTGTAATACAGATCGACAGTTGCTTATTAATAATGAATGTATATGATGGCCTATTTCTGGTAAAACTAAACGACACAGATAATGACATTGATTACATGTGATATCAGTTAATGAAACATGACAGCAATAACCTATTATACATTTATTAAGACGTTTGTTTAATCCATAGAATGAATAGAGTATATGAGCATTCAATAAATATTTATATATTTCTAATAGGACCTCATCAGGAAGCATAAGTAAATCAGACACACGTGTAACCATCTAGAAACAAAAAAATAAATGACTGACATAGAAATTTTAATTTATCATAAAATTGCCGGTGAACAGGGAAACAATGTAAAATAATTGTATCTATAGGTGGCGAGAAAAATTAAAAGATTACGCAACAAAATATTTGATGAATCGATAGAATCAACATCGTAAATTTCTTGTAAGCAACAGATAATAGTTTACTAATATGTGCTTTTAGAGCATAAATGAGTATTCAGAAACCATACATTCGGAACTAACCTTGAAGAGGACAGCATTTTCACTGCATCTTATGCTAGTTATCCAAATAGAAGTGATTTTGTGTGGTTCCACCAAGAGAAAATATGCATACTGTTGTTCTGTAGGATTACTTTTTTTTAATCACTAACAGTGCAAATATATATAAAAGATAGAGTATGATTTCTAGATATGGATTAACATATCCAAAATCATTTCATAAGATTTCGAAGATAAATTTTTATAAACATATTCTTTTGTTGAGATTTGCTTTTTATCGAACTATCATAATAAATATTTCTATTTCATTGTTTTTTTTTGCCCATGAAAATATAATACGATAAATAAAGCATCGTACACTTATAGGATTTGAAGGTAATTATATAATTTACTCAATTTTTATAGATCTCAAAACGATCAACATGAAAAATAATATCGGTTTCTATTTAAATTCTCAGAATATGATAGTATTTTTAAAAACAATCATACAAATACGAAGAAGAACCAACGCTATCATTCGTCACTTTAAACATAAGAAAATATTTTCTATTATTATCAAAAAATCATTTAAACATGAAATAAACAGTGCACTACTGACTCACGAAAGAAAGAAACCAATATCAATTTCTTCAAATGATTAATTGCAAGTGACATGTTTCGAGAATGTCAAATGTTAAAAAAGTCAGCTAGTCGAAAACTCTATTTGATTTTACATACTGAAAACAATTAATATCGTGATCATATACTTTTCCTAACTAAAATCTGGTATTAATATAATACATATACTTTACTTTCTCCAAGTAAATTCAATCTGTTTCTACTCTATAATTTATCAAAAAAACGTACAGAAATATACTTCAAAGAAAAATAGTTTATATAGTTTACTAAATTAATTATTATGAAACAATTTTCAAGATGATACAAGTGAAAGAACCAACCTAATACTACGATTTCGTCGAAGTATTTTCTATTGCTCAAAAATTTGATCAATCATCGAAATGATTCCTAATAATAGTTTTGTCTATTTTTAACATTATTATTTCATGTTAATGTGAAAAATGATTCTTGATTATTATTAACGTTTGTGGTTGAAGTAGCGCAAAGAAAATTTACATAGATGGCGCCGATCATCAGTTTCTTTGAAAAAGACCCACAGGATTCTACGTCACGTTGCCAAAGAACTGAGTGAATTAGAGTAGATTTAGTGTTTTGATCATTTTAACAATATATTATATCAATATTTTAATAAAATGATAACTATGATATTCGATAAAATATCATCGATATTTTCTTGAGATTAAATGAAAATACGAGAGAAAATAATCAAACACGAAGCGTTCACTATGTTAATCTCAAGGTGAAATCGAGCCGATCAAATATATGATAGTTTGTTTTCAATAGAAACAACTCGTCATTCAATCCATTTATAACACACTATTGTGACATATGTTAGACGAGTCGATACCTTGAATTTTAGACATGTGTTGATATAATCTTAGTTATCAATGATATTGTCCTAAAGAAAATATTTAAATTTATAAGTCGACTATAAACTTTCTATAAAATTTTCAGTCATATGCTTGACAGAAAAATTGAACTCATTCAATCACTCAATTATACATGCATCTTATATGTATATAAATATAAATTCAATATATGTTAAATCATTCAACGACTGTCTGTTATCTTCATTTTTTTAACTCTTTACGAGAACAGGTGATTTTAATATGACTGCATAAATTAAAATAAAATTATCATCGATCGAAAATTGAAAATATGGAAATAGTAATAGTTATTATAAAGAAAGAAACGAATCACACACGAATTATGATCATGCGAAATTTATGTGAATATATATATATAAATTATTTATCAACTAATAGTTTTCAAGATTTTCTAAGCGATATTCTTTTCCGAAAAACTCAACAAATATAGATAGAAGTTCAGTGTGAATAATTGTGATGAGAACCGAACTAAATAAATAGAGAACGATCATCCTCTAAATTCCGTGTCATTATATTGCAAAAGAATAACAACTGAACAAGTAGTCAAACAGATGATCGAGAAAAGCGCTAAGAAAATAAACATTTATAAAATAGTTTCAATCGTACTCCTTTGACATTCATGCATTTTAATAACTGGATAAAGCTTTCTATCATAAATCAACTAAAAGTTACTCCGTTTTAATTATCATCCATGTACATTTGCTCATTGATATATTATCTTATCCCTTATGAATTTAATCTTCGAATGAACTCTATTTTGGACATCAATTCACAATAAAACAAAAAGAAAAAGAAGTCATGTAATATTATGGTCAATAGTAAGCACTCTAACTAAATTGGCTAATCCTGACCTTTCTTCTCTCTAACTAACAAGCTTCTCATAATCATCATTCCGAGACGTACATATATACATGCATGTATATGTATCAATGTTCAATATGGTTCACCCATGCAACGGACAGACTTCTCTTAATGCGCAACAAAAAACAAACAGTACATACAACGAAAGATTGTCCTAAAACGATGCTTACCATTTCATTTTGAATTATGAACAGATGGATCTTATTAGAACACAAAACTCCTTTGCATGACTAAACATCAGACGACATTGAATGACGTAAAATTAAACATGTTCAATATCGTTTTATCTTTAAATGAGTGTTACGGCACGTCCTTATTGACCAAGATGATGTCATCATAGATGAATCTCATTTTTCATTTGCCTATTTTATTTATTTTCAATAACACACACACGCACATGTGGAAAACAGGAAATGATGCAAAAAAAACGAAACAGGATAATATGACAATATTTATTATGTAGATACAAGAGACAAACATAAGCCTCATTATGGCATGGACAATTTGAATTCACGGCAAGAAAATGAAAAAAGAAAAGAAAATTTTCTACTACAAGAAGCAAAAAGAAAAAAATTTGAAAAAGAAGAACAACTCGCAAAAATTTCTCTAGATTATGTTGACGAATTCGATAAATCTGCTGAACCATATATTTGACAGCGAAGTTGAACATTTTCTTGTTTTAAATGCGCATTTTCAAGTCGAAGTTTAAGGTTCTCTTGTTCGAGCCAAGCCGCTCTAAAAAAAATAACAAAAGGATATTTTTAATCAACCCAATCGATGTTTTTCTTTTAGTTTATTTATTCTCTTACCGAAGAGCTATTTCATCTTCTTTTGCACGTCGTGCATCACGACTACGTTTTGCAGCTTCGTTATTTTTTCTTCTTCGCTCCCAATAAGCATCATCTTTTGAATCTGTTTCTTGATTAGTCGGTTGACTTGAAACTGACGATGAAATTTCTGGTGGTGGTGTATTTGGTCTATAGCGTTTTTTAGGTGGAATATTATTTGTTGTTGATGATGGACTGAGAATTTTTTCTTGTTGTTCAATAGCATTTTTTATTGGAGAGTCTTGTGAACGATTCAATAGCCGTTCTTGTGCTTGTTGAATACGTTTTCGAAATTGTTTAGAAAAATCATCAGTTGACGATGCTAATACATTCAATAGATTATCAGATGATGGAACTAGTGGAGAATAAAAGCCAAGCGGTAATGATAATGGATCACGTGGGTATGCTTTGAATGGACGCGTGGGTTTACCGTGTTTATTACGAAGTAAAAGTGATGGTAACATTGACATGGAGGATTGGACTAATGAAGAAGATTGTTTCGAGTGCTAAATTATCAAAGAATGTTTTCAATTGTGATCTTAACTTCAAAAAAAAACAAAAAAGATTCTTTTACCATATCTAAATCATCTTCTTCATCATCATTATCATCATCGTCTTGGATTTCTTTTTTAATATTATTTGATGCTGTTGAAAAATCAATTGGTCCAGTTTGTTGCTGTTGCTGCTGTTGATGTTGTTTCTGTAATGATTCTGCTAGATATTTGAATAATAATTGTTGTTGATCATCATGAGTATTTTCTTCATTTGATGATTGATCATGTTCATCATGATGATGATGATGATGTATTTGTTCCATTTGATCAGCTATATCAGCCAAAAAATGAAGCTGTGGGGCGATCTAGAGTTAAGAAAAACAATATATACATACATATGATCAAACATTGATTTCTTTGTACTTAAAAAATAAAGTGAGCAAGAACAAGAGAGAATGCATGTGTCATCAGAGAACAAACTGATCATTATCCGAGAACGGTGCAAGGAATTGACATACATTAATTGAACACTCCAATGATGACGTCAGTGTTTCATATATACTAACTCGAAGTTTTTAATTATACTAGAAAATTCAGAGATCACGATGAAAAATACTAGAATTTACTAATGATTGAGTGCAGATCCTTTAGATTTGAAATAATGTTTTCTCGCTTAAATAAAATCATAGAAGTGGTAAGGAATCTAACAACTTATGAATTGGATCGGAAAATAAGGACGAAAGTTGTTTTTTCCAAATAACTCACCATCAACAATTCAACTTGACCATTGATCACCGAATGTACACATATTATTTCTCTCTGTCTATGTAAGTGTCTCTCTCTCTCTCTCTCTCTTTTATTTCCTTTTCGTATCAAATATTTGCTCATATTGTTCATGGAATGCACTTTCATTTTTTTCTTTGCCATTGGCTTAGCCGCTATCAAATCTAATATACTCACCATCACGTCTGATTGCGTTCAATGTTGAATAATCACCTGCGGCGGTAAGGAAAAGAACGAGAAATGTAGCCTGTTGGTTATATATATATATATATATATTTTTTTTTTTTTCTTTTTTGAAAACGAAATACAGATTGCGCAAGGTCGTTCTAACGGCTCTCTTCCGTGTGAGCGATAAAGCAAAAGATTGTTGACCCCTGTCGATTATGAGGATGAATAGTGAGGTCAGTGAAAAAGAAGAAAAATATTTGACCATCAGTTTGCTCACATACTCAAGGTCATACTCTATGTATGAACGAAAAGAAAAAGCAGAAGAAGAAGGAAAGAGAATTAAATAACAACGTTCAACATGCACAAGCGAACACAGTTTGAGCTCTTTGGTGATCGATGTGAATGAAAAAAGAACGAATACCGCATAGTAGAAAAGAAGATTGGATCGTCATTGTGTACACATAGGCCATTGGCCACTCAATATAGATTAATTACTTATAGTGTGAGAAAAATATCTTATTGTTACGATGAGAAAAGAAGTTTTAGTTATTTTGACAATTTAAACTGATCAAAATGAATATCATCTAATATATGGTACTGTATTTTAACTGGAAAAGAAATTATTTGAAATCAAACGAAATCGTATAAATTTGATATCGATCATGATAGCTTTAGTCAAAAAATATAAATCTAAGAAAGAAGTATAATTAACTTATCAGTGAATTGACGAAGAACAGTGAAATATATTTGTCTTTTCATGCAAAAATAATCTTGATCTTTGCGTCGAGACTTATCTTTGGACTTTTACGATTTTTTAACAGTTAATGACTTTCTTCACGGATAATCAGTGATGTTTTCCTGAAATTTCTATTTCAATATTGTTTTCTCTTCACAAATATTTAACATTTACAAGTAGATCGACTCAATTCTCTTAATTTTCCATCATTATCATGTGTTATATGATACAATAATATAATGATCATTGAACAACATGATGTGACCTTGTCACACGTTCATGTGAAGAGAGATATTAAATTGCAAGTTTATTTCTCATGGCCAATCAATTTTGATGTCAAAAATCGACCAATCAATGTCTTCTAGATGATTTCCATCTTGAAAAATTGCATTTCATTTTAGCGGATGTTTGCTTCTATAATTATATGTGTTGCAATCTGTTTAGGTAATCTTTGCAGCATTGAAAAAAATAAAAATATGTATTTAAAAACAGATGTCTAGCGGAAATGAATATAAAAAGAATTAAAATGCGATGACTAAAATGATTAATTACGATGTGTTTAAATAATCATAACGATGATGATGATCATGACGTGAAACATCATGCAAGATATAATATAATACTTTGACTCGAACATATGGAAATAATGAGATTGAACAAAGGAAAAAAAAGAATTTGTCAAAATATCGATATAATAAAAAATAAGAGTTTGTTTGTTTGTTTGTATATAATGGGATATAAAAATTGTTTTTTTTATTTTCTTTTTTATGCATACATATAATCTCTCTCGAGGCAATCATGATACATACATATATCTAAAGCGCGCGAGAGAGAATATCTTTGATCTTGGTATTTCAGTTGCGTGAACTATTGAATAAGATTGGTTTAGAACGTTTTTGTGTGTAAGTTCAATGAGAGAAAAAAATGATTTAAGAAACAACAAACTATTGAATATTTTTGCATCAATAGTCAATTTTGATACGCTAATGCATGTAAAATAGCGATGCTATCAGAAAATTGCATTGATTATAGTTTCATTTTTAGCTTTCTACTTGAACTTATTTGATAATTCACACATTTTAAGCTTATTAAAATGCATTATGCATAAATTTTTTCAAGGTCATTATCGAATTATAAAAATATGAAAAATTTCGTTTATAATCATGACTGTTTACGTGAATGAAGACAGAGAAGATAGAGCAATTCCTTTTAATCCTGAATAATTTAATCCTTTTTTTTCGAAACCAAAATATGTTCTTTACGATTTTTTTATGATTTTCACTTAAATATTCTGTTTCTTGCATAGTTTACTAATCATAACATCATGCTGGCATAAATATTTCATATATGACTTGGATAGAAGTGAATAATATTCAGATTGTCAAACTCTACGACACATATATATATATATTCATTTGAGATTAATACTATTTACTGCGGCTGCTAGTAATACAAATGTATAGTTCATATACTTACTGTGAAGTGTAACTCATCAATAGTATTGATATTTTATGCATAAGCTGACCTCGATAAATTTCGCAGAAGCTGATAAAAGTTTGTCCTCATACTGTTCTGTTGTGAACTTATTGCAATTTTACTGTAAGTTTCTTTTCTGCTGTTATAATATATTAAAAGAAAATGAATTCAAGAACTTATAAACCGAGACTTTTTTCTAAAGAGTGAACTTCATAAGATGGCTTTATTGCAAAAAAATGTTTACATGACTTTGCTCATACAATTTTTTGAAAATATTTCATAGCAGAGAGATGAAATTTAGCACACTCGTAATAACGTGAGATAGACAGAAAGTGGAGACGAAAGTTAATTAGTCTTCTACTCATTTCTTTACGACCCAATTAGATACTGAATATCAATTTAATTAGCTAGTTAAACTTGCAAATCTTGTCTCATTAATAAAAAAAAACAGTCAACAACATTTTCGATCAAGATATTATTAAGAAGTTGTATATTGTATCTATAAATTAATACTCTAATAATAATGAAGACAAAAGTTTTCTCATCAAGTCGATAATTGTTCAAAAAATAAGGCATCTCATTCTTTGATGATCCAAGAGTACTCGAATGGCATCCACTCAAAGTTCGAATAAATATTCTGAAGCAATTAGGCATGTCTATTATGTTAGTGTGCATACCGCACATGAGCAGCTTATTTAACAGATACAAAAAAACAAACAGCTATAAATAGAACAATGTTACAATTTACTGTCTAAAATATCCAAGGCAACGTTGATTTTCCCAGAGAAAAAATAATTTGCTTTCTCTATTATATTAAAAATACGGTTCAATATAGAAGGACAATATCCTTCATAATTATTACCTGTTTGGCCACATTAATCCTCATACTAATGAACATAAATTAGTAAAGAAAGAAAAAGCGAATCATACATTCTTGTCAACCAAACATATCTCATGTTATGAGTATTTCTATTCTGCACTAGAATGAAGATCTATTATTTCTTTTTTCTTGTCCATAATAAAATTCAATTCGTATCTTTATTTCGAAAAAAGAGAGAAAACTTTGTCTATTAGAATATGACAATAAAAGAAAAACAGCCCTCGCCGGTACATACAAATAGGCATTCAATGAGATTGATTTTTTTTGTATACAATGCAATATAATAAACAAATGAAATATGACACAATAACATAGACAAATATAAAGCTGATTCTAGTCAATTTTAAACAAAACAAACCCCAAACACACAAAAAAGAGAGTAGGAAAAGTACCTTATATTGCGTAGAAAAACACAAAGAAAACAAAAGGCTAAAACACAAACAATATTACGAAATGTTATAATAAAGTATATCGTTACGTATAGAACAAACATAGGCATGGCCACTGATACACGGCACAATAGAAAAAAAGAAGCGTCATTGGTAATGCTAAATACAACAAATAATTTCGAAAAAAAAGACAATATGAAGCAGTTAAATCAGTCCAATATTGAAGATATTTAAATACATCCGAGGAGCTCGACTCTCATTAGTATTCGAAGACTGCTTAGCAGAGATAAAGAAAAACAAGCAAGAAATCGAACAACTCGATGAATATGAAATCATTGAATACTTAAAAAAAAAAACGAAAATCATCACCGAGTCTAACATGAGAGAAAGGGATACACACATTAACATCTTTCTCTCTCTCTCTCTCTCTCCCTCTATATATATATATATATATATACGTATATGACTATGAGGACGCATGAATCATACATCGCAATTTAGCCGTTTCCTGTTTTAATTGTGATAGTTCAAGACGTAGTTTGATATTTTCTTGCTCCAATATAGCCGCTCTAAATATATATTTATGGAGTTAACTGATTGTTTTTTGTTGTTTTTCGTAAAACAAATATTTACCTTAAAGCAATTTCATCTTCTTTTGCACGTCGTGCATCACGACTACGTTTAGCAGCTTCATTGTTTTTTCTTCGTCGCTCCCAGTAAGTATCATCTTTGATTCCATTATTTGTTTCATCATCATCATCATCATCATCATCATCATCATCATGTTCTTTAGTTATAATTTTATCATCATTTATTATTGGATTTTCCATGACACGATGTCGTTTTTTTGGTGGTTGTAATATTTGTGTACCGGATGATGATATAAAATGTGTTGTACTTAATAATTGCTGCTGCTGCTGCTGTTGTTGTAAACGTTGCTTAAGACGTTCTTGTGTTTGAGCAAGTCGTTTTCGATTAACTGTTGCACGACTAGCTGCTTCAGCAAGAATATTTGTTTGTTCCGATGTTGCACTAGGGCAAAATCCAAGTGGTAACATTAATGATTCACGTGGATAAGCTTTAAATGGTCTTGTTGGTTTACCATTTTTATTTGTTAATAAAAATGGAAAATTATTTGTCGATTGAAGATTTTGTAGCATTGTTGAAAGAAGTTGCTGTTGATTTGGTAGTGCTGATAATGATGCTGGTGATGACCATTCATTCATGTCATCTGTTGAACGGTGAGAAGAAAAATCAATAGGACTCTCAGCTGTTGATGATGCCGATGATGTTGATGGTGGAGAGATCGGTTCGAGTTTTTTTTGAACTTGCCGTTGTGCTGCAGTCGCAGCAGCCATCACTGCAGCAACATTTTGTTGGGCAAATAATTGCATTAACAATTCTTGTTGTTGTGATGATGATGTCATGGAAAGAGAGTCGATCGGCATTTGATGTCGTCTTTTAGGGACAGTCGTTGTTGTTACAGTAAGTGATTTTTGTGAAGATTCGCTTTCTACTTTTTCAACGGCTTGAGCTAGTAATTGAAGCCGATAATGTTGTTGTTGTTGAGTATTATCTCGGTTAGGACGCAGCGATGATTCTTCGTTGTTTACTGCATCAACCTGAAACGAAAAAGAGAAAAGATGTCTTGTCTACGTAAAACGCATATCTACAGTTATTACATCATAAGTTTCTTTCTTCTATGCTTTTGATTAGATATTACTCATAATCAACTACTCGATATTTTAATTAGGTCATCTTGACATTAGGAACTTACCATTCTCTAATTATCGATGATATTTGGAATTAGTTTTGTTATTATTAACTTTACCGGGAATACTCGTTATTGTCGCCCAACAACAACAACACTATCAATCCACAAAAAACGACCTTGTGAATGCTGAGTATGGAAGAAAGCAAATAATACGTTTTTGGTGGCGTCCGATGACGGAGAAAGGCGATTGCGTGATTTGATTCTTTTTTCCTCTCCGTTTCTTTCTCTCGTTTCTATCTTCTTGCATCGTTTTTTTTACTTGCGTATGTGCGATTGCATTAGACCATTAATAGTCAGCGTCATTGGCAGTAACATTAGTTTTTTTGTTTTGTTGCTTTTTTTCTTGCGTAAGTTAAGGACGACAGACAGAACATACGTTGTGTAGTTGTGCCATTAACATCAAAGAACAGAACGCGACAACAACATCTATACTATCGCTAGTTTTCAGCCGTTCGCTGTTCGCATTATACTGTTAAACACCAGTGTTCTGTTCCCGACGTTAGAAGTGTTTTTCTGTCAAATCGAATTATGTAATTTTTCTAATATTTTCTCTCTCTTTCAGCTCTCATTATTTTTCTTTCTTTTCTAGTACTTCCTTCGACTTGTTTCTATTTCATTTTTATGCAATATTACGTTATATATAGACACGTCTCAGACGACTTTGTTTTCTTGTCCTTGGTCGTCTTTTTTCCTCATCTCACGCAATCACTATATATATATATATATATATATATGTGTGTGTGTGTAAGATCTTTCCTAATAGCAAACATGCACGTCAACAACAAAAAATTCTGGTAGATGTTAGTAAATAACATGAGTTTTTCTTTTCTATCATTTTGATGTGACATAAATATCAATCTTTCCTACAACTTACTTCATCAATAATATTCATTATATGAAAAATAAAATCGTTGTTATAAAATGTTGCTTCTATTTAATAGCATGTGCATATGCAAATAAATTTGATGACCTTGAACACACAACTGTAAAATGACCGATGGTACAATATGAGTCTCTATTTTTTCTTCTTCTTTTCCCCTTTTTTCATTTTCTCTTTGACCAACAAGGTCAACCGGACGCAATGCAATCGCGTGAGCACACATGCATACAATCGTTTTTCTAGCTCGTTCGATAAGTTTATACATAATGTGTGCTAGCGCGTTTGTTCATGCATATATATATATTTGTTAGCATGAGTAGTGGCGGTCAACATCCATCGGTCACAACCAAGGTTAAACTTTTACGCCTATATGTTTCATAAGCGTACATAGTGTACAATACATGTTATTTTTTCTTTCTACGTATTCGTTTAATGAAGTGCTGAATTCATTCACTAGTCGATCACGAACATCTGCATATCTGTCAAATATTGCTATAAAGCAACGTATTTGTATAGAGTGCAGTTGCTTTGATGGAAAATACAAGTGAACAAGAAAATTAAACTTTAAGAATAAATCATCGTTTGAAAATGATAATTTATGGTAACAATTGAATCTGGCAGTAAAAGAACAGAATATTATCTTAAAAGTCAAAAACATAGAAAATTTGATGAAAGAAAGAAATCTTGCACCAGTATAGCTATACGTAGATAGCTGCTATCTATTATTTATCCTTCATGGAAGAGTGAATTGATTAGTATCAGTTATTTGTAAATATTTTGTTTTTGTATCGCAATATGTATATTGTTCAAAACATTTTAAAGAAGCAATGGTTAATAAATAGAAATAAACTGAAATTGCGAACGACATATGCCCTAGTGCAAAATTAATTACATATTTTAGAACACTTCAGCGATATAAAAAAAGACTTGTTAATATAATTAGGTGACTTCTTTACAAAAGAAAAAAATTTCTGTCTTTTGTTTATCAATTATCTATATAAAACATGATTTTCTGCTAAACAAAACATTCTTTTAAATTTTTACACGAATTCATAATTAGATTCTAAGAACATCAGCATCAATATTTATCCAAAGTTCATTGTAAAAATTTTTCGTTAATTTAAATATAGTATGACTTCATAATTATTCAAAGAATTTAATTAATGATTGAATCGGTTGAAGTTTTCTTCTTCATTCTCGATAAAAACAAGGATAAATTTTTATTGAAAAATCGATTGTTGAAGTCTTTTTTTCGTCTGCATTTTACAGTACTCGATAAAAAGTAGAAAGCAAATTTCGGTTTGTATCTATTGGGATTTTTACAATTCAATAACACATCAGTATAAATTAAACTACGTTTAAACTTCTTATAAAATAGATTTAATTCTTTCGTGTTAAATATAAGGCAGCTTGAGCTCGTGATGGCCGAGGATTTTTCTTTGAAAATAAAATTTGATCGAAGAGAAAATATTTTTCTTATTTATTATATTAGAAGTTTTTTTTAAATATTTTAATCTGACAGGTGGTGCAAGTGAAAGAAAATAACAATAAAAGAACCTCAAGCGTTACTATCACTAAAAGCTTCTTCTAAAATTAAAGACAAAGATCGACTCTATATTAGAATAGTTCGATGTCTGACGAGGAAAGGTCCCTGAGTGTTGACCCAGACATCTCGATGAAACCTATGTGGATTTGTGAAGTCAAGTGTTGGTATCTCAAATATAAGCAAATTAGCAACTGATAACAAACGAATAAAAACATTTCAGTGAATAAATTTTGTATACTGAGGGGAACCACCAGTGCTGTGTCATAAAAAAAAACTTTGTTCTTAGTACCCATCAGGGTTTTACAAAATTTATTCGCTGAAAACTTTTGATTCGATTGCTCTCAGCCGCTAATTTGTTTATATTTGAGATACCAACATTTGACTTCACAAATCCACATAGGTTTCTTCGTGATCTCTGGGTCAACGCATCCAGGGACCTTCCATCGTGATTAATTCTCAAAGATCCTAAAAAACAAGCGGTACCCTATGTGTCATAAAAATATTCTGAATCAAACAGATCAAGAAATTTTCCAACGTAAAGTATGTTTTTATGTAATTACATGATTGGATATTCTGAAAATCTAGAGAAGTTCCAGACTCATATGTTCTGGATTCTCCATTGGAAATTCTGACAAAAGTTCGATATTTACATAGAATTATGAATGGTCAATATTCAATACGATAAAAGTATATTTAAAATTTCTGACATATTATTAATAACTGTTGGTATTCAGATGAAGTATGATATTCAACACAAAAAAAAGAATCGAGGATAATTATGCTTGTTTTATTTAAATGAAGTTTTACTATCGATTTCCATACTATATTTACACTTTATTCAAATCTTTCAGTAAGCACGAGCAGCAAAGCATGGGCTATAATGAATAGCACTATATTTTTAATGCATGCTTTTCTTCCCTTCATTAATGAAAGATAACAGTTAATACTTCACAAATCAAAAGCTATTGCATGCGGTCTAGATTAAGAAGCGGACAAAAATCCTTAACTAAACTTGCATACTTTAGCACATGTGCCTGACTTGCCTATTTATAGTTAGTTTTTTGTTCAAGTTCATAAATATTTGCTCGCTATTAAAACAATCTTGGTGAATATGTTGATAAATTTGAGTAAAACAAATGTATACAGCCGAGTAAATATTATTGCGTACGAGATAAACTTCAATAAATATGCTTAATAGTGATATACATTGACTTAGATAAAATGCGATGCGGTTTGACATTTTTTCCTATACTGAAAACATCAGAACTCTAGATTTTTTATCCTAATGTCTTCGTTTTGTTTTCTAAATGCATTAAATCTAATTTAAAAACAAAAAACTCATCGATTGTTGACATCTTTTAGTTATTGTTTTCGATTTGATAAAAATAAGAAAAATTTCATCAATAATCTTAGTAAAAGTTTTTTTTATGTCATAAGCGAAAACAAAATATGCTCAAGATTTCATCAGATATTATTCCTGATAATAAAACTGTAGAAAATATTCTTATTAAGCTTTATAGTGGCATTCTGAAGAATATTTCTCATAGAAAAATTGATTCCTAACAATTTGAATTCAATTCATACCAGTCTAAATTGAAAACGAAGAAGCGATATTAATTTGAACATGAGTTCAACAACTGGTTGAGCTTAACAGTAAATAAATATAAAATTTTTGAAAACAGCTGATGCTTATTCTAACTACATTGTTTTTGTTCGAAAATCTCGTATGGATCTTTGATAAACCAAAGAATTGTTTCTGCATAAAAAGGAAACAAGAAAAAATAAAGAGACAATTGTTATTCTACCTAGTCAAATTCGAGAAAAACAATACTAAGGACTATTTCCTGTTGTATGAATACTTGCTCGAATAAAACAGTGGCTTCCTGATTATTCAACAGGTGTTGAGAGATATTTAAGTATTATTGATGTTGTTGTTAATTGAACTTCAAGTATCTTCACATCCGGATCAACAACTACAATATAGTAGTAATGCGTTCAGTGAAATAGAATAAAATCTAGCATGTTATTTCTGTATTATATTGCCTTGAATAAGAGTAAAACAGTAAAACTATTATTATTCATATTTGTTTCGGTTTCTTTCTTGTAGGAAATATTGCGATGTAATGAAATCAGTATTCTCTTTGGTATTTTGTTGTTTTTCTGATATTTGATGAAGTTGTTTGATGCTCTTGATTATATGTAATTGATTGTACTTTGATTTAAGAAATAAAACGATTGTTAAAAAGAATAAATAGTTTTTATTAGAATGGCAAGTCAACTAATCTTTTGGGAAAAATTGCAATTACATAAGTAGCCAATGGGTTAGATAGACTTTCTTCAGTACAGCTGAACATGTTGAGATCTCGATCTGTTGTCCTATTTAATAGAGAAAGACAACAACATGAATTTTGAAAAATAAAGATATATTCTTTTCTTTACAAATCATTGAATATATATTCTATACTAATTTTTTAGATAACATACAACAACAAAACTAATAAAATTTCAATAGAGTTTTTACTAGAGCATATTTGATTATTACAAAAGAAAACCATAAGATAGAATATAATACATCGAAAAAGTTTGAACATGATACAAAATCATTAGACTTTAATATGCTTATCTCTCTATTCAACTGTTTTTCACTGGAAAAAGTCAAATAAAGAAAAGCAACTTCTAGAATAACTTCGATTGTGTGATTTGGCGGTGTTTAGTTGAAAGTTTTCATTTGTATTATTTCGACTCACGCTAGTTTCAACGAAATCAATTGTGTTGGCATTCGCATAATGTTTGTATTTTATTTTCGTTTAGCTTTTTCTTTTGTCAGATTTTTGTATTAAATCAAAGTAATAAAGAATGTTTGTTGACATTGGACTTCTAATTCATATTTTATGTCATCGATGAATTGCACGAGAAAAAGATTCAAAATTCATTCACCATGGAATTTTTTAGATCCTAATTTATAGTATTATTATAGTAATTTCCGTTTTGCTTTATGACTTTTATCTTCGAACAATAAAATCAACGATACTGTACGCATTATAAAGTTAGAAAATACTTCTTCGAAAGCAAATATTTCCTTTTCTACAATTGATGGATCTATAGTCATCACTAGAATGAGTAGTATTTATCAGCATGCATAAGAGAAGTTTATAATCTATTATTGATCTCTTGACTTGAATGAGATTATAGATGAGGCATAAAATAGGAATATGAAAAACAAACAGGTTGTGTGGTTGTTAAACGTCGATTTAAAATATCGACACTTGATTATTCAGTTTTTTTAAATTATTTTATCAATTTGTATTTATTATCAATATTACTAATTACGAACAACACTTGATAGAGACTAATAAAAATAGTTGAAAAAGTGAATCGTAACAGCTGGAAAATATTAGAAATACAAAATTGACGAATATTTAATAAAAGTTCATACAAATTTAATGGGTTTATTGATTAAAACGATTGCCGATACCGATCCCGATGCCGATTACGTTTTCAATAAAGAGTGAATCTTTGTAATAAATCATTTACCTTGCATTGTGTAGGATCAATGTTGGAAATGTCTGAAACATTTTTTGATTCTTTTCAATTTTTTCTACAGTCAACGATAGTTTTGATAGAACAAGATTATAATATTAGCAGTACTAACATGCAATTGTCTTTTATTAGTTTATTCTTCAGCTACCAATAGCGTTATCAAAATTAAAATAAATTCAATTCGTGCTAACTCTCAGTCACATGATCAATATATCACAAATAAAGATGAATTATTATTTCTATGTAGAATGTCTTTTGTAAATAAAATAAATCAAGAAATTTTAATTTGAAAAACTGTTTCATGCTGTTCATTATTGTCTTTTTTTTGAATACAACAGGAAAACATAAATGATGGTAGATGTAGCTATAAATTATTTCATAGAATAAATATGTCATAATCCTTTCATTATTAATAAAATTCTATACACTTGTGGTCAAATGTTATTTGACTCGTGCATATAAAAACAACGATTCATATTTTTAAGTTATATTACATTGAAGACTGTTGTTCCAAAAGTCATTTCATCTATGAGTGATTGTACGTAGTTCAAAAATGAAAATGAACAAATCAATTTTAATAAACATTTCGTAGTTTTTTCATTTGGTTTAATTCAATATTAAAATCATGATAGAAGTTCAAAATGTATATATTGACCATGTAGAAACTCACTTCAATGTGTCGTCGGTTATTTTTCAGACCAGTGATAATCTTCTAGCGAAATTTATTCGGCTGCTACAGCTGAATAAAATGTATTTCAACTGCGTATTTTTTAAAGTTTATTTGCATCTGATACTAAAAGTAAGAAAACACACTTGAAACTATAAGTGCACATCCAGGGACGAAATGCGTCAAAGCAATGATAAGTGAAAGATAATATGTTTTTTATTTCGATACATTTCACGCGTGAAACAAGCATCGTGACGCCAACTAGAATTCTCATCTAAGAATACAACTGCATTTGATTACAATAGGTATTCGTGTCATTATAATAATAGTAGAGATTTCTATACAAAACCAGAGCACCAATTCAAGTTTGTTTGAAACTATTTATCAAAAAAGCAAAAAAACAAAGTATTAGTTTTTATGCACGTATGATATTTGTTGAGTCTTCATCATAAAAGTGCATCGAATATATATTCTTTTGATTAAGAGTATTATTGCCAAACCGTATGACAGTATGTCGTGTGTGACTTAATTTAACTATTTTTCAAGTTGAAGTAAAGAGCAAAGTAAGAAAAAAAAGATAGCTGCTAATTCGCCTTATCTTGCTGATTTACGATTGTCATCCACATTTGCTTTTGCTTTTGCCTGTTTTTCTTTATGACGCTCTGAATCGTTACAAAAAAGGTGAAACAAAGAGACCAGTATCTTTTCTTCTCATTTGTCCTTTAGAAGAAGAAAAAACATGGCGAGCCCTAAATTGAGTGCTGTTGATTACGTTATTCTTGTCGTACTTCTGCTAGCATCGGCTGTTATCGGTGCTATATTTGGATTTGTTAAATCGAAGAAAAGTTCAGCAAAGGAATTTCTTCTAGGTAATTATTTTAAATAGTTCTTTTACTTTTTGAACTAATGATAACAATGCTATTTTTTCCATTGTAGCTGATGGCGGGATGGGAGTAGGTGTTCAAGCAAATTGAATCGTTTTGTTCTGATTGCTTTTTTATATTTAGGTTATTCCAACAGCTCTTAGCATTATGGTCTCGTTTCTATCAGCTATCACACTGTTAGGAACACCCAGTGAAGTTTATCTATTTGGTACTATGTATTGCTACCAAGGTAAAAAAGCATAACGAATATAATTTATTATTTTGTTTTTCAACAATGAATGAGTCGTACGATAAAGATATATTAGAACAGATCTCTTATCTTCTTGAAGGTGAAAAGAAAAAATATCTACCAGTAGTACCGTCTTAGATATGTTTTCATATGTGATATGGAGTGTTTGTTGTACTAAAGATTAGCTTGAAACTGTTCTTTCTTAAAGGCCATTCCTAGTTTTTATTTTATTTGATTCGATATATTTGTACCTATGATAAGGTCATACTCAATTATATGTTATTAGCTATATTTAGTATCCTTCACAATCAAATAGGTCTATCTGAAACCAAAAATGGTCTCCCACACGCTAAATCCTTACAAATGAATGTGTTTTTGTTGACGCTATATTTTACTCTTAAGTAGAACTAAATTCGTTTTATATTGCAGCTTTGTTTATCAAACTTTCAATACATTTTGTTTCAGAAAAATAAAAACGATGACAAATTTCAATCGGAAGTTCTGTTAATAAACAAGCACACCGACTAATATACTCTAGCATGCATCGAAAAGCAATACTTTGTTCTTAAGATATTGAATTTTCTAAAAATATATTTATCTCATTAAAAAAATCATACATTCGATGTTGAATTAGATATATGTATAAAATATGAACAGACTGTTACGTGGCTTTGTCTTGATTCTAAATTACGTGTTAAATCAGAATTAGTTGTACGATACTTTATATTTATATAAATACTGCGAGAATCAAACGATAGAAACATAGCCAGTACTGTCCAATCTAGTCTGTAATCAGGTATTTTAAGAATTTGTTATAAATATCCTTAGATTATTCATGAGTGTAATAGACTAAACAATAATATGTAATTGAAACATACTTATATAAATTCCTACAAGGACGAAGAGAAATAAAAATAATGATTACTTTTTAGCTATTTCATGGACGATCGCTTCAACAATAACAGCATTAGTTTTCATGCCAAAATTTCGTGAAATGAATTATACAAGTGCATATGAAGTATGCTCATATTTACCATTTCTTAGATTGATTACTATAATATCGAATTTAGTATTTGGAAAAACGTTTTGATCGCCGAGTACGCATGTGTGCATCGATTGCTTTTTCATGTTTCATGGTAAAGAAGTGTTTGATAATAAAAGCTATTTTTTATTTCCCTTATATATATATACATATATATAGTTGATTTATATGGCAATTGTTTTGTATGCTCCTGCATTAGCACTTAGTGCAAGTAAGCCAATTTGTTTTTAATTTTGAAAATAATATTGCTAATCGGTTTCATACAGCTACTGGTTTGAACATTTGGCTATCCGTTGTTTCGATTGGTGTCATTTGCACTTTCTATTCATCGGTGGTATGTAATAAGTAGACTTGTAAAAAAATCTTGTCTCTATTTTTAACGCGAGCAATTCTGAAAACAGTCGTTTTAATAGAAACTGATTTAATTCGCAATTTTCATTCTCCAAGAATGCCGATTTTTAACACTCATTCTAGAATGTTCTGCATCATTCTTGCAGTATATTTACAATACTCACGAGAAAATTTGAATTTCGAGTGTTCAAAAAGCTATGTTAAATATTAAGCTAGTTCAAGACACTTGGTAAAGTTGTTTTACATTTCGAAAGATTTCATATAACTTTCCAAATCAAATTTAAATAGTAACCAACAATATTGATTGGAAGCAGTGAAGCATATTTGGTACTATTCAGAATGCTGTCTTCAAATTTTGTCGATCATTAATTGGAATAGAAATGATCATTTCTGATCAAAAATCTTTTTCAAACATCATTTCGTTAGTTGGACCCATTAGATAAAACAATTTTCTCGGAAAATGATTGTTTCAATAGTACAATAACATATTTTATTCTAATCCATGAGCGGTGACGCTCTCATAAGTTTAATCTATTGGAGACAAGTTGATAAAAAGACAACATCTTCTTTTCCTTATATTTAGGGTGGCATGAAAGCAGTTATTTGGACAGATGTTTTACAAGCATTGGTCATTCTAGTTGGTCTTTTAGCTGCGATTATACAAGGTTCTAAAATAATATATCAAGAAATAAATAGGAAAAATATGTTTTGATTTTCTTTTCTTTCAGGTTTAATAGTACTTGGTGGTTTTGGGCCAACATTTTCCAAGGCATGGAAAGGTGGTAGAATTGAGTTCAATAGGTACTTTTTTTTGAAAGATAGATTTTATTTCGACAATTCGAAGCTCTATTTTGTGTTTCAAGTATAAGTCCTGATCCACGAACTCGTCATACAATATGGTCATTGCTTATCGGTGGTAGTATGAATTCTTTATCAACATATGGTTTTAATCAGACACAAGTTCAACGTTATATGTGTGTTCGTACTACACGTGGAGCTAAACAAGCATTGTTTATAAATGCAGTTGGTGCTGCCATTGTTATTATTCTATCAACTTTTATTGGCATTATTCTCTTTGCATACTTTGCTGATTGTGATCCATTGACCACAAAGCAAGTTTCTGATGTTGATCAAATATTTCCGTTTTTTGTTATGCAAGTACTTAGTGATAAGCCAGGTTTACCAGGAGTGTTTTTAGCTTGCATTTTTTCTGGTTCATTATCAACAATATCATCTGGTTTAAATAGTCTTGCGGCTGTTATTATTGAAGATGTTTATAAAGGTTTAATGGGCAAGAAATTGACTGATCAACGACAAGGTTTCATATCAAAGATCTTTTCTGTTGTATTAGGTGCTGTTGTTATACTATTAACCTATGTTGTTAGCTATCTTGGTTCAATTCTTAATGCTGCATTATCTTTATTCGGTGTTTTATCAGGACCTATCATGGGCGTGTTCTTTCTTGGTTTCTTTTTTCCACAAGCTAATCGTCACGGAGGCTTTTATGGGTTTTTAGCAAGTCTATTTTTACAATTGTGGATTTTCTTGGGCGCACAAGTAACACGAAGTCAAATGAAAGATGTACGTTTACCTTTATATACAAACAATTGTAGTTTTCCATTTAATTCAACAACAGTAACTCCTGCAACTATTAAGTAATATTTGATATCATTACTATAAAATTTGATTAAACTGTTTATTTTGTTTAGACGTGATCCATTAATTGATTTATATTCTGTTAGTTATATGTGGTATACACCAATTGCTGTTGCTACTGCTCTTATTGTGGGTCTTATCGTGTCGTATTTAACACATCCGCTCAAATCTCACGAAACCAATCCAAAACTACTTATACGAGTAGATAATATTTGCTGTTGCTGTTTACCGAAACGTATTCGCGATTATTTTCGATGTGGGGTTGATTATGAAAATCAATTCGAAGAGAAAAATGTTTGTATTGAGCGGTTCTTTTTCTCTCATGTGAAATCGAAATACAACTTTTTTGTTGCCTTTCTTTTTATAGGTGTTGGATGATGACATTGAAATGCCAGCACACGAAACATATGATAAAGATGCAAAACACTCGGTTTCATCGAAGGCTGCTTCACCTGTTCAATTAGATAAACATACAAAAATGAAACATAAGTCTCGTTCGAATGCTGTTTCACCAGCTCCGGCAGCATCAAAAATTGGAGTTGAAGTTTACGAAAATTCAGCAACTATACTAGCCGACGAAAAATCTCCTAGTGATCGATTATGAAATTACTATTCTTAGAAAATCAATTGTCTAATTTTTAATATCGAATTGTAAAATTTATTATTGACGAATATTAAATGTATAATCATCTACTTTTACAGCAGAAATAAAATATAGATGTATATTTACCATAAAAAGTCATTCTTCATACAAATCTTAGATTCATTAATCTATTAAATTCTTTACTAATGAATATTTTCTATTTTCGGAACTAAGCCATTGTTATCAAATATAAGACATTGTTGTGATGCATACTAAAATGATATTGCAAAAATCTTTTAAAAATCTGAATCGTAATACGTCATTCTTTTTTGGTCACAAAATAAATAAATCTTATTATTAATGTTGTGTTTGTGATAATAAGCTAGTAACGTCATACAACAAATAATAATCTTGCCATCGGTACAGATAACTCCAATAAACTTTATTCGTAGTCTATAGAAAGTAAAGCTCGCCATTTCACAAAGCTTTAGGTAAAGACATGATACAAGGGTTTGATCAATGGTGGCGGGTGACTTTATTTTCAATAGCTGTTCGACGACGATTCGTTTTCAGTACTGTAATTTGAAGAGATTTTGAATGAAAGAAGATGATAAAATACTGGCCGGCAAGAAATTAGACACAGATACTCTTGAAACTAATCTTGAATATAAAAGAACATACATCTATTTTTATGTCATGTTCAGTTAAGACGAGCAGAATGTCTCATTGTTGACTTCAGGATAGACGAAAAGGATGGAACCTAATTTGAAAGCTTTCGAGTAGCGCCATCTATGTCAGTCAAAAATATATAGTATAGTTATTATTCGAAACAATGATAAAGTTTGTTTTTCTTTTCATAAAAGAAACTTATGATTGATTATAGCTATTTGAAAAAAAACCATAACTATGCATGCGTGTTGCTAAGTAACAACTAATATTTAGAAGTTCTTCATGGCACGTTTTGGATATTAATTTAATATAGAAGAAAATCGCGATGGATTAATTATTATAAGTAATAGAATGGTTGAAGAAGCATTGTCTAGCTTTAGTTTATATATTGATGATGAAAATAAAATTCGTTTGATCGATTCAGAAAGAGTAGCTGATTCGGCTGAATTACGTGATGAATGCAAAGATTTTATTGGCAGTATGCCTTCTTTTTTTGTTGTCATTTGAAACACTTCTACAAATGATTTACTAAGATGTGCTCGAGTCCAAAAAAATTGTCGAAATATTAATTGAAAAAACCGAGTTGTACTCAAAACAAGTAGAAACAGCAAGGCTTAAAGTAAGTTTACATTAGAGCACCAAATCCCATTTTAGTCAATTCTAACAATCCTATTATTTTTTTTTGTTACATAATACGCTACTAAGTAGGCAATTACTCGTCTCCAAGAGTTTACCAAATAAGATTAGCAGTAGGTCTAGGACAATACGTCATAACTGAATGTATCTGTTTTTCTTGGCTAGATGTTTTATAGTGATTGCTTATGATTCTTTTTACGTTCAGCTATTTATACATATTCGAAAAAAATATTAAACAATTTATATAATCCACTTGGTGATTATTGGATAGCAATGAGCAATAACTATGTAGTCCGGTAGAGTATCGGTTAACAATTTGTATCTATACACGTTTGAATTTTCATCGGAATCTACTAAATTTTTTACTTATCAATGAGTTTTAGAAAAAGAGATTTTATGAAATCTTGTTCTCTTTTGTGTTCATGCTAGATTGATGTATTGTAAGAATTCAATCGGTGGTTTGTGAAAACCTACGTGTATGAGATTAATAAAGGCATAAATAGATTTGAATGAGAAAAAAATTAAAAATTAAAACAAATTCAATTAGAAAATTATTGATATCACCGAATTAAATCCAAAAAACAGTCTTTCTTCTATTCACGATAGACAATATATACAGCGATTTTTTCCATGTTTCATCTTTTTAAGATTTCAACTTCTAGAACATAAATACTAGCTTGTTCTGCAGTTAATATTTAGTTTTTCGACAACAATATTTTGTGTTTTAACTAATCGATCATATTGATATAAGCATCTTCTCGACGTTTAAGAAAAGTCATCATCAATATTCTTGATTCATTCTAAAACTATTGTATCTTTTAAATTTCAGGCGATCGGAGTCAAGAATATGTTAAAATCAGCATCTAAATATTGAGAATGCGAAAAACAACAATTGCAATCACTAATATAAAGAAAAAAATGGTTGAATTTGATCGGTATGCAGAGATATTTGTGTTTAGAATTAGTCGAAATTTTTTCTATTAAATAGGCTTCGAGTGGAATATGAATCATTGCAAAAAAACTGAACGAGAACAAAGTGAAAAACTGGAACAACTCTCATTAAAAGTGTATGCATGTCTTCTCTTGTTTTTGTCGTCATCTCTATACTTTTATTTTAATTTTAGAGTCTAAGTCAAATATTCGTTTTTCTTTTGATGCATTAAATAGGCTTCTTATTTATATATATATATATTGCCTATGGTAAAATTTTATTTTAGATGTCGATACTTATTACTTTCTTGATTTTATTATTTTCTCAAGTTGTTCGATGTCAAAATGTAGCTGCTAATCCAAATAATACTGGTAGATCATAGTCATTTATACTTTTGCTATTTTACATAAGTTGTTTTGCTCTCTATGTTTTAGCTATTGGAAATTGTACATGTAATGAAAATAACGATTTATGTGATGCATCATGTTGTTGTGATTCTGATTGTTCAGAACAAGAAATAAAAGCACTTAATTGTCTTGTTTTAGAACCTCGTGAAAATATCAAGTAAGTTCAATGTGAAGTCTAAACCATGCTGAGAATTAAAAATGTTACAGTAATCATTAAATTCAAAGAGTAGACTATTTCATGATAATAGAGTACTCTCGATTTTTCAAGTAAATACATATGAAGGATACAAACTGATAATCATATATTTGGAATCGATAGTTGAAAAGAACTTCAGTTAGAAAATGAAACTAATATTTCAAATGAAAGTAACTAGCACGAGTCTTATGAGATGAAAATGTGAAAGAAAATCTAGCTGTTATTGAAAATTACAAATTTATTATTTTACTCGATCTATTTTTTTCATTGTTCTTTTATTTTCTCTTTTATAAATAAAATAATGAACTAAATCAGATATAATAATGAGACGCTACAGATACTTAGTCTACGATAGTTTTTTCTCTTACGTCACTGCTAGCTGTATCTCTGTATAGAAGATCGATATGACATAGAATTCTTATACTCTATAACTTGAACTGCTTATACACATGGTAGGCGTGTGTCACAACAAAGTCGTCATGTTGTTGGACCATTGATGGGAGACAAAGTGTCGTTAGAGACGTATCTAAGTATTAAAACTTACTAATTTGCAGATAAATGTTTAATAACTAAAAAATAACAGACTCAGTGAAAAAGTTTAAACATTTTTAGAATGTTTTCCATTGAATTATTGCTTTTATTTGCATTCTTCTATTTAAAGAAAAATAGTATAAGGATGTTGAGATCTATGGTTTTTCTGCATGTAAGATAGACTTTTCTTCACAGACAGCGTGTTATTCTATGATATTTCCGCAACAAATAAATAATACAAGTTGTATCATTATTTCAATACTATTTATTTAGTTCAATACCATCAAAATCTTCTGCACAATCTAAATGTTATGGAAATGTACCAATATTTAAATCTAATTCACCAAATCTAATTGAAAAGCAGGATGACCTTCTCTGCATTTATGATCAACAAAGTTCATTACTGTTATTCTTTTTTTTCTAAATTTATTTATTCTAAATTTATTTAATTAGATATCGATTCAGATAATGCATATTATCGACAAATAAATCAAAAATTAGATTCATTTATTGCTCCACGATCCATCAATATCGATACTAGTGTTACATCACCACTGGGAACACCAACTGAACTGACTGATTATCAAGTAAAATATGTTTAATATATTGAACAGCAGTCCTTTTTACACGAAAGTATTGTTAGTTACTAGACTTCCTAAAACGGAGCTCAGATGAATGAAGAATTCGATGCTAGTAACTTGAAAGAAGGAATCTATTTCAAGCCGAATTTTTACTAATTTTCTGTAGAGCCAGCGGTAGTCACTCATTAGACTCGATTGCCGGTTTTTTTCTTCTAGAAAAATTATTCATAGCCAAGTAAATAGTATGCAATTAATTTTATTGGGAAGACAAAAGAATGATTTATTTCAATGATTAAATTTTCACGGAACTGCATGTCCGAATCATACAGATGAAAAGTTTGTTTTTGTACATATCAATTGATGAAATTCAAGTTCAAATTGTTTATAGAGACAAAATTCTATAAATTTATCTCATGCTATAAATAGCACTCAGCAGTAGCTCGTCTTTGGCTAACATTGACAACTTTTTTTTCAAATGTTAAAATGTAATTTAATACAGCTAAGAATATTCTAGGTGGGTACTTCCGTATTCAGATACATTCCGACCACTAATACAGCGACCTACTTTTCTCTTCCAATAAAACTTTTTAACAGTGAACTATGCTCGGGATTACAGCCGATAAGTATGTATGCCCTATATAAATAGTTGTAGGCGTCTACTGAATATTGAGTCATTTTTCTTTAGCTTATATGAATGATTTCACTTCAACCTGCAACCAGCCACTAAATAATCAAACATGTCTTAATGCACTCAATGGAGACAAATATATTAATTCATTTAGTCTCGTTACGGTAACATAATCAATAAATAATCTGTATTCATTGTTTTCTTTGATATGTTTCTTATTATTATATAGAATCCATCAACTCTCGCCAGTACTTCGTCTCTATTTCTTATCTCGATGTATACTTGTAGCTATTTGATTTAGATAATCTAACTAGTATTATTTGCACCGTATCTGGTGGTAGTGCTGCAAGCTGGTCTAATCTCACATGCTCAAATGCTCTTCAAATTGTAAAATAACTAAAAGAAAACTTATTTGTTCATGCTAAATTATTTTTTTTCAATTATATTTTAGTTAACGGTCACAATTTTCTATACAAATCCAACAGGTATACAGAATTGTACTGTTCTATTGAGTGTCAACCAAGCAAATAGTAGTCCAGTAAAACAAACGTTTAATGTTCGATTTGTTCGAGTAAGTAAAACAGAACATTAATTTGACATAAGACTTTTGAAAATTATTTTATACTAGACTGGATCGCCAAGTTTAACTTCAGCATCACGTAGTGGAAATCCAGGCTATTCGACACGAGCTCCTATTATAGCTGGTACTTCAAATGGAATTTCTATCTCGTAAGAAATTAATTAAGAAATTTTGTGAGAAGTAAAAACAAACAGTCTTTTTTTGTTTTCTATAGTACATTTACTTTTTCTGTGTTGCAACCATCAATCATTGGAGACTGTAGTGGTACACCTCGCATACCTATACGTTTTGGTGAAAATATTCAATCGACATGTGAATTCAGGTATAATATTCAATTTACAATTTTTCTTTAGTTAGGATTTTAAGTTTTGATATTGGAATGCTGTATGAAAATCAAAAATTTGAAAAATGTCAAGGGTGACAACTGAAAATTTGGCTATACTATAGATTATACTAATATCTCATGATGCAAATAGACTACAGTATTTGATATATCTATAATTTATTTCAAAAATTATCTTAAAAATTTATTGTCACAATTGTTCGATAAACTACTTTATCTATTATGATTATTCATTGCAGGAATTGAATTCTTTTATAATAAGAATAAGCGAAAATGGGAACAAAAGTGTTTGTCCTTTAAATAAAAAGTAAATTATCTTCAGAAAAATTGATAATGAGAGAAAGACGTCGAAAAGCAGCTAAATGTCTCATTCTACATAAATTAGATGCTTGTTTTCGTCAACATATCGTTTTGGACCAAAATGTTTGATGATTTTCTTCGTCTCTTAGTTGAAAATTATTTCTTGTTTTTAGAAAGTAAAGAAGTAAATTTTCTTGTTCAGTCCTCTGCATATGCTCTACTGAACGTAATTTGTAAAGTTGTTTTGAGAAAATTTCACATTAGTCAATTATTTATTATATTCGAAAGAGTTAAAGTTCCACATAACCTTTCAAATCGAAAAACTTCTAATCTATGCAATAAATGTTTTTAAAATGTGTTAGACTACCAAGTGATCTATTTGTTACATCTGTTTGTTAAATATTTTTCAAAGCTGATTGTATTGAAACTAAAAGATCGGTAAAATTCAAATTATTTTGTTCTAACATCGATTTTTACTTGTATAGAATCTGAATCTTAAGTAATAGAATCATTTTCAGAACTATTTAGCTAAATCTCTTAGTATACGTCAGATACCACAAATACACTAACTCATTTGCATACATTATTACTATCATATGTTTTGCTTCTAAACATTTGTTTCGCTATGTCACTTTGATATTATTGTACACTAGAATGGTTACTAGAATCGAATTAGAAAAATTTCAAGGTACGAAAAAATGATTCAAATAAAATAACTTGACTTTCAATCTTCGTATGCGTTTCAAAAAGTTGTAGCAACGATTTCACTTAATTGTTTTTCATCGGTTCAGATGGTTCAACACAACAAGTACGAAACATTTGATTAGAATTTGTATTTCAAGCATGTTCTTAATCTATCTTGACAATTCTTTAGAGACTCTAATATTAGATTTCGTGCTTAATAAAATATATTGGATAGAGGTAGACTTAATTGTACATCATATACCCATAGAGAGAAAAACTGTTTCTATACAGGAGATCGCTGAGAGATTTCTCAATGATGAGAGCTATGATAAAAATTCCAGTGAAATATTCGTGATTTCCATCCCAGGATCATATTGATCTTTATGTTATACAAAGAATTTCTGTTAGAAAACGACATGCCACATCAAAGAAACGCGTCGTTTTAAGTAAGACAAATCGTTGAATAGCATTTCGGTGTCAATGTCTCACAAAATACAATCGCATTGTTGATCTCAATGGAAAGTTTATTTCAAGAGCTTAAATAAATTTGTTCATCATTCCTAATTTCTAAGTTGCACACAAATATCAGACATAAATTGGAAAAGAGAATAAAGTTCTGAATCAAAATGTTTAAAATATCCTAGTCATGTTATTAGGGAGTCAAAAATTATTTCATGTACTCATTATATATGTAAATAGTACAAAAATAGAGTTCTATTCTCAAAAAAGATATTAGTAGGTGACCAAACTATGAAAGCCAGCTGAATATATGTTTTTAGGCCTCTGAAAACTTGATAGAAAAGAATGACAACTGTTCATAATTATTTCAATTCATCTGTCTTTTTAAGTAATTTTGTAAAACAAATCAACTAATACAGCATTCTAGAAATGAATAAATCCAGTTTTTGCTTATATTGAATTTTACTTTATTATTAAATATTGGTTTCATGCATTTTTTCTTTCTTAGCCCTGCTTCTTTCTGTCCAAATCAAGCCGAACTGTCAAGTATATTTTTATCTTTCACTTCTTTCAATATCTACGTGGCTGCTTATGGCAATTCGGATCCATCAAATATTACTGGCAATTGGTTACCTGTTACATATTGTGTATATGACATTGGATCTTCTAATGAGCCCGTGTGTCTTTCAGGTTCTAGACCAGATCCATCTGGAAATGAATGTTACACTAGAATGGATATTCAAATAGCTTATGCTAACATTGGTTCTGTTAGTAATCCACAACCTATTCTTGGTGCAGTTATATTTCATTATCAAAGAATAGTAAGTAATAGAGTTTTCTGATGAAGATTTGTTCCCGTTTTCAAATCTATCTTTAGAACATAACAAATACAACAACATTGACGAAACCTTTACTAATAACTCAGACTGTTACTTTTCAAGATTTATCGAATGCACCTGTTACTGAGGGAGATCAACTACCAAAACCTAATGTCCGCCTACCTGGGGATTTCTTTTATCCATTTACTCTTAATCGAGCAAATGTTGCCATCTCATTCTCCTCATTTTGCTATTTTCTGATCATGTTTGTTTTGACTCTTATGTAGATGATTTAATTTTAAAATAGAATAAATCGTTTTGTTTGTGTTTACCATTTCAAAAAAACAATGAATAGAATTTTCCTTTTCACGAATAAAACAAAACGAAGTCTTGAACAACACTAATTGGCAATTATCAACGGATATTTTTCTCAATAATAGAAGACTTATAACTGGAATGCATATCTATCTATGAGGAAAAAAATAAAGATATTCATCATACCACTGCAATAGCGATGAATCTATCTGACATATTTATCTAACGTAAACTTGCTAGTTGATCATGTCAATCCAGAATAACTCATTAACAATGAATATTTGCCGAGGAATTCGTCTCTGTTAACAACTATGACAGTAGTGACGTGATAGCATATTTTAAAGAGAAACAAAGTTGAAATTTTAAAATTATATAATTAATTTAATTTGATTTATATTATACTCATGGATCTATTTTATAACCAAATCAACTGCTAGATTAAATTGAATGGCTAAGAAAAAGAGAACTTCTTTTTAAACATATTTCTTTTAATTGGTGTATTACTGCTCGAAAAATCGATGAAGCATATTATGAAAAAGAAAATTGTTTATCGTTGAGTTTTAATACAATTAGAAAGAAAGAAGAAAAAACAATTATAAAACATGCGCTTTGACTTTGGCAGCATTAGAACGTAGTTTATTGAGGAGATCTTGATCGGTTTTAATATAACAATCACTGGCCGAATTGGGTTGAAGAATTTCTACAAGAAAGAAACAATTATTTTGTTTTTCTTCTAAGTAATAAAAATATTTAAAATGATTTACTCGGTGTAATTTTCCCAGTTCGATATCGAAATTTATCGTTTTTCAATTTAACAATATCTTCACAGATATCAGCCGTTTCTTGAGTAACTACTGTATGCTAAAACAAGTCATTTTAAAATATAAACCACACGTGTTGATTTCACAAAAAAAACAATCATTCTTACTGAAAAATCTACTTCACGCAATAGACTTGATTCATTTGCTTTGATACAAAGAAAAATAGCAAGTGCACCATCACTATTTATTTGATTATCAGCAATCTATCATACATACGATTGGTTATTGTAACTAATATTACATATTAAATTAGTCAAGCGTTACTTTAAGAATTTGTAGTGAATCATTTGAAAGCACTCCTAGAGCTATAGCAAATGCATTTGACGTATTGAGTCGATTTCCACTAATATTGAATTCTTCTAATGCACCATTTTGCTTAATACAAGCTCCTAAAATTTGTCCACCTTCTGGTCCGAAGCCATTCATTTCAATGTTACATCGTTTCAATCGAACATTGTCCTGTTTGTTTAAATAGTAAAATATATATTTATGTTCATGAAATAATCACAGATAGATAGATAGATATATACTTTAATTCCGTTAGCAACATCGATAGCACCACGTCCTCGAATATTATTCCAACTTAAATCAATTGATTCTAATGAATCATTGCCACCTGTAACAATTGAATGCACACATCATATTAAAAGACAAAGCAACTAAACGATATATCTTACTGATATATGTACCAAGCACTTTACCACAGTCTTCGCCAAAGAAATTGTGACTTAAATCTAGTTCACGCAATGTCTTACATTGCTTTAGAAAGAAAAAGAACGTCTTTTATAGAGAGTCCCGCGAGATTAAAATGTAAAAAAACGATATAATGGCTCTTGCTAATTCAATATTGATAGATGTCTTATTTTGAAAACTCACATTTATAGTTATTTTAACCTCCTGATATTGTATAGATTAAATAATTGAATGATGGTGTTACAACCTGAAATTTGATCAATAAACAAATTTATTGATGATTAGAATGTTCTAAGAAGTTTAATTACAAATCATGTATTTTTCGTGTAAGTTGATCTCTTTTAGAGTATACTACTCATAAAGAGACTAATTTGAAGACAATAGCTTAAATTAAAGTATATTCATTTAAATTTCAGGTAGACACTATACCACAGATTAGAATATCCATCATGTTTCTTAAAAAATCTAGAAACACTTTTCATTTAGAGATTTTTCTAGCACCTGAGTAAATTATTTTATGCATAAATTCTAAACTAGAAAATAATCAAACAGTTGCAAATTTTTGTTTAGTAATCATTTAGAAATGTACGAACAATCGTATTGCCTGTGATCTTATATCAACATAGCCTATTACTATATATACGAATAAAATTCACATTTTCACTCGTATATTGCAAATCTCTTTTCAGATGGTTGCTTAACGAAAAATACTGTTATAGATTTTTCTGATGAATATAAGTTAAAGTATTTTGTTTTATTTACCTCGAATGCTTCGACTAGTTGAGGTATGTCTAGACCATTGAACCTATTTGCTATTCAGTGCATAGATGTTATATAGGGGCAAAACTAATAAATATATTTTCCAAACCTGATAGATTGATTTTTTTCAAATTACGATTTAATGTTAACATTTTACAAATTTCTTTTGTACCTTCACCACCACCGATACGATTATCAGCCAGAGACTATTATTATTAAGTATGAAATTAGCTTGCAAGCAATCGAATACTTACTAATTCTGTAATAAAATCATTAACTAATAACAATCGCGACACATATTTTGCTGCTTGTTGTTGTAAATAATTTCCGTCTAAGTATAAACGTTCAACACTGAGATTTGACTATAGAAAAAGAAAAAAGTAGTCATCATTAAACGATCTATATCTTTAATCAAAGTAAATATTCATACACAAAGAGTTTTTGTTATTGCTCGAATGTCATCTGTACTAAACTGATGATAACGTAAAGTCATTTCTTTATCTTCGATATGTGCCATAAAATATGAACATGGAATAATCTTCGATTGTGTACATAATTCACGATATTGTGTTCGACCGGTTATATCGTGATCTTCGTGAATTACAGCTTCTACCGAAAGACAAGGATTTAGAATAAAATTTTTGATTAGAAAACAAAAGAATATTTAACCTGATTCAATATCGGTATCATAATCATCTTGTGTTGGTGATGGAATACTTTCACTGGATGCAATAGATGAAGTTTCATCATCAATCATATTCGCATCAGTATCAAAAACTTCTTCTTCATCATCGTCAACAGTCAAAAGATGTGGTGATAATGGTGGTTGATGTTCGGAATCTTGTGCTGGTAAAACAATTTCTGGTGGCGCTTGATTTGGTGGATTTCGATGTGGTAATTTCTTTTGTAGCTCATGAAATATTGTTTCATAAATTTGATCTTGTTGAATTTCCGTAAAGAATGTTTTAGGTACATTTGTTAAGCCAGATGAAGTAAAGATTTCATCAATATTTGTTTCTATGAGAGATACAAGAAATGCACAACCTCGAATTCATACGAAATATATTTTTGTTTATTATACCATCGACTTCAGCTATAATTTTTAATTGTTTCGAACGTATTGATGCTTGTGAATGATTTTCGACAGAAACTGATCCACTGCTAGTAGATTTATTATCATCAGTTTTTGGTCTTGCTTGAGTTACATTTCGTTTTGTTGATCCTGTTGTTGATGGGGGTGTTGATTCAGCTGTTCGAGATGAAATTGTTGAAAGAGTAGTTGCTCGACCGAGTGTTCGCACTGCATCTGTTTGTGCTCGCTATCAATGCAAAACAAAAATAACTAATTAGCGTTAAAAAAAAAGCTAAGTCCAAGTTTTATTTCAATACTTGTTGACTTTTAACAGGCATAGTTTGAGATTTTGTTTTTATAAACAAGTTACACGTTGTTCACCATCAAAAGATATGTTTGATTATTGTTAGACAATGTTCTGCTTACACGTCTGTGGTGCCCTACTGTCAATCAGAACAGCTATGTTGTTGTGATGAAGGCATACACATACCCATGCGATTGAAAAGCATTACAACTTTTCTTTTTCTGTCTCTCTTTCACAAACCTACTCAGTCTCTTCATTCGTTTCTATTGCGATAGTGTGATGGAGAATGCAAGAAGCGCTTTATTATTTGTAATACAATGTTCAGTCGTGTTTGTTCCTACATATAAATAGCTTCATTTTATTATTTTTTCTTTTTATAGAAAAAAAGAGCAATTACAAAAATATTTTTATTTTATTCGAAAGAATAATTAAGTTTTTATATGTTATCCTAAACTTTTACGTAGAAAAAAATATAGAAAATTTTATTGATTGAAAGTAATTGTCAAAAAATACAACAAGATGAATGCCTGCACGTAAAATTTATGTAATGTAGTCAATTGAGACAGTAGTATAACTCAATTTTTTCTTTCTTTTAATTAACATTATTTGAAGAAAAAGATTATTATAGCCTACATGCGTATGTATTTCTTATTGATTTGGTTGTTAAGCAAACCATCGAGAAAAAGAGCTTCTATTTATTAAATATTTGAAATGATTGATACAATCAATTTAAGTTTGTATTTTGTCGCACCTTTCATGTAAATATTTAGAAAAAAAGAGCATTATTTTATCTATTGTTCGAAATAGTATTCTACTTGAAACAATGAGCTATAATAACAAGTGTTGATTGAAGGACAAAGGAGAACGAAACTAAAATTAGTTAGTTCAGTTGCTAAAATGATTTTTATTCTTTTCAAAAAGAAAAATTATTCAAGATTTAGCTGAATATATGTGAACGCAGCAAAGATGTGAAATGTATTCATTCATAAGTAAAATTTTCCAATAAATGTAAAACATGTACCAATACAATAATATTTGGATATTGTTTCGTCTGTAATAGGGGATGATTTGAAAGAACATGTAGAAAAGCAGATTTCCGATTACGAAAACTATTATTCATCTAGGATCATTGATGCACAGTCAAGAAACGTTTATTTGAATTAATAAAATATGTTGTTGTATGAAATATCCATAATTTTTTTACCAGAAACATGCAAATTGACCATTCATATTGACGAAATTCTTCATTTCAACTCAGCTAATAAATAATACTCTCAGTAGCTTTCAGATTGACTGTAATTAAATAAACAAGTTTCATTTCAGAATTGATCAATTCGATATGCGTTAAATATAAAATCATACAATTCTTGTAGGCCTAATTAAAAACAGCGAAGTGCATCTATTACAATAATATAAGTGCGTTAAAACGCTGGTTTTCTTTTGTTTTGTAACGCCTGAAAAAAAATAACATAGAATTTATGCATTAAATTCTTGTTTTTGCTCTATATTTTTAATTCATTATTAAGATTGGAGGTCTATATACAATTATTATTTTTTCAAATTATTTTATTTTCTTTGTTGAGACCTTTTAATTCTTTGTGTTTCATTACTTTAATGATGAAAAACAAAATTTCTATGACAAACAATGTATGTATATATATGTATATGTATGACGTTTCATTCTATATTGTAGTCATGTCAAGCCAAGTAGATCTATGCTACTTGTTGAATATCGTCTAGAAGACTTTTTGGTTCTATGTTATGATGAACACTAATAGGAAAGGTATAGCAGAACAAAAGCAACCATTAATGAGTATCATCGTCGACATGTACCATGATGGACCTAGGATAAGATCTGGTTTTTTAATAATATTATATTGCGACAAAAAGTTACTCTAGTTTCTATATTTCATCATAGACATTTTTAGATAAACATTCCTTTATTTTCTTAGATTATTAAGCTTTTTTTAATTTACAAAACAATGGTCAATAATGATAAAAGTACTCATCTTGTTTCTACTTCTCCTCTTCAGCGACCCAAGTAAGAAACAAATCGAAGCTTTTTTTCTGTTTATTTCTCATGCATTTGTAAACAAAAAACCATATTACTAAAATATAACGGTAATGAAAACATTAAAACGAACAGTAAGACAAAGCAAACACAGAAAAAAAGTATTCTCTTACCATGTCCCTGTAATTTAATGGACTTAGACACGACTCTCACTATAACCAAAAACATAAGCGTTCATGAGGTAGAGACAGACTCAGAAGAAAAAAAAGACAGTAACAAAAAAAAACAATAGCAACACCTATGCATGTTTTATACCATTCATCGGTGTTTTTTTATTGCCAGAGAGAAGCGAACAATAAGAAGAATAAAAAATAGTGATGGACGGTTTAGCAACATCCTCTTATAAACTACCCACTGGACTTCGACATGCTCAAAGTATGGATAATGTTTCATGGGTTTCGAATTCACGAAAAACACATTGGCCACCTGTTGATGAGGTGAGATCATCGTATTAATTCTCATATACTGTTTCAGGTCGTCAAATTCTTGTATTCATGATAAATCAGCTGTACTACAATCAAAATCAAAAACTAAGAAACGACATATTTCCGTAGTATTGTGTATCGATGAGGTTTGTTCAATTTCAAAAGGCATCAACTAGTACCTTTTCTTATATTCAATAATATTAAATCAAGTTTAAAAAATATTGAAAGACTGAAGTATTTTTGTAGCATTGTCAATTACATGGTGCTCGAAGCAAATGCACGTGTGCATCGTTTGTTACCGAAGATGGCAATGGTGTTGGTAACGCAGGAATGGGAAGTTACGAGTCATTTAATCAATCTGCTGATTTCGGACAACAAAATAATGAGAAAAACGATGATTTTGTGTCGGCAAGTGTTAAACCGTTTAATAACAATCCAACATTACCAGATACACAACGGTATGCTTAATTTTTATAATGGAAAAATAAAAGGTTGTATTTTTTTTCTAGGGATGTTGTTGGTAATAATCTTCGTTTTAATCCATCATTGAACAATAGTAGTTGGGTCGATCATGAAAACGATCAACTGGCTGCTTTACTTCTCTATCGGGATGCTTTGAAAAAGAATCTAACAACTCCTACGAAAGCTGGAAGCAGTTTTCCAAGGTAACCAAAGTAAACATGTTGATCTAAATAGATTTGGATTTATTTCTAGAATGCGTCATGGTCGCATTGGAAGTCAATGGCGCCATATAAAACAAACAAATACCTATTCGGGGTCAAATCTTATGTTTATCGATGGTAAGTTACATTGAATAATATAATCTATTTTTCATCAACATTTATTTTATAGGCACAGTACGCGTTGATGATAGTATCAAATTTCCAATTCCTCGTTTTGGTTATCCTCCAATGAAACAACCACAACAGCAATTTTCAGCATCTCACAATGATTTATCTTTTGCATCCAGCAATCCAACAACAAAATCCTTGGACACATTAACATGGTCACGCAATGATGGACTAAATCGAAATCAATATTTAGCTCGATATTCAAATCGTCTTCAACAAGCCGGAAAAGATAAATTTGCATATTGGCCATCGGATTCGACAAACAAAAAATCTGCATGTAAGTATTAAACAAAAAATACATAGCAATTTATCATATCTATGAATATAGCAACAAATCCTTCGAATATTGACAATAGAGAATATGAGGTGAGTACAAATATAGTATTTTATAATTGCACAAGCACACGTTTGTATTCAAAGAAAAGATAAGTCCAATCCATAATATGAATACATACATATTCACGTGAATTTTAAAAAATAGTCATTTGTTTTTTTTCTACAATCAATTTTAGGTCAAACAAACAATACAAGAACATATCAAATCTGGTTTCGATTAAGTCATACTGTGCGTAAACTTTCGACAAAACTATTACAAATGAATTTGTATGCTATGAATAAAATACAACAATCGTTCATTGATCTCTTTTCTTTTTCATTTTATTACCTCAAATGATGTATTTTTTTTAATATTTTGTCCAAAAAGAAATACAATCCAAAGCTTTTCTCGAATATTATTCTTTTGTTTTTGATGACAAAAATTATTTTAAAGGCATTAATTAAAATATACCTCAAGGATGAGAGTTTGTTTCAGTTGAGTTAACTTTTTTATTTAGAGCAATATGTCAAAAATAGTATTCTCGTGAAAACGCGAACTTATTCCACGTGGGCAACATTTATCTACTGCATTTCTGATAGAACTAACTATTTACGTAGTCTGTTTTGTTTCTTTCTGCGATCTATTTCATACACGCACATTCGTTGTCAGAAACTATGAGTCATTATTATTTATCATTGCCACAAAAAAATAGTAATAGATATGAACGGCCTCTATACTAAAATGTTTATTGCTTCAAATTTGTCTCAATCCGTGGCAATAGATTATTCTTTCTTCATGTTATTGGAACATACTTCATCACCTAGGCATATAGTTAACACTTATGTAGCCAATGCTTGTTCTTCAACGTTTAACTAACAATAATATATAACTAATTCAATTTTATTTCTTCCGTCAATCGAATATCGACGTTAATTTACTAATGAATTTTGTAAGACAAAAAATGAGTTCAACAATAGTTCGTGTTTGTACATTTAATTTACGTCGTGATGGTATGGATCGTGGTACACCTAATGATTGGGGTAAAAGACGACCAATTATGAAAAAATGTCTTGAAAACATGCAACCAACTATAATTGGAACTCAAGAAGGCATTTTCCCACAATTAAATAATATTCTTGATGATCTCAATGAGTAAGCTAACTTTCTAAAATTATAGTTATCTATAGCTATTATTATTATTATTATTATTATTATTCAATTTTTCATAGATCATCAGAACGTTGGTCATGGATAGGTAATGAAGCTGATGAATTGCATTCAATCAATGCTATATTCTATCGTCGTGATTTACTCTCTCTTATCTCTACGGAAACATTTTGGTTTAGTGACCATCCAATAAAACCAGGTCCAGCTTGGGGCGCAAAATATTCATGCGCTTGTACATGGGCTCATCTTGAATATATAACAACAAGACAACCATTTACGATCTTCAATGTTCATTTAGACTATCCATCACAGAATGCACGTCATCGTTCTATAGCAGTGCTTCTCTCTAAAATAAATGAAAATTTTCATGTTAACCAAGTTATTGTTACTGGAGATTTTAATAATTGGCCTGAAGAAGTTGAAGGTACAACACCTGTTCAAGAACTTATTCGTTTAGGACAGCATGCATCGGAAATTCAACAAATGAAACAGGCTGATTTCATTGATACACATCAACATGGTGAAAAATCCACATTTAATGGTTATCGATCAGCTGGATATGGTCCAAAAATCGATTTTGTTTGGATTACATCAAATAGTGTCTATCATGTTGCAGGTGAAACTAAAATTGATGATTATCATGATCAAAATGGATTTTTTCCATCAGATCATTTCCCAGTTTATGCTGATTTAGCTGTAAATTAGAAACGCAATTTTCTAAAATTCAAACTAAAATGTTTACATGTTTAGTAAAGATTTGATTACATTTATTCCAATAGAAATATTCATGATTGTAATATCGATCGTAAACTGCAATCATATCATATTGTATCATATCACATGGAATAAATTTCTCTAATGCTTCTTTACACCCCGCTTTGATATTATCTTCGATTGCTATTTAATAATTTTCATAAGAGATCAATGTTCTCTTGCATCTAAGTATCTATCATTGTTTTAAATTAGTATTATTGAGAGTCAAGAATAGGTAAAAACAGATTTTCCAATCATGTAAATATAAAACTGAATAGCATCAAAGATATTTGATTTGGAATGATGAATAATAAATTTTGGTCAATATTGCAATTTTTCTTGTTAACCCATTCGAAGGGAGTAACGCTAAATAAATTATCTACAAAAGCAACTGTACGAAAAAGTGAACCAACGTGAATGTTTCATTCAAAACTCGACCTATACTTAGAAGATAGAATCTAACAATATAAGTACAGCTGCGTATGTATGTAGGTGACTAGGATAGGATAAAAAAGAAGTGATATCTATGTATAGATTTTCTATTTAAACGAAGGATAGTATCTGAAGATAATAAATGATCATAGCATTGAATAATTTAAAAGAGATAGATTCTCAATCGTTTAATGAGCATGTTTAATCGTTCTTCAATACATTTATACACAATGATCAGTGCTGTTTGATTATTTCATGCTGTATCTAGAAGAATATCACCTGATACTTATTAAGAGTGAAAAAATGGATTCTGAAAATATAATAACTTAAATGTAACTAGTTGTGCATTGAAAAAAATTATAATATAAAAAATAACCCATGAGAAAAGCTTTCTATTCAACATATTCACATGGTAATTGAAAAACTTTTCGAAAGCCTTTTATGAGACACTTCTTTCAAAAATATTTTTCGTTCATTACGTATGCTAAATATTTAGCTGATTGCTTTCGTTTCGATCTATGACTATGAATGGAATGTAGAGCAAAGTACCACATCTTGTATATAGATATTTCTCATTCGAAATTCTTTTATGATATGCTAACATTTCTTTGTAACGAGCATAACACATATCTCGCCGGTTAAAAATATTTCATATGAAATTTTGATTAATATAAACAAAGAAAATCATTTTTTTCCTGAAATACTTCTAAAGATCATAATCTAGATGCGTGCTATAGTATATAGTCTAGGAATTTGTATCCGCCTCCCCCCCCACCCCAACTGTAAATATGGGTTTCGAGAAAGTAGATTTTATCATGTTACATATTTTGATTCCACATGCAATGAAGTAGCAGCTGTTTGAGTGTAATAGGTTGACTAAACCTTTTGATTGCAAAACAAATTCAAATTATTTTAAAATTGTGGAACAACTCAAAATTTAATATTTCGAAGAAATAAGAGGATATTATTTCACACAAAACACACTCTAACTTGTATAGATTTTTGTTTAAAATGAAAATTCAAACACATACAATCAAACAAAAGAAAACAAACGAATAGCTTATTTTAGTCCTGTTGTTCTGCCAAGAATAAGGCTAGTTGATAATGGTGACATTCGTTCGATAACTTGTCGAATAGCATGAACATCTTGATGAAGGCGATTAACAGCTAATTGTAGATCAGTTACACGTTCACTTAAATCTTGTGGATAAGTTTGCATATGAGATTCGGTATTTACTGGTAAAAGAGCACGTGTATCTACAAATAATTGTTGACGAGGAGGATATATTTGTGGTACTGATTGACGTGTTGGCGAACTGCTAGTAACTGAATCTGATGTCAACTGATCAGGTTGTCCTGGAAATTTCTCTTCAATGAGTTCTCGTAGCCGAGTTATTTCTTCAAATATCAATGATTGATTATTTATTGGTAAAGGTGATAGTCCTTGTTGAGGTACAGGTAATTTTTCTGCGCTAATTTCACGAAATGATGGTCGTCTTGAAGGTACTGGTGTATTTGATCGTGATTTTTCTATAGCTATCTCTCTTAATGATAATGTTTTGGCTGATGGTTGAACTTTAGTTAATGTTGTTTCAATGTTACTTAATTTTTGTTGTAATTGTATACGAAATGTGTCGAATTGTACATTTTGTTTATCAATTGTTTGTCGAAAACTTGTTAATGCTTTCGACTGTTGTTCTTCACGTGACTGTCCATAGGCATCAAAATTAATGTCTTTCCAATTTAATTGTAGTGGTGAACAGAAACGATGAATAAGCTCTTGAATTTGTGAACGTCTACGTTTTGATAAGCGCCATTCATAATTTAAAATAACTTCAGTACGTTCAAGAAGAAACCGTGCTTCAACAGTTGAAAATGCTTCTGTTTGTAAAGCATTTGAGATAAGACCAATAAATATATTTATAGATAATATTGCTGTGAATAATAAATATGTTCCACAAACAAATGAAGCGAAATACCGATCAATAGCTGTGAACGAATCAATGGGAACTAAAATGACAGAAATTTCTTTATTGCTTCATTGCAGTGTGGGAAGTCTTACTATCGTCGACTAAGGCAATACGAAAAATTGAAAATAATAAGGAGTAAAATGATTCAAAGCCATTTGGTTGAACTATTCGGCATGCTGATGTTGCGTTGAAACATTTTGCTTGATCAAGATCAGTTACTGAGCTATTAAATATATATTGACCACGATTTCGAAATGAATCAGGAGTTCCATCATAAGGAATTTCTAATTCATATAGTGAACAATGAAGTAATGCATATTCGCAGAGTTCAGGAGATTTTTCATAATCATTATGAATGATTTGTTGACCGCCAAAAACAGCATAGAAAACAAATGCATATGGTGCAAGAAGAAAAAGAAAAACCATTAGAAAACGTATTATATCATCAAACATCATGCGAACCTAAAAGCATTAAAGCATGATTCGTTTTTCAATTCTAATTAGTAAAAATATGAGTCTGTATCAAAAATATATTAGATTCTTACAGAGTAGACATTTACTTTCCAACGATTGTTGGTCATAACTTTCGTTTTTATTCTAAGCCTTTCGCTTCGTTTCTTATTTTTGATTATAGTAAATAGAGTAGATTTGCCAGAAAAATATAAACAATTATCAAAATAGACAATTTTTGCCTGAGAAAAAGATTGAAAAATTACATTACATATGTAGAACTTTGGCAAATATATTTCAGGTATTGACATTCCGACGGAGGCTTTATAATGTTCTAAAGTACTCGAAGACTTATTATCGATGTATTTCAGCGCTTTTTTATTGTTGTTGTTGTTGCTGTTAACGAACTCTCGGAAAGGAGTAGAATGTTTTTATTTGCTACCGTTTGCTACTTTAACACATCCAATATTCGTTGCCAGAAAAAGCATGATCATCCAAATCTAACCGTTCTCGTGAATATCAGAATAGGTGAAAGGAAGTACACACCCCTTAGAATCAAACCTCGAAGCATCGATTTATTTCAGCATACACTGAGAAGCAAAAAACCTTCAGAATAGCCTTTGTAAATCAGAGCTTAGTGATACAAAAAGTTGATTTTCTTTCAAACTTACCATAATAACCAATTCTCCTAATTTAATTTCAACTAATTTTGATCTTAATGTTTTGGCTGATATAGTTATTGTTCGAAAGAACACCATAAATCGAAACCATATACATAAAACTGTAACTGACGCAATATACATATGTATACGTGCACGAAATACTGTATGCGTATTAATATCGATAGCATGCGTTATTATTGTTAGCAAACAAAGTATATAAACAATCCAATCAAATAAGTTATTTAATGAATAATACATATAATAAGATTTAAGGCGAGTTCTTGCACGATCTTGAAAATGTTGTGCAAAACGAATCAATCGTGATCCTCTTCGGTGTGAAGTTGTTGGAGGGGCAAATGAAGTATCAAGTCCTATTCTCTTTATGATTGTACTACTAATTGGATTATTCGAAGAATCCGGTGCACTAACAATGACATCAATAGGTATCTGTTGTGCTGGGTTAGATTCAGTAGGTTTACCCTTGATCATTGTCGGTATTGCTGGTGGTAATGGATAATGTTGAGAATGATGAGAACGTAAATTTGGTAATGTTGGATTTACCGTTATGTTTGCTGTTGCATTATCAAAAACAACATGTTCTACTTCTCCAGTATTAGCATTAAGTTTTGCTAAAGTATCAGCTTTCTTGTCACCTGGTTGTGATGATTGTCCACTTATATTTGATTTATATTTATTTTTTGATATTAAATCTATGCGATTTTTAGTTCGTTCAGATTCCCAGATAATATAATCTTCATAACGTTGCCGTGCATAACTTATATCGAACATTTCTTGTACTATTTGCCATACAAGAAAAGTAATACTTATTGCCCAAAGTATACAACGCCAAATATCGTCTGGAAAACGATAAACATAACGAATAGGAAATGGTGTCATCAATGAACTGCATGTCCATGATATAAGAAATAGCATTTCAAGTACCAAATAAATATAAAAACGTTTAGCTGCAAAATTATCCCATTTCCATTTAATTAAACCTTTTATTAATGGATGAGTTATTAAATCAAGACGTTCATGATAATAAATAGCTTCTAAGGGTGTTATTGAACGAAATTGTGTGCCATCAGGTCGAAATTTGTGTGTAATTGAAGGCCGAGGTGCATAAGTTGGTACATTTAGTCCTGATGAATTATTATTTGGCGGTGATATTGCTGTTTTATTAGTTAGCATTGGTGACGGTGATGGTGATGTTCCAGTATTGCTTGATATTAGTGGAGCTTTTATAGATTTTTCTTTAGTACGATGTTTAAGTCGACTCTAAAAATGTAAAGAAGAATTTTTTTCCAAGAAATAACATGCGACAAAGAAAATAAAACCTTTCGAATATCAGTAGCAATAACCAATTCATTAATAAGACTTGTTGATTCACTTAGATCAATTTTGTCAAATTCTTCCCTAGAGACAAGAAAAAATCATTCAGATAAACGAATTGAAATATTTGTATTCAATCATACCATGGTTCAATATGATCAAGATAAAGATGAACAATTTTTTGCACTTCATTAATAACAATTAATGAATCCATTATATCAAGTGCTATTGTACTTGATTCATCACTAAATAATAATGCTAGAAAGACTTGCATACTATTATCAAGCGATTTGTATAAGCAAACATTGCATTTTTCACATGGTCTTAAACCTTGTTGATAATCTATTTGAATAAAACCTGTTTGTTGACAATTGAAACATTGCCGTTTTGCTTGTGTAACACCCGTCGGTGATACACCACAATGACCGTCACGTAATGAATGAGATAAATGTTCATAAGATTCTTTCCATTTAGAATTGATTAATTTAATTATCGAATAATGTTTAAATTCATTAGCTAATTCCATCGGTGTTTTATTATCATTATTTTTTGTTAACATCATATTTGCCCAAAACCAAAATTTAACACGAGATATATTAAGAAATGAATTTAAAGCATTTGGTGTATCTTCACGAGCTAGAGAAATATAATTACACTTATTACTTTTTTTGTTTTTTAATATTCTAACATAGATCATTTAAATTGGAGATTGAATCGGACCAAATCTTCTTAGCTCAATCAGAGTTATCTTAACTAGTAATAGAGGCTCAGCTACAATGACATTCTCAGATAACTAGGATACCGCAAAATGTTTAAAAGGGCTTTGAACTAAAATGAACTTGTCAATGCTAGTGCGTGACTGTTCTCAAGTATTTTTTTTACTGTTAATATATAATCTGATAGAATTGTAGAGAAGAATCTATCCCAATGGAGAAAAAGCTTTATTCTAAAGAAGTTGCCAATATAAGTAATCAAAATTTTATGAAGAGACAAAGCTACTGTTATAAATAAATTATATTACGGAAATAAATCAATCAATTCAAGCTTCTCTTCACTTCACTAACTACTGTATCAAATTTTTATAAAATCAATTCTTTTTCATTAAAATTTTAATTGCATTTTAATATTTTCCTGAAAATCAATTTTACTATAACCCGCTTTAGTTTAAAATTAAAAACGTTCTACGATCAGAAAAACACCCCATACAATCAATAAATAAACTCTCGAATAAATTCGTTAAATTTTAATGGCTATCAGATACTTCAAAATTTTATAATAAATTTTTTCTACATGTTTTATTGACATTAATTTTATTAATCGAATTGTAAGATCAGGTAGTAAAAACTACATGATCCACTACGTACAACAGATTCATGAATGAATATATTTAAAAACAGGCCGTTAAAACTTATTCTGGTAGATTAATATTTTCTGAACGTGAGTCTCTTTATTGTATGTTGAACCTGAAGTTTTGAATTTATATCGTTTCAGTCAGAACTGTGAATACACGTATTATTGACAGAGTCACCAAAGTTACCTCTTGGCCATGTATCTTTTCAAAATCTAACTACAGAGAAAATATTCTATGGTACTAAAAATGTTTTCATTCTCTATACTGTACAAAGACGTATGACTTTAGCTGATATTTTCGAGATATGGAAGTTGAACAAAAAGTATAGGCGGTGAAAATTTCTAAACTTTTTTAAAAGTTCAGTTGCACAACGCAATCGTATATTTCGATTGATTAATTGATTGATTTTAACTCAGAACAAATATTAGAAGAATGTTAAAGCAGAACAATTTTGCTTTAAATTTTCAAATGTAAATCTTTGTTTTACCTGCTATATGAAGTAAATTATCGCCAAAAGTCAAACTGCTTTCCGATAAATATGTTAATAATTCACTGTCCGAAATAAATGAAAGTAAAGTTTCCAGACAAAGAGAATTATTCAAATTTGATCTCATATATGTATGAATAATCATGTCCCCATGTGTTGATGAACGTACACGTAAACAATTTGAATCTTTTTCAATTAATAATCGTACGATTTCATAATTATTCATTTGCATAGCAATTTTCAAATCTATTGATTTTATACAGATTTTTTCTTGTTCCAGTAAAAGTTTACACACATCATCATGATTGTATAATATTGCTAAACTAACTGGCGATTGACCATCAAGATTTAATTGATTAATATCAACATTTGATGATTTGAGTAATGTACGAACTAATTCGATGTTACCTAAAAATAAAAAAAGTAAAACATTATTTAGATATATTTTTTTCCACCCATACACGCATGTCATATCGCATAAAGTTTCTAACCATGTTATATATTTGACACAAGAATATGTTTTTAATGCAATGGAAATTATGATTCTATGTATCAAGTACTTATTGGATGAGATCAAATAGAACAGCTATCTTCAGTTTTAATAGAAATCTAAAGCTAACACAACACTGTAAAACAATTCACGAATATGATAATTTGATCTTTTACCAGAGAGAACAGAAACATAATTACTGTAAGATTTTCATTGTGGAAAACAGTGTAAACTTAATAGTTGTTATGTTAAAAATTCACCAACTCGAGCAAAATGATTTCAATGATCAAAAAACTATAATTACTTTTTATAAGTAGCAATTTCATAGAAATTTTTTCCGATTGTGTCTTTAAATTATCATAGAGATATGAAAGACTAGTTTTAATACTAATTCCATGAAAATAGACTGATACCAAAGTTTCGAACTTCGCCTAACCGTATCGTATCTAACAGAATAGAACATTTATCAAAATTACAATGTAAGCTGATGATAGTTAAGTATAGGATAGCTGCTTTTTTTTATGGCAAAATCATTTTATATTTCAATTCAATCGCAAATAAATTTAGGAAAGCTATTGGTATCAAGACAAATAGCGACTGTAGAATGAAAACATGAAAAATATCTGTAATATTTCTACAATACCCTTTTCTGTTGTCAAATGTAAAACTGTATTTCCTCGTATATCATTGGCATTTTCATCTGCACCGTGGCGAATTAAATATCTTGCTAATGAACCATTTACATTATCTACACATTCATGTAATGGTGTACGTCCCTGTACGTCTAATAGATTCATTTGTTCAATATTCATCTTATTAATTAATATAGCTGCAACGTTGGCTTTTTCATTTGCGCAAGCTAAATGTAATGGAGTTTTACCAAGTTTATTCATTACTGTTAAATCTATTTGTGTATATTTCATTAATAATTTACACATTCGAACATTATCATCTCGAGCAATTAAATGAAGCGATGTATTTCCATCTTTATTCGTTAATGTAACATCACAATTATGTTGAAGAAGATATTGTGCAAACGTGTAATTATCACATAATACAGCATCATGTAATGGTGTTTGTCCATCACGATTTTGTGCATTTAACAACGACGGATTTGATGTTAAAACATTATCGTAAATAAACTTTTCATGTAAATACTTGCAATAATGTAATGCTGTATTTAATAAAGTATCGACAATATTTATGTTTGTAACATCAATATGACGAAGAAAAACAGCCAATAATTGAAAATTATTTTGTTCCAATGCATTTAGAAATGGTGTACGTCCAAGTTGATTCTGTTGATTGAAATCAGCTGATTTTTCAATTAGTTTTTCAACATATTTCGCATAGTCAATATCTTTTTTATGAACTAAATAATGTACAAATGTATTTCCATGTTCATCGCATGTATTTATATCTAGCGAATGTTGAACAAGCAATTCAATTGAATCTATACTTGGAAAATCGCATAATAATGGTGAACGTGGTAATTGAGAAAAATAACGTTTCCAATTAAAATTTGGTGTTAAATCAAATAAAGCTTTTAAACAAGAATCATGTTGAAATTTAACACATACACATACGGGTGTTTCGAATGGATTTAAACGTGTACCCTTTTGAAAGTCAGCATCATTTTCTAATAAAGCTTTTAATGCTTCAATATTATCTTCATAGCAAGATATATGTAAAGGAGTACAACCATTTTCATCAAAAACATTAATGCGAGCTTTATAAGTTTTTGTTAATAAGCGTATACTTAAACTATCATTCTTACGTGCTGCAACATGTAGAAGATATGTTTGACTAGGATAATCTAGATTATAATCAGAATTCACGTAGGATCGAATGAAAACTCTATCTTACTAACCCATATGAGATTCGCATGTTGGCACATTGACATCAGTCATAGTTTTGAATAAAATTAAAGCTAAATCTGTATTACGAGTTGCTAGAGCATAATGAGCTAGAAATAAATAATATATATGTCGAAATATAACTTTTTACCGAATTAAAATTCATCAAAAAACAAAAACTTTGTTTCAAGTATGTCATTTAGTAGATTATTAAAAGCTGTAATCATAACAGAATATTATCAAGAAATAAGTGAAGGCTATATGAGCCAGTCCACGTGAGCGACGCCCGAACCTGCTCAAACGATGTCATCCAATTTTGCTCAATTTCACACATGCTGTTTAACTCGAGATCTGAATTGCGATCTGTTTAGTTGATATATAAATGCACAAAACATCAAAAATTTGTATATTTTTCAGCGGTTTGGCTGTTGAAGTCGAATCATAAATCTTTGATATGTTTGAGTTGGTTTCTTTTAGGAAATACCTATAAACTTCAAATAGGCTCACAGTGAAAATTTGAACTAAAATAGATGTATGCTTCATGAGATATCGGTGTCGAAAGAATCGAAAAAAGTGATGTTTTCGTCAAAGTGGCCTTAGAACAACTTGAATATCTCAAGAACGGTATTATATTTTTTCAAGTTGCTTACATAGAAATTCTCGGAAAACTCGTCTCTATAACTAATGTACGGCCATGAAAAACGGTAATGATATAATCAGTGATTTCTAAGAGAAACCAATGGTAACTTTCGTCGAATGCCTCACACACCCGTAAACGAAAATAACCTGCTGTACAGGCCATTTATGCAGATCCCAGACTGACTTTTTTTTATAGAATTGTAGAGCAAATATAGGGCTACCAACTTGTAAAAAGCAACTCCCCAACTAACTCATATTTTAGGAGAAAACTCATCCTAAAAACACCTATTTTCGGCAAAAACCTCATTATTCAGAAGCCTACTGTGCCTAAACGAAATAAGATAGATGGCTAAAATTTTCTGGAAACATAGATCTATGAGTGTTCAATCTGCCGTGAAAATTTGACGTATCCATCTTATTTTAATCAAACGTTATATAGAAGCAAAGTTACCGAAAACGCTCATTTTCATCTATATCAAAGGATTCACGAAATTTCAACAATTCCATATTTCGAGACGCAAATTCTACGGTAAGTAAAACTCATTAAGTTATATGACTGTACAACATTTCAGCTCATTCTATTGAGCCAACTTCGAGATATAGCCACATGAAGTCAAGCCCAATGAAAATGGTCATTTTTGGGCCTTTCCGTAAAATGATCATAAAAATTTTGATATGGCACACATCATTGCACAACAATTAAAGGCAATGTTGTTGGTTTTAGCATCATCTTATTCTGAGTAATCTTTTGGTTCGTCAATAAGAAGAAAATTCTATTTCTCTACTGTTCTAATAAGACTAAATTTTATGAAAAGTCTAGTTGAATTGTTTTAAAAACAAAACATCTGAACATTTGATTTGTTTTTCTACCTATAATCGCCAGGAAAGAATATTTCAAAATATTTTTATTTTCTTTTTTTTAAATTAACAACTCATGCTCATTGACGCTGAAACTTTGTTATTGAATCACATTCAATAATCCAATAGTTTATATTTGATTCTCACTGGAATATCTCATTTGATGTCACATATGAAGAACATTCTCTTTATTTATATGCATACCGTGATTTTTCATTATCAGTACTCGAATCGGCACATATGGCTCTATGTTCTGATATTTATTCTCTCTCTCTCTCTCTCTCTCTCTTTTGAATTATCTATGCTCTAATTTCATTCTCATTTTCTTACTATTTGAGATTTAGTTATGCCTTAAATACTTTTTGCTAACATATTCCCAATAATTAATACTTCAAAATTCATTTATTTGTATTCAAGTTTTAAGTTTTAAGTTTTAAGTACTAAGATATTAAATTTAACATTTAGTGTATCACAATAAAATCTGAACTTATTGAAACATGAAAAACTGCCGAATATTCAATCTGAAAATAAATCGATATACTGATGCATACCTGCCGTCCATCCATAATCATTTTGTTTACTAGGATCACAACCTCCTTTTTTCGTTAAATATTCCACAATACTAATCGATTCAGCTGAATGTATCTCAGCACGTGCAAGTAAATGTAATACAGTATTTCCTTCATCAGTAATTGAATTCAATTGTGCACCACTACGTTCAAATTCTCTTATAACCTCCAATTGCGGATTTGGCTCAGAAAGAATATATGTTAATAAAGCTTTATTTTGTGTAGCTGATGAAAAGAATGGATCAGGTACATTTGTTCGACCAAATAATGATTTTTTTGCATCTGTTAATTTAGAAATTAATGAATGCGAAGTTTTCGGTGATGCCGGTGATGATATATTTATTGATGTGTCACGAACATCATTTGAATCATCAACAACATCTGATGATTGCATTGATGATGATTCTGGTGGTGATTCTTGTGATGGTTTCGATGGATTATTATCACTATCGTTTGCTGGAGTTGTTGCTTGCCTGTATAAGAAAAAGAAAGGATTGTAATTTATGATATGTGATTATCGGTATTGTTAAAGAAGTAACTAAATATGAGAAGGTCACAAGAAAAGAATGTATGCTCGTTAAAACAAAGGATATTGTCAATAGATCCAAATAAAGTTTATTGATTTTTCTGACGATTAATCGATTAGATTTTCGAACATAGTATTATTTTAAGAAAAAAAAGGATTCACTCGTGTTTTTACTTGTTTTTTAATCGTATATTAATACTTACATTGTATTTCTTAATAGCTTCTTTTTTGTCTGTAGTACTTGTTATTCGATAGGAACAAAATAAATGTCGATATATTTTACTTCTCTTTTATTATTATAATGATCTAATAGATACAAAAAAGAGAATGCCACTGTGATATTTTCCATTCGTCTTTTCTTCTTCTAATTCTTCCCTGTTATTGATCATTATCTCAATAATTGCGAGCAAGCTGAAAAGTCCTTCAATTGAATGACATTAATAAGTATTTTCTTCTTAATAAATTTTTTTTTATTTCGTATTAGGCAATTAGTAAACAAACAGATGTATTAACTTAGATCGATCGGTCGAAAATCTATCGTGTTAATGATGTTGCTTACTTACGCTTGAATATTACTTGAAAAATATTCTATGTGAGAAGAATTAAAAGACCATCGATTGAAGCAAAAAAAATGATAATTTCACAGTAAATCAATGAGCAGATCAAATTAGTTTTGATAATAAATCATAAAAACTAAGAATAGAACTAGAAAGATGCAATTAGGAGTACAGTTTTTTTTCTCCTTTTCTTTCTTTGTATTGATAATGACAAATACTAGCGTACAAATGAATTGATGAGACAGAAAGTCACAAGGTCACAAAACTAAAAAAGTACTTGTTAGTTCATAATGAGGAGAGAAAAAGAGAAATTGCCTATATTTCAAAATCAATTTTTAAATATCGTACGAATGATTTTCTAATCAACTATTTTCATCGGTGATATAAATGTTAAGGTTATTAAACGCTTGTCGATAAGTGTCAACAATAAAATATCAATCACTTAGAGACCATATTTGCTTTCACGGTTATGAGAGAATCAACATTATGTGAACAAAAAAGTAGATCTCTTATGATCTGGTCACATTGAAATTGGCAAGATACATTGTTACATTATTATTAATATGCCTCATTGTTTATGCGATAAATAACCAGGTAACTATGTCTCAGCTGCAAAAAGTGATAAATGATATAAGATGTCAAGAAAAAAAACGAACCATTCTTCGTGTAATCATATCAAATAAGAAACAAGCATGGAATAATTCATAATAAGCATTTGAGACTAGAATGATTGCGTTATGTTATGTTATAACTAGAGCAATAATTTATTTAGAAAGTCAAGTACTCGGTTTCAAAATATTTGTATTATGTTACACCACTTTTCTATTATGTTAATTCAGTTATACAAATAATGTTTTTTCTTATTACACATTAAGAATAAGGTATCCTGATTTGATACAAAACTATGATTTTAATTTACTTTTGGATTGGAGTGTATTGAGAAAAAAAAAGAAAATATTTTGTCTGTAAATACTATTTTGTGACGAATCAATTTGAAGACTCCCTTGATTACACGTAGAAGAAACGAACGTTTTCAATGCACCAATTACTTTCTCGCCCAAAGTGAGCGATTTGAAGGCTATCACCCACACACTCACTTTCTTAAATAGAAATTTTGTAAGGCTCGTGTTCGATGATTATAGAACATATCGAGTTCACTAGTATTCAATAATATTTTATATTTTCCAAGAATTTATTTTAAGTGTACAATAATATTACGTATGCATGCACGTTTTGTCAATCGAAATAGTGTCAATTTTTTTCCAACAAAAAAATAACATTTCAAATTGAAGAATTTCCCATTATCGATGATAATAAATTACTTAATGTAGGAAATCAACTTATGAAGATCTAATTAACTGTCAAATGGTCATGTTCGGTATCAGCATGACTGAAACCATTTTCTCATGAGATTTTTCTTCGACTTTGTATGAATGAAAGAAATTCACCGATTTAAGATTGATTACATTAAATTTTTGAAAAATCTAAAACATCACGTCGGCTATGTTTTTAGATGAACATTTATTCATCTGATCAAACAATTAAAGATCATACGAATATTTTAAAAATAAAAAACAAAGGAATTAACTATACTATGAAATAGGTATTCAAATATAAAATTATGTAAGAATTGAAATCTGATCGCTTTTATAAGAGAGCAAATAAATCGAACATACTTATTTAATTTTAGTCTACATTGTAACATACTTCATATAAATAAATGTAAGCTATATTCACTTACTAATCCATGTCTTAAATGACACTTCGGTGGTTATTCTTGTTTGGATATAACAAAATAAAATGATATTCACTTCACAATATTTTCTATTTGAATTAAAATACATAAAAAAGAATGGAGAATTTTTCTATTATTAAATTATCAAGAATGACACTAGAACGCAGAGTATGTGCTACTAATCTAGATCCACACTTATAGAAAAAGATATTAAAAATAATGTTTTAGTATAGATACGTATCTTCATAAAAAAAAGAAAAGAAAGAAAGTCAATTAGACGGTTTAGATTTGATAATGTGATCTTGCATGAATTTTGACGCGAAGTATATGAATAAAATCAATACTCATATTCAACCTTTTTGCAGACAAATGCCATTCTTATCTTTCTGTTCAGAAAGCTCTGGCAACCAATTAAATAGGTCAACGTTCATGCGTAACAAAGAGCTAGTATTTATCAATATGATGTTAAGTCCTGTTCTGTGTAAAACATCGTATCGCTTGCTATATAGATTATAACGTAGACAGAAACAATTGATATGTAACAGTTTGCCAGAAAAAATGGCAATACTACTTATTTGTGACGTAAATCATAAATTAGAAGAGGTCAATATTACGATATTTCAGTTTGTGTCTGGTTTATTTCGTATCATTTAGATATTAATGATGAATATAGGAATGTTGAAATGTTGAATTCGCTGTATTTTAATTAAAGCATGTAGTCTTTTTTTCGATTTAAAACAATGCAAAAATGAAGTAAAAGTTACAAAGCGCTTTCAAGTACAGTCTCTCTCTATGAAAGAAAAAACTGAATCATTCAAATAAATGTTGAAATAAGATGTCGATATGGACTTGATTTAAAATAATCACCATATTTCTATGATTATATAAATAGAATCTCGGAATTTACAACATTCCGGTCGTATTTCTGATTTCTTTTCTTGAACATTGCCGATTTCATATGTTTTATTCATAAAAAATATGTTTTTCATTGAACGTTTCATTGGCAAAAAGCATGGATAGTTACTTATGGAGCTGTTAATTATGCATATATCTTACCCTCTAAAAAGGTCTGTAGAATCGTAAGTTTTTCAAAAGATTTTATAGCTGGATAAAGCGTACATCGTAGTTTCATAGATACTTACACAAATTATGCCAATATAATAAAATCTTAAAGAAGTTAATAATTATTTTCAAACAGCGAACAATAATGTTGGCAGTAATAAATATACGAAAACTAATATTGTCAACATATCGATTATTTCTGTTCAAATTCATATTGACGATGACTAATTATATGAAATCAGCATTTTATGTGATTGTAGCACGAAATTCATTGCTTATCGTACAATGTAAACTATCGATGCTTTTACAAATATTTGAAACATTGAATAAATCAGTTAAATTTACAAAATGAAGAAAATTTCAGCCTATAGTAATTTCCAAATTATCAGAACAATGTTGAGAAAAAAAGATTTTTTACACATATCATACGGTCATTTTTTGTTCTTCAGTTCAGTCAAGGGAAATCTTAAATTAATAGTTTCACTCCGCTTATATTAGTAATAATATCATAGAAGCATTAGTTTGATTTTTAAGTAAATACTATAGTCATTCAATGCTTTATTCTTCAGTTCACGATTTCTTTCATCTGTGTATCAGATCGATTTAACCAAGTCCTCGTTCAATGAGCTCATTTCGCATCTGAACTGCAGCACAACATGGACAACATGTGACAGCACAATAGTCATCACAAGAATCACCCTGATGAAAATAAAATAATAGCTCAGTCTTATCTGATTCGTACGTAGATCAACTCACCTGAATGCGAAGAATTGATCTAATTTTCATGCAGTATACAACAAGTGCACCAGGAACGCAGCAACACGATATACACGATTCATCGATCTTTCTTGCGATCGACAGAACAAAACAGGAAAAACAGAAATATGCGTAACAGCCTAAATTAAACATGAAAACAAAAAATCACGAGTAACTAACTGAATATTCATCTCACATTGGCCCATATTGTTGCAACATCCACACAGCCCTGTTCTTCAATTGTCGTTGAATTGCGCAAATGGATTGGAAGCAAGTGGCTGCATGGTAGTAGCAAATTGATTTACTTGATTGAATCGGGTCATATGTTTAAAGATATTTCAGGCTACTTTTTGAAATTTTACCAACGATGAAGAAAGCGGATTATTGTAATTGATCAAAATTTCTTATCAATTCAAGTAATAAAAAAGCTCACTCGGGGTTTATGAGAGTCGCTTATCGGAAAAGAATATTGTTTCATATACTCTTACGTTAATAAGAGTCTCTTACTAACTTCAATAAGGTAAGTAATGAAGCACATAATAATAGAAATCCTTGCTTCTTTACTCTGATATGTTTTATGGTTCTTGAGGTTCATTTATTATCAAAGAACAAGCGAAACAGAAAAAAACGTTGAAGGCTTATTTATTTTATATCTTGAAAATGGCGGTTGAGATTTCTGTATATTCATTACTTTTGCAGTCACATAACGAACGAACAATCTTACGGTTCGTTAGAGCCCTTCAGACGATACGAAGTTTAATAGGCTCTTCCAGAACACACTCGCGATATTAAATAAGTCAAAGACGATGCACATTCAAGTTCACTAATATACTCATGACTTGTAGTGTCTGTATGGAAGATTGAGGGGGGCAGGAGTGGCCATGTCTCGGTAAGAGAAGATATGTTGGTGTTTAAGTAAAGGACGGTTTGATTCCAATGAATATTCATACCGACGATTTTGACATGCATTAAGTTGATGAAAAATTCGTAAGAAAACTAATTAAACTTGTTGGGTTTCGATAGCCAAAATTGGAGTGACTGTATTTGAAACTGATATTAATAAAATTTTAGACGACAATAATACTGGTTTCCAAGGTGCAAATGACAGCATAGGAATTCCCAACACCCTATTTGACTTTTGGTCAGTTAGCATAAGTTTGGCAAAGTGAGAAATTACTGCAAGCAAGTAGATGCCATTAAAATTTATACAAAATCACTAAAAATAAATGGTTTCTCGATGATTTCTGACTGACTCATGAAGGATTCAAATCATTTGTATCTTCTACAGCTACGGAAGCAATCCACATACAACCATTTATAGGATTTCTGCTACTTTCAAATAGTTTCATAATGTATCTTGCTGTGTGCAGAACTATTCTTAAGTTTTATTAAGTATCGTAAAATCTCTGCTATTCAAGTTCCGGAGTTTTTAAGTTTGTTGTTTTCCACTTACACTGCCGTAAAAACTAATGATGAACTCAGCTACCAACCGTAATCAATGTTGTTACAGATGTACTGAAGAATGAAATTTTATTTCAAATAGCTTAAATTAGAATTAGTCCAAACGTGGTATACAGATTTCTTTTCTAGATATTTCAAAATAATTTTTATACTAATAATTATGTCTGTAGAGAAAGCGTCTACCATATATTAGTTGAACTCGTTTTCGGAGTGTTTTAGCAGCATAGCGCCTATATTCTTTTTTTTTATGCAATTAGCATTCTCTTTTTCTCATCCGATTTTCTTGCATAATTATAATAATCAATACAATGGGATAACATAGAAAATGATATGTATCATTTATTTTTAATAGAAAACGAGAGAACCATTTGTTTTCTTTCATTCTAATGGCTTAAACAATCATTATTCACTCTGACCAACTTCTTGAATTGTTTTTAGGAATACCCAATCAATTTTTACTTCAAAACCATCAGCGATGTATGTTTTGATTGTTATAATTAGCCAAAACTGAGATAGAAAATATTGTTTCTAAACTTTTTGTTTTACTACATTTCATAGGATATAGTATGGTCTAACTGATACGAATTGGTGAAATCATTTTTTACAAAAGATCGCATGATATTGAAACTCAACGCCAAAATCGACTTAAATGTAATGAAACATGACTTGAAATGTAACAGTTCTGAAAGAATAACATACGATCATTCGTATCTCTTCAACAAAAACTCTTTTTAAGTTAATTATACTAGTTGAAGAATAATACAAATAGGAAAAAAAGAATTGCAAACAATAGAAATACTTTTCTTTCTATTTATTAATATAAATAATTGTGTTGTTATTAATCAATAGAGAAAATATATACAACGTGTACATCCTGTTGAGATTAGTGTAAAACACGATGGTCATACAGAGACAGTAATATACGTATAGCGTAGTATACATAGTAATAGACGATTAATTTGTTTTGTGAATGCCATGTTGTTTTTGTTGACTCGATTCAAACATCATGTGTATTTATCAAATGCAAAATTATATTTATCAAGTTTCTGATGAATTAATTCACATTGGTATAGTGCTTGAAGTTCATGTACAACTGATAATTTTAAAGTTGAATTACACAACGATAATAAATATCGAGGACATTATTTAGATCGAGGTAAAAGAAAAGTCAATTTAGCATACATAAGTCAGCTGCAAGATATTCTGATAAGCTAGGATTGATTGAGAATTTCAATGAAATATTCATCTGATGTCATTCTTGCCTTCTTACTAATGTATCGAATATTTATCAATTTTTTAACAAGAATAAATCTATTCTATTTACACTTGCCAAACGCCATTACAGTTTACAGGCAGATATATTAGATTGGTGAGAAAAATAAATACAATAATTACGATTAGCCTTCATTCAGTCGCTGAAAAGAAACGTTAGTATCGATTCCGCTACTAAAGTGACCTTTCATCTCTACATATGAGAAATGAAAAAAGAAAACAATGAAAACAACAATTTGACGAAGATATACTAAAATTACCCGACCACTTGATTTTATGTGCAGTACAAGAATTGAAACATAACTACAAGCACTAAATATGATAATAATACCAAGTCATTCGTCGCATATCTTTGTTAGTCATAGAGACATGATGCTTGTTCAAATATACATGTTGACAAGATCTACGATAATTATTTTTTCATCAGAAAAAGAACTCAATGATCAGTGTCCTTTCTTATGAAGAACGCAGCGACAAAAGAACTTCAGAACTGCGAATGAGTAACTGTTCGTGAATTTCTAACACTGTTTTTGCCTTTTAACAATTATTTTTACAAAATGATAAATCATAATTTCGAACATCCTTGATCGAATCGAAATTTACTTGTGCAGTTCTACAACAAAGTTATATGTTTTATTAGAAATAGATGTCGTTCCTGCCGTCTCTCAGCACATAAATATTGCATTGGATCACATAAATGAGCCACTTAAATAATCTTTCATGCAGTGCTTAGATTTTCCATCAATAAGTTTTCTTTTTCAAAACGTAAACTTCTATTTAATTTTGAATAGATCTTACATGTCATCTTTACTTCGTCTTCTTCGACTTCGTTATTTAGTTTTGAGTACAACTGTTGGTGGCAGTTATGTAGTTCATAAAGTAAATATCATTCACCTTCGTTTCGTTTCTCAAATCAATTTTATCGATACTATTGCGGTTTTTAGAAACACAAAGAAATACAAGAGAAACTACCAGATATATCATGGATGAAACAGAACACGCCTGAACAAGATATTGAAGCATTGAGGAAACATTTATTCGATTTAACAAGTACTACTTCATTTCCTGATACCGTAAGGAAAATTTGTTTCTTTCTTTCCCACTTGATCATTCGTATAATGTTTTGTTTGTATAGAGTAATTTATTAGATCGCATTAGACAATTCCATGAAAGGCTTACTGATTATCTTTTAACAACAACATTTTCAAGTAGAACTTTTCTTTTTTTATTAATTTTTACTAAAAAGACGTGTTGCAGTTTTAGGATTTTTAACTCTTGGTTCACCTTTCCTATTCAATAATTATGAACAAAAACCATCAAGTAGAAACCAAACTGTTTTTTCATAGCTAGTTTTTTTCATCGTGCGTTGTATTAGATGCTTTTTTTAATCTGGCTAAATCATATCAAGATAGCCAATCAACAAATGAAGAGCGAGAAAAATCAAGCAAAGTTAATACTTTTCTTGTCATGAAATTTTCATTGAATTTTTCGTACTACAGACAGCTCACGTTCAAGCACATGAACGCCAAGAAAAAATTCAGCAAGAAATGATGGCTATACAAATTAAATATCAACGTGAAATAGATCGATTAGAAAAAGAATTACAATCATTAAAAAAACAACTTCTATTAAAACAAGATAAAAATTCAAGTGTAAAAAAATTACGAAAAATTAAAGTTTGTTTTACTCGATCCATGTAGATAATTTCAATTCTTCGCTTTTTTTCCAGAAATCACTCATCGATATGTACAGTGAAGTATTAGATGAATTAAGTGAATATGATACTAATTACAATATTCAAGATCATCTACCTCGAGTAAATATGATTGTTAAATAGGCTATTCATCGAGAGATTTAAAACTGTGTATCATTTATACGCATATAAATTGAATTATTCTAATTATGACCAACTAAAATATACGATAAAGTGATGTTGTTACTGCACAGTTGTTAATTTTTCAAACACATAACAAAAAGGGCGAAGTCAAAGTAGATGTTATGAATTGTGCAAAGATGAGTACCATTGGGATTCTGGCGAATCTCATGTACTTCAGAATATTCTACTAGAATCGCATACTTTTAACTAAAAATATAAAAAGCCTCTATTCTTATTTTTTCCCCCGTAACAATTGATTGCATCATTGAATTTTTCTATTCAGGTTGTTGTTATTGGTGATCAAAGTTCGGGTAAAACTAGTGTACTTGAAATGATAACCCAAGCACGTATATTTCCTCGGTATGTTAATGTTATTCATTTGTATTTTTCATATTCAACTTGTATCTACTTTTTTTTAGAGGTGCCGGTGAAATGATGACGCGTAGTCCAGTAAAAGTTACTTTAAGCGAAGGTCCTTATCATGTTGCAAGTTTTAAAAATAGCAGTAAAGAATATGATTTAACAAGAGAAACAGATGTATACATACCATTGCTTTAATGTCACATAATATCAGTTTACTTCTTTAGTTAGCTGCTCTTCGAAGAGAAATTGAACTTCGCATGCGTGCATCTGTTAGAGACGGTCAAACAATCAGTAGTGAAGTTTGTTTGCAAATATTTTCATTATCAAATATTCCATAAACAAAAAAATTTAGGTTATTTCACTATCAGTAAAAGGTCCCGGTCTTCAACGTATGGTACTTGTTGATTTACCCGGCATTATTAGTGTTAGTTATAAATAATTCTTTTTGTAAAAATCTAATTCGCTGGTTAATTTTCATTTAAGACGGAGACAATCGGTATGGCATCAGATACAAAAAATTCAATTGCACGCTTGGCGAATAGTTATATGTCGAATCCAAATGCTATTATTCTTTGTATTCAAGGTAAATATTTTAGATTCAATGTTAATTGATGCATGCATTTTTTAAGTATTTTTTTCAGATGGAAGTGTTGATGCAGAACGTAGTAATGTAACTGAACTTGTTTCGAAAATGGATCCATATGGTAAAAGAACTATTTTTGTTCTAACCAAAGTTGATTTAGCTGAAGCTAATCTTCGTGATAGTGACCGAGTTAGTAAAAACATTGATTTTAAAATCATGAATACGAAACTCTTTTCTCTTCAAATTTAGATTAGAAAGATTCTTGATGGCAGACTATTTCTAATGAAAGCTTTAGGTTATTTTGCAGTTGTTACTGGCAAAGGTTAGACGTTTTTCTTATAAAAGACTTAATATCATAGCTTTTCTTCAAGACATAAATTTTACTTTTACTGGAAGAAGAGTGACTCTTGCTTTCTATTGCATAACAATATGTGTGAATAAGTCGGCGAAATTCAATAAAAAACCATTTTCCACTAAATAAATAAAAACAATACAAGTCCATATTCATTTAGGAAGTGCCGATGATCCAATAGAGTCCATTCAAAAATATGAAGAAGAATTTTTTCAAAATTCTAAACTATTTCGGTAAGCGAATTTTCATTCGTCTATTTTTCAATTTATTTATTTGGTAATTTAAAGTGATGGGGTGTTTAAAGCTACTCAAACAACAACACGTAATTTGAGTTTTGCAGTTAGTGATTGTTTTTGGAAAATGGTTAAAGAAAGTGTTGAACAACAATCTGATACTTTTAAGGCAACAAGATTTAATTTAGAAACCGAATGGAAAAATAGTTTTCCAAAAACACGTGAACAAGATCGAGTTTGTTTCTCAACTTAAAATTTTTATGATTCATTATTTTATTTCTTTGTTTAGGATGAATTGTATGAAAAAGCTCGTGGTGAAATACTTGATGAAGTTGTAAATCTAAGTCAAATACCTAGTCGTCAATGGTAATTATTCTTACGTTAGATCAACTCTATGAAATTTCAAATGAATATTTAATTTAGGGAAGAAAATTTATCAAAACATCTGTGGTCAACGATGTGCAACTTTGTTTTCAATGATGTTTTTGTTACAGCTTCTCAAGCAGGATCCGTCGGGTAGATCTTTTTTCTGTCGAACCAAACGAGTAATTCAATAGAATCTTTTTTTTAATGTTGTTCGTTTCCAGCGGGTTTAATACAACTGTTGATGTTAAATTACAGCAATGGGCTGAAAAAGAATTACCACGTCAATGTGTTCATATTGGTCACCTTGTGTTACTTGATGAATTTCAAGGATTAATTGAACGTGATCAAAAAAGTCGTTCCTATGATTCAATTACGAATGATGTAAAAATGCATGTTGTTCAAGCATGTCGTTCTAGACATCAATGGGATGCAAAAGCTCTTGATTCACTTGTATACATAAACATATTATTTATTTAATACGATTATTTGTTTTTTGTTCGAATAGAGAGTCATTCAAGCGCAAGCATTACAAGATCGTAATGTACCAGATAAACAACAATGGGAATCGGCTACGAAATTTATGGAAAATGCTTTACGTAAAGAGCTAGAACATGAAGAATCAGAATTATTATCGAATACGAATCAAAACTCATGGAAGACATTAATTGGCTTTCAAACATCGACTATTGAAGAAAAAAATCGACAGCAATGTGTTAAAGAATTAGAAAAAGTCTTAACAAGTAGACAACAGTTAAATCAAACAACTAAAGCTAATCAAGTGGTATGAACATTTATTTGATCAGAAAATTTAAAAAATATGATTCTTTTGAAATTTTTGCATATTGATTTCATGCTCATGAAAATTTCATATTATTTAGTTCAATCATATTCTATTTATAGATAGAATAAGTGATAGTTACTATCCGATCCATAGAGTATCATCTTTGCTTTCTTGATCTTTTGTAAAAGAGATTCTACAAAAATTACTGGGTTTGAAAGGTACATATTTAGGTGCACCACAGAGATCTTAGCTATGTGTATCGTCTTTCAGTTATAGATGTTGCTAATCAAAGACTGCCACAGAACAAGGCTTCTTTATGATAAAAGAACTGTTTTTTTTGTATTGCACTTCTGAATAATTAAGTAAAAAGTTGACGAAACAATACCAGTAAGGTTATTAACAGCATTCAAACTTTGCTTCACTGTTTAATCCTACAAGGATTATGTTGACAGCTTTTTTCAAGTCGAATAATTCAGAGAGTCTACTTTTCTTCTTAAGTTTTTGATGATATCTGTATTCCATATGATGAGGTTGTTGATGTTGTTCTATTGTTGTACCGTATATTTAGTAGATTAAGTAAATGCAGAAAGTTGATAAGGTGAAATACCGCCGATCTCCATCCTTCAATACTATATAATTAAACTGTTGTAACGTCACTACACTAGATAATAGTATCTAATTAATTCATTAGCTCTATTCTTAAAAACTTATTTTGTTGCAGCAATGAGACGATATAGCGCTCTCGTTGGTTAAAAATTCAGTGGATCGATTCTGTCGTTCACTTATGATTTCCTTTGTTTAACATTCTAAGGATTGATTATAGTATATCATTAGGACTTTTTCTGTAAGTTATATCTATGATTTAGTGTTTCATGTCATTTTTTAGCTTCGCTCTGTTCTTGATCAAGATGAATTGACAACTGTAAAAAAAAATCTTCAATCACAAAAAGTCGATGTTTCTAACGAATTTGTACGCTTCTTCATCTATGTGTACTATTTAAAGATGCTTAATCTCTAGATCAATGATACCTGGCAACGTGTATACAAAATTCATTTTCTCAAACAAAATCTAACGACATGTTTTGATTGCCGTCGATTTTTTTATTATTATCAAAAAGGATTTTCTGATCAAGGCGTACGTACGATATTTGTCATTATAGATATGACCTGTTTTTGATTCGTTTAGCTTGACTGTCATGAAGTTGTTTTCTTTTGGCGTTTAAAACGTATGATCGAAATAACAAGTAATGCGATTCGACAACAAATATCAAATATTGAAAGTTTGTTTTCTAAACTGTTTATGCACGAAAATAAATGATCTTTATTTTAGCTCGTCGACTCGAAAGAGAAGTCAAAGAAATTCTAGATGATTTCAGTGGAGATGAAACATTGAAGGCAAATCTTCTTCAAGGAAAACGAGTAGATTTAGCAGAAGAATTGAGTGAGTACTTTTTTCGTTAATAAAGAAATTGTTAATTCTTGTTTTTGTAGAACGTGTTCGACAAATTCAAGAAAAACTAGAAGAATTTATTGAAGCTTTGAATACAGAAAAATAATCTATTTCTTCTGTTGTTGTCCGATCATCAATATCTGTTAATACTTTTTTGGGAACTGTTCTTATATAAATGTCTAGGAAAACCCATTTTTCATCTATTTACTTTGCCTTTAGCTTGCTTTTTTCTATTCGAAGTTATTTTTTACGATAAACGATCAGAGAAGTCTTCAATTATTAAATTGATATAAAATCAGTCAATATGCGATTTTCTTCTAGAACAAACTGTCTGTATTTAGTTGATCCGTCCTTCTTCTAGTTAGATTACATTTATACGCCATTGTTTTTTCCCAAACGTTCTATCAAGATGATTTTGAGATGTTTCACCTTTTACTTGAAGGTTACAGTATTTGTATGATCTCAAGATATTCCTTGGTCAAAATCAAAACATAGTTTTATCTTAAACAACATTTAGAGAGTATCATTTAAGTACAATAAACATATTCAATACACCGATTTCTGAAAGTTCGATTTTCAAGCCCATCTTGTAATAAAATGTGTAACTTAATTAAAAATTAAGTCTTAGTATAAGAAAACGCACTGTTCTTACTATCGTGGATTTTTGTTTACATGTTCACTAAACATACAAGTATTGTACGTATATATGAAATGCATGATCAGTTAGTCACAAATGTTGTTTTTCCAGCGTGATAAAATGGTCTTGTACGATAGCGAAATACAAAAGTTATTTATTTTTGAAATTATCAATCCACTTTCAATGCAAACAATGTTCCATGTGAGATGTTTTGAAGTTATCATACAGGAATTAAACGACAGACTGAGATGCATATATTTTTAGATAAAAAAGAACGAAGTGATTACATGAGAAAATGTACTGTTCAAAGATTCGCTACTCTGTATTGCCGGAATATTTCATTCGTACAGTTTTTTCATAGGATCTTTCAATATGATTCGTTTTCTGGTAAATTGTGATGATGAAACTATTGCTGGGGGACTAGACAATTTTAACTCGAATCTAAAGATGAACAGTGGACTGAATCTGTTTTGATTAATATTTGTCCACTCAATTAGTTATCATAATCTTCAAATAGGCTTTTAAATCATTCACATTATCAAACTCTGTATACATCTGATGTATTCTATTGAGCAATTGAATTTAATAGTAATCTACCATTCATATTTTAGCTATTTAAAATGCTGCCAAAGATTTTTTCAATGATTTTTATTGCTGTTCTTATGCCAAGAACAGAATTCATATTGACCTTTTTACGGAACACGAAAAATTTTCTTATTCTATGACCAATGGCGATAGGAAAAATATGTAATAAGCGCGCCAAGCAAATTTTTATGTAAGAACTAACATTTCGTTGCTATTTATTTATTTCTAACACACAGCATTTGAACAAGAAAAAGAAACGGTCAGTATCCAGCAGCACGGTTTGTCAATGCCAACAGTTGTTTTTCGTACATCTATAGAATAAAAATAGGAAATAGACCAGAACCATCGATCATGATAAAAACAAGTAAATAAAATTTGGCTCGATACGTTAGTCGAATTTTTGATTGATATCAACCCCTAAAAAGAATAGAATAGTTTTATTTTGTTAAACTCAGAAGGTAGTGTCTAAATTGAATATGTTTATATTATAAACATAAGTTTACGTTTTATTTTCGGATTATAATTGATAAGTTTTTGTTCACATCGCGTCTCAAGAGTAAGTTTTCATATAAATCGTTTGGTTTCATCATGTAGTTGACTAGTGATCTACATTTTGTCTGGAACTGAATTTCCATTTTTCACGAGTCGACGAATCATTTGTGTATTATAATCGATTGCTTTTTCTAGTTTAACATGAATCGTAGTTTTATTTTTTATGATAGGTTCTATCCGAAAAAGCTATTTGAGAAAAATGATTATACTTTACGTCATAAATAAGTGAACATACTGCGTGACATTTTAAATGCATGATCAGCAAGAATTAATAAGCTAGCTGTCAGACTATCAGATCGATTCGTAGCTAGTCGAAGAAATCTATTTCGACGTTGACGTCGACTGGACGATTTAACTTGAACGTTGAGAATTTCAAATTGAACGAGAAGATTTAAAATTTGACTTTCAATATCATTTGTTTCTAACTGCTTTTTTTAAAGAATTTAGTGTTGTGAGAAAACGCTTTTTGCCGATGGAAGAATTATTTGTTAGCTTTCATAACAAGAAACTAAGAATAAACAATGACATATGATAAAATAAGTTTCATCGTGTTTGTAATTGCAGAATATTGTAAATATAATATATAACTTACCACTTTCGCCATTCTCTTTGTTGATTGAAATTATTTATTGGATGCCACCAATTATTTGGTCTTGATTTTATCTGTTCAAATGTATATTTATCTCGATACTTTATTGTATTTAATTCAAATGGTGTTACAACTTTCATGTTACTTTCTTAAATAGATAATTGTATGGAATAAAAATTCAATAAAAATTAGATGACTTCGTCATTGTACATATGCATTAACAGCTAATAATAATCGACGACTACAACCTATAGCACATACCATATCATGAGCCCATGAAAAAACAAATGTTCCAAATACCGAAGGAAAATGGTACGAGCTAGTAAAATTTCCATTGATGTTATATTCGATATCAGCAGTAACAAGATCATAGGATGAAGAATAGAGTTCGTGTAAACAAAAAATGCTTGAATCGAAGAAATAAAAACATCTACAAACCAAAGAAATGAGTGATGAGTAGACGGTCTCGAAAAATAATAAAGCACTTTATCCCATGCTGAACAAATTTTTCCAGAACCAAAAAACGCTAGCTTGTTCAAAACCATATTCAGTACAAATAGATTCATTGACTTGAAGAAATCGAAATATTGATGAAAATATCTGAAGAGTAACAACGGTATTATTATCAACGACAATAAGAATATCTATTGATGAGAAATTTTGGGCTATTTCAAGAACAAATTGAACCATTTCTGATGAAGGTTGTCGAGCGAGAAAACAAAGCGCTGCTCATGACTTTGAAGAATAAATAATACTCATCATAAACAATAGATAGAATAATACACTGATTCATTTATATCAAATAGATATAAAAATATTGAAATACATATGTTTAAACCGAACTACTCAACAACGTTCGTGTGAATCAGCTGCCGCATATTGAAAGTACATATATATTCAGCTGTTTCACATAGTAAGAAAAAAGTAATGACAAAGAAACACAACACAACTAAAATGAAGAACGTATCAACTGGAATACTAAAATGAATTGTGTCATAATTGATGGGCGTAAGTTTCGAAACTTAAAAATAACCAAAAAATTCAAGACTAGAACAATTTTCGTTGATAAAAGCTGAATAAAGTCATTAGTTAACTGTCAGATATTAAGAAAAAATGTTTAATCGGTCGTATCTGATGATTGTCATGTTCAAAGCAATATGGTTTTTATTCCTATCATTCAACTTTCTCTATAAGCCAATGAATTCAAACGAAATATAAAGGAACATCATGTTCTTTTTACAAATTTCCATATATTGTTGTCGTCGTTTGACTGTTGCAATCATTTTTATTTCTCAATCAACGGCAAATAAGAAGATCCAATAGTAGAATGATAATCACATGTCAAACAAAGTCAAATATGAATGACGTTGTAGTTGCTTGAAATTTTGAAAATCATATACACAACAATAGTTAAAGTACATTTTAATACTGATTGAATAGTGCAACTTGTTGGTATATATTTTCCAAATTATTTCTGAGCAACGACTAAAATCGAAAGCACTTTCAATTTAACTCTAATTTTTATAGATAGCAGTGTATGATAATTATAATTGCTAGAGGGTAAGAAGCACTGAAAGTTTTACATATAGTGATATTATCGGTTGCCAAATCATTTACATCGGCGATGCTCAGATATTAAACTGTGCAACATGTCTTTAATTAAATGAGATGATAGTGAGCTTGATCAAGCACCAATGAGTTAATGAGATGATGTTCTACAAGTAGATTCACGATAGTCAAAGCTAGTTTTTCTTTCACAACTGGTTCTTGATTTTGCCAATATTCACCAAATACATACACCACGTGAATCAGCAAGATTCAGTTCAGAAACAATGTAACCCTTACGAGCAATAACCACAGTTAACTGATACATATTTCGATCTGCTACAAGCACAGGGATTGGGCGTCTGTATTTACGGTGACAAAATTCATTGACAAAAACGTGATATGTATCTTGTCTTTGACTTCTTTCATTGTCTACTTCAAAAAATTGGTAGAGCAAACACAAAAGTCTGAATGTTTTGATAATTTGATTCATATTTTTCAAGTATTTTTCGAATAGCCTTTGTGGACGTTTCACGTACTTCTTGAGCGATTCCAGCTGCTCTACCAGCAAATACACCGAGTCCAATGCCTGTTTCGACTGCAAACTGTGCTCCTTCTCTATCACAGGCTTCTAATCGAAGTCTTGCCATACGCATTAAATCTTCCAAAAGTTGTTTTGTTTTATTTTTGTTGGTGGACGGTCGATTTTCCGACGAAAATCTCTGCCTCTATGAAGTTGTGGTAAACCAGACTTCGAATCAATTTCATTAACATCTTGCCAGTTTGTATTATCTGTGCGAATATCATTTAGATCATGTATTCGACCTGCACAATTAGTATCAGTCACTAATACTAGTTTAATTCTTTGTGACCATTTGTCTTGAAGTGTACGAGCTATTGTGCAACCATCGAATTCCATCATGATTGGGCATTGTGAGATAGGAACAACGAACTTCATACGAAATGCTTTTTCTCCATATTCACTTTTCCTTATAAAGCGTTAGCTAGAAAATCTTTTTTCATACCTTGTACAGTTTTGTCAGCATAAACTGTATAAGATTCTTGCCAATCAAGAATTTCTTACACAGTCATTATGAATCTCGGTGCATTATTTTTCTTGGAAAAAGAAATTCCCTTGTTCGGATCCATTGAATGCAGTGATTTACCAAATTGAAATCATTTGACACTTTGAACGACATATTCGTGAGAAGTATATTGAAAAAGGAATTTTTTTGCGAAAAAACTTTCCATTTGAGTTTTGCCATGATCGCCATAATCACTCATCGAGTCATGTTTCTCCATTGGATCAAGAGACACTAGTATTTGGAATAGCTCGTGAATGTCTGCATGGTTAGAATCGATGACAGAAACGACCTCGTTTGGATATTAGTCACTGTCGTGGAAGGTGTCTGTTCATTTCTTGCATACTGACCACGTTTTAATAACAAAGTCTGTGCATCGCTTTATTTAGCCTTCTCTGTCAAAGAAGCACTGCTTGCTTATGCATGGATGATCTATCTTTCCATCATATGTCTATCAGTGATTGTGAACAATTGATGCCTTGAAAAGCGTTGATATTTAACTTTGATCGTAGGCAACTGATTCAGTTTAGCTTGATTTTCATTTAGGTCCTTTGTCAATAGATCAATATTTTGCAGCGTAGACTTTTTTGGTTTAATTTCTGATTAAGTTCTTTTGATAGTTACGTAAGTGGATTACTTAACGTTTTGATTGGATTTTTTGTGAAACTTTTCATGCCCATTCGAGCTATATTCGCTGCACATTGAATTTGTCTGATAGATAAGCGTTTCCATCAATCTATTTTATTCAATAGTATTTGAATAGTTTTCTTTAATTCATCAACTTGTTCTTTTACCTCATTTATATCTGGAGTATTCACTTGTTGATTTTTCAATGGATCTTCGTCGACAGATGATGCTTTCGTGCTTGTTTGTTCAGTCAAGAGTGCATTCTTTTTGTTTTTATGAAAAGTCATTCTTTTTGCTTTAGAGATAGGATTTATAGACATCTAATTGTGTCTTCAAAGTTGAAATCTACTGAAATTATGGATTATTTTTCACTTGAAAATAAAGCAAGACTTTGAAAATGCTTCAATAGATACGAAAAAAAGATAAAATTGAAGAGCACAAATTTGCATTTGCATGCCTACGTTTTTCCTGATCTGTTCTCTAATCTGAATAGTAGTCACCTTTGAAATACGATAATAGTTACATGAAAGCAGCTAACATAGATTTATTCCTTATCAACACTTTAACTTTCTGCTGCTTTGCTTTTTTTCAAAAAGTATTCTTCGTCGGTATTCGAATAGAAATGTTCTAAGCTAGTATTGAGATAGAAATACCTATAACAACAGTGTTGACTAATCCTATATCTCAATGTATATGCTAGAAATTATAGAGACAAATCTTAGTAGTACATCCCTGCGAAACACCATTGCTTAGATCATCAGATTTTGAAAAAACATGCATTCATAAGATGAACGCAAATTTAGATTCTCTCATTTAATTACAACAGACAAATCAGTTTTTTTTGAGTTCTTCTGAAGTTTTGGCTGGTACAGAAACCAGTATATATTTGATTGTATCCATAAATATATCGATTCTATTCAATGAAATGTCAAGTTAATCTAGACATACGTTTTTCTTTTAATATTCATGCTTTTATAATCATTTAAAAGAAAAAAAAGATGAACATCAGATCAGTGAAGAAGAATTTTGATTTTTAATATAAATATATACTTTGGTTAATCATCTAAGTATTTAACAACGTTTCCAATAGATAATGTGGCCTATTATTATTTACACATAGAGTACTTTATATAATAATTGTTGGTTTCTTTATTAATCTTTTTTTATGATAGTTATAAATAATATATAATCTTATCATCAACATTTTTCAAATAGCCTTTGCCTGTCCATAGAAACTATGTATTTCTTCACATTGTAAATCATTCTAATGTTTATGCTATAAGATACACATTGCGTGACAATACTTGAGTACACGCAATGTTGTCAATAGAATTTAAAAAAGCATTTCTTGGATAAACGACAACTCCGATTGACTTTCCTTTCGGTTTTTTCTTCTTCTTACGCTAGAACCATCATAATTTGTGATTCGATTTCTTCGTACTTACGTATAAAAAACGGACATAATAAAGTATGGTGAACTGCTCACCACCTCAAAATAAACACACGACAGGCGAAATTCTCTTTTTTTTGCATTAGATATGGGCGTGTTTGCTTCATATACTATTACCATCATAATATTTTATATCCTGTTTTACTCTCTTCGCTCATTCTGTTCAGTAAAGAGAAAAGAGAAAAAAAGCAGCTATGTTATTATTTTTTATTAAACGATCGATGAAGAGAAGAAAAGAATCGAGGCTTTGACAACATAGCCATATAAGTACATTGCATGTTTTTTTAAATGATAATAATGTTTAAAATGATTTGAGTAAGTATCAAAATGTTCCGTTTGAAAAAGAAATTGGTTATTTACCAATCGCAACTACTGAAATCATGCTTTACTGATTGAGTTGAACAGAGTAGAGAAAATCGTTTATATTTTTCTTCTGAAGAATATTTAAGAGATCGCCGATGTATTTATTAGTGTTGTTATAGAAAAAATTAAAGAAATTGTTTCATTGAGCTGCAACCATTGTATTCCTTCCTTAATAATCAATCCCAAAAAAAGACATACTTGTTTAAAGAAAAACATAAAAGAGAAACCGTTGAACATTCTTTAATGATGTGCCAAAGATATTATTATGTTTATATATATATGTATTCTTTTTCTGTCAACTATAAAGTGTAATTCGCTTAGTGTTGACAAGCGAAGTCTAAATCTAACGTTGTGTGACACTCATTAAGCTTTCGGGGATTTAGATACAAGTGTCGCGCTTTATGAATAGAACGAAAGAGTGAAAGACTTTTCTTTTTGTTGCGTTTGGCTGTTGTTTTAATTAAAACTAAGCAAGAGAGAAGGCCGGTGACGTTTTTACTCATACATTTATTACTACATCCCATGAAATACTTTTTAAGTCTTCGTATTTACGAAGAAAATGTGAACAAGATGTTGAGAATTGTTATTACAATGGCGAACATCGCCAGTTGATTTTTTACTTCAACACTAGACTAGAGAAATTAGTATTTCCTTTGTGAGAAAGAAAAAGAGAAATGAGGAAGAATTGTTTCTTTCGCATGCGCGAACATGCACTCCTCGGCGAAGAGGGAAGAACGAGACTATAGAAGGAGAATAATTGGAAAATCTGCACAAGATGACAACAACAAGTTGTAAGGCGAAGTCAGTTCATTATCTTCTCACTGGCATGCATAAACGCATGAATACTGATTGATATAATATGGCTTAGAGGTATAGAAAAAAAAGGTTAATTAAAAATTGTCATTTGCAGATAACTTTATATGGCTAATTCAACAACTATAATATGTTGTTGCTAATACTAGATGAAGCCATTTTATCATAAAAATGATTATTTACCATGAGCTACCGCCTGTGGGTGATGCTCATATTTATCATTTTTCAATCGAAAACTAAACTTATGGCATGGAATTATCTAGAAAGTAAATAAAACTGAATATATTTTATTTTCCATTAACTTTTTTTTCTTAAAAAAAGATTGCTTCTATGAAAAGCGTATTAATACAACTTTACATGGTTATAATGATCTACACGATCGTTGGCTATCTGACTTTGATTGTTTTGACCGTTGTTTAAGAACTGATTCTCGAAACTGTCGTTCATTTGAACATTGGCATAAGAATGGTTACGGTATCTGTGTACGAGCAAATATTTCATTAACTGATTATCCATTAATAACAAGACATAATCCATTCGTTGACTATTATGAAATTCGTTGTAGACAAGATCATGAAAGTTAGTTTCGAAATATTTTATTTCTCTTCATCACTTTCTTTCCTCTTTTTTTTTGTATTAGCTATAAAACCAAGTGTAATACATTGTCCAAATGATCAATTGTTCTTAACAATTCAATTAAATGGTATTGATCCAAATGATGTTCTACTTGGTGATCGCAGTTGTAAAACTAATTGGTCAAATGAAACACACGCTCAATTTATTTCACATATCAATAATTGCTCATTGGTATTGAAAAGAATTAGTTCAAGTTTGAAAGATTAAATTAAATTTACTAAAGAAAAGTTTATTTTATGAAGCAGTAGAATTAATATAACTTTAGAGAAATTTTTATCCGAGTTAAATTTGACGAAGAAAAAATTCAATAGACAAGACTGAGTACAATTGAGCTATTCTTTAATTACAAAAATAAGAAAGATTATTGAAAGCCTCTTTAGTGTATAGAAATCGATGAAGACAATTTTATTTCTTGAAGCTTCTTGTGTATCCTAATCTAAAGATTAAATCGCTAAGTAATTCAAGCGTTTGATTTCATGTTTTTCAGATACTTGATTATTTTATTTACTATTTCATCTTGAATATTTTATGAAGAGATTTGGTTCATTAAACGGATATATTGTAATATTTTCTATACATGAACTTTCACGGTTGCAATAGAAAAAGAAGAAGAAATTTGAAAAGTACTTGATAAAGCCATGTCTCTTGAGTTTAACAGGCAAATGAAGTCTAAATTGATCTGTGTGACAGAAATAGTTGATTAATGATAAAGCAATTTTTCCAATAATTGGAAAAGATTCTTAGTTTAATGTAAATTCAATTTGTTCGATGCAACGCTTAGTTTTGATTGATTGTATTTTGAGACATACTATTACATCGGATATAGACGAATTCCCATGAGAAGCAATATAACATTGTGTACAGTCATTCTTCAATTTGTTTCCAAATTTTACTTATAATTAGTATAAATCTCTCAATAGATCTATTGTAAAGAAAGAATAAAAATATTTTCTGTAAAAAATCAATAATGATACAAAATATTCACTTTGAATTTTATAAAAAAATTATTAGTAAGTCTTAATTTTTCTTGTCTGTTTGTTTATAGACACTAATCAATGATTCGATTGTGGGTAAAATTCGTTGGAAAAATGTACATAAACATAACCATACCATCAAACAATATGAACGTTTTTTTGTCTGTCAACCTAATATCGAACAAATACGTCTAATGCATCGAACTTCAACAAAACCAACACTATACGATGATCACAATGCATTAATAGTGTCTTCGAATCATTATGATATATACAACGATGAACAAGAAATGATGTCATCGAACAGGTAAAAACAAAATAGATAATAGTAAACTAAAATAAAATTTGTTTATATGTATTTTATTAGAATTACTTTCGCATGGAAATCACATAATCATTCATATTTATGTCCTCAATCGTGTTATATATCTCTATATTCTTTTATTAATATAACACTCGATGATTTATCATTAATATCATCGAAATTTCTGATTGATTCGTGTGATTTCATAGCACTTCATCCTTACGCGAATTATGTACAGTCAAGACGATTGATTTATCAAGGGTAAGAACAATGAAAATTCTCCTCTTTAAAGTAAAATATTTTTTCGTTTTGTTTCTGTTTTGTTTAGCTGTTCTATTGATCCAACTGTGATTCAAGTTGCAATGAATTCTTCCTCATCTTCAATATTTCATTTTTCATTTTATCTATATCACATACTTAAAGAACCGATTCCATTTCAAATACAATGTAAAATTTTACATCAAGATGATCAAACTGAATTACAAAAGAATATCGACTGTTCAAAAGCATTTATTAATAATAATCATAATGATCCTTCATCTATGCATAAAAATGGCAAACAAGATTATTCCTTTAAATTGTTTCATTCATCGAAAGTTTATGTTACCAGACAATTACCCTTCATTGACTCTGAACGAGGAGCATTTCATAGTAAAAGTTATTATTATACTTATTAAATAAAATAAAATATTACCTTTTCTTGTATCTTAGGTCCAATTATGTCAATTGCTGCCGTCCATTATACAAAGTGCTGTCTTTTAGCCTTTTTTGTTCTTCTATTAAATGCAATTTAGAATGGAAAATTTTTAGAAATAAAAAAGAAAGATCAATATTTGCTTTTCTTTTTTCCTTTTTTAATAACTTCATTATTCTTTAATGCATAAATTATGCACGAATTTATGTATCGTTCATGGCTTCAAGGCAACGGCAAATATATTTCAATGTCATAATTTCCATAAAAAGTTTTTAATCAAATGAAGACATGACATAAATGAGTTGTTCACGCAGTAATTTCTTTTCATGTTAATAATTAAAGACGATTTTATACTAGAGAAATAATTTCATATGATATATGACAACAACAAAAAAAGAACACAATAGGAATTATTGTTATTTGAAATTCGGTTTTGTTATTATTACATTTTGACATGCACGAATCAAAGAATATTTCTACTATCAAGAAGAAACTAGATTAATTAAGAAAGAAACATGATAATTGAATAATAAGACTAGAAAGTTGTAAATCAAAACTAATTATAATGGAAGAGTTTATTTTTATAAATGCAAATTAATCGAAGATCTATGGGTTCTCTTTCTTTTAAAATTCTAATCACTAATTTTCTAAATATTTATATTTTATTTTTGATCATCTACGATACCTTCACTAACAAAATGAATAGCTAAAGTTCTGTTGACTTTTTTGTCTTCAAAAAAAAACAAAGGATTCTATTTTGTCCTTAACTATTTATTTCTGAAATAAAATAATTATTTGTTATCAACAAGCTTCAATAGTACATATCGAATTTATTTTATCTTTCATTTTATATGCATTACTTTCAACTTGATTGCCATCGGATCCTTGCCTAGTACTAAAACGAATACTTCCTACACTTAAGCATTACATAGCAACCTTGGCTGTATGATTAGTTTTGAGGAGTGTGATTCATATTGACAGATTCTTTCCTGAAGTTTCTCTGTTTTTCGACTCACTTAATCTCAATAGTCAATAGTTTATGATTTTAGTTCTATGGCATCATTACGATTCATACATGTATACGATACGATACGAGTATATTATTCTTTCGCAGTACGATAAAAAGTACTAATAAAAATGAATCAGTCATAGTGTGAACTATATAAATGCGACATCAGCCATACATTTGGTATATTTATATTTTTTAGCATCAAAAACTAAAATGAAGCTTTTTCTTCTGATCATACTTACATTTCTGATTGCTGCCAATGCGAACCCTATTAGTCGCAAGTAAGTGAATATCAATTTTTAATTATAGAGTAGATTTTAAAAACAAAAACTGTTTCTATCATATAGATGTACATGCAAAGCAGTTTCAAATACAATTCATTTTTCGTTTCATTCATGGGATATTTCATCATGCAAATTTTGTTCATGCAAGGATGCAGCTATGACCAATTGTGAACAAGCTTGCAAAACTATGGTAGAAAGTTATGCCAATACTGGTTGTGGAAAAGTTATTAAGGGTAGCAAAGTGAAATATTCATGGGAAGCAAGTACATGTTCAAGTGGTGTTAGCAGTGTTGAATATACATGTGCTTAAATATGAACAGAATAATCGAATCGTTTCTTTTTTCTTTTCTTTTCTTGAATCATTAATAAATCAAATTATCAGAAAGATGAATTTTAAGTACCTTTTGAGTGTTGATATCAAGAATATGAAGGATGATTGTTGATTATGAAAAGTGTGATCCTATTGGTTGTAAATATCTTTTGCCTACTATTGATTATTTGAAGATTTCATCTTCGTAAGCTGTTTAAGTAATCGTGCAATCTTTAGACACAACTTATTTAGAAAATACTAACTTCAAAAGTAAGAATTTTTTCAGCTCTAATATACTAATGTTGATAAAAAAATCCATATAGTTATTTATTTACGTATGTTGCCTAATAACATACGATATATTGATATTTGTACAGCATAATCATTTGTTTTTATATCTTTATACGAACAGCAAAACGATAAATCACACCAATTACTAGTAGATGTATTATACAGCTTTACTGTAACTTAAAACGGCCCGAATTGATTCATAAATAATTTATTTGTTCGCCATCATCTTATTAGAATTGAAGAAATACCGGTCAAAATAATTATGAAATAAGAACTAGAACTATCGAAACGTATATCGAATAGTATTTATGATCCAACTGTCTTGAATTGCTAGCTATTGAGGGTAGTTCGCCCGTTCTTATAAGCTGAGAATTGTAGTATGTCGCTATAATGCGATAAATATTCTAATCGATGCAATAAGAACAGTTATAGAATGAATCATTTCATTATTTTCTCGTTTCCGTTGATACTAAACCGCGAATACTTTAAGTGGAAAGAATATTATGCATGTGCTATAATCCTGTATTTCTGAGTTTATACTATTTGATCAACATTGATGAACATTTTAACATTAAAAATTTTTGTTCTAAAATTGAAAAAATTCTTGCTTCATTTTATAAATTGACTAATAGAAACCTATTACCAGAAGGAATGATGAGTGTATTGATTTACTTAAATTATATTAATTAGTGAATGGATTCATCACTACTATACGTGATTTTTCTGTATTTTCATATCAATAAAATTGATAAATTTATCAAGTGAATCAATCGATTGAAACAAACAAATCATAACAACATAACATACATATGATATTTTCGATGAAAGAGAAATTTGTATCTATTTTTGACACAGAGTATAAAATAATGTTTATCATGAATCATTTATTATACTCAAGTAGGCACTTTGAAAAAATAATATCTTACGCTGTATTTTCAATTCGTTTTATTCTTATTCAAAATGTGTCTTTAAAAAACTAAAAAATTTCGACAGTAAATTTAGAAAATCACAAGTTTTTGTTTCTTTGTGAGTTCATCTACAAAATGAAAACAATAAAAAATTCACTTTTTATTATGCGACTTCATTCGTTAAATGTGTTCCATGTGTCGTCGTTTGCGACATCACGCATAATACATTCACCTACGACAGACGTCCAGGACGTAAAAGTATATGTTATTCTCAGGTGTAGTGTGACGTCTTCTAGACATTTAGTTCGAATCTGGACTGGATCGTTTAGTTGAATTTAGATGAGATAAAAATTACCTACTAATACCTGCTGATTTATTTTTATTTTCTTCGATTTATTCTATACAAAATATTGAAATATAATCAATCCAAACAAAGTCTCTTTCAATTACTTCTACTTCAACAATTTTTGTTTCGATATTCTCGTTACTACCAAATGATTACGATTTGATTCATGAAAAATGTTCAAATTAAGTATAACAATCGAGTTATTTTTACTATACGAAACACAAAATAAGAGCTATAAATTGTCAACAAAAAGTTAACGAAATAGCTTGATTAGGACACATAGCCTACTGAAGATGTGAATCGTTCTTTTTTGTCTTCGAATGTCTGACATTAATAGATATCATATCTGTGCTTATTGACTATAGCCCCCATACAATAATTTTCACACGAACGATTATGATACATATAATAGAAATAGTATCGTCTTAAAAGTGAACCATACAAAAAATATATGCATGCATATACGTTGACAGTGAAGCATTACATATCAAAATGTCATGCTTTTATGAAAATAAATACGAATAAATTCTTTTCCGTATAGTTTCTTCTAGAAAATATCTATTTCGACCAAATGACTTTTTTCATTTGTGTTGTATTGTCATTAAATCATGGTAGAACAACTGTGTTTTAAAGATAATGAATCCGGATGTATGATTATTTTTCTGGTATATTCGATAAGATTGTTTCATTTTGTCAAAGTAAATCCGGCGCACTCCCTATAACTATAACTATTGTTTAGTCTACTAGTCGACCTTAACGGAACAGAAGACATTCATAACGACAAATTATCTTTCTTCGTAAATTTGAATTGTTCTCGAAAATCTAGAATCTTGCACAAACTTTAACATGTCAAAACTATTTACATACTACCATGAGAAAACGAAGAGCACGCATTTGTTTTTGTTTTTATGAATGACTCAATCAAATTTTACTCACGTGGCTGTGAAATAATAATTGTGCAATGCTTTTTTGACGACGTCGACAGAGATTTGATCGTGTACTAACTAGCGCTTTGTTTTGCTAGACGAACACGTTGATAAATTTCAGCGAGATACTGAATTTTATTTGAAAAACAACTCACCTAACTATTAATAAAGCATGTATAATTTTTGCAAATATAAAGTTCACTGTGCTAATGATGCTTCATACGCCATCTACAAAACGAATTTTTAGAAATTACATTGATAAATTCTTTTGATCTAATGATCTAGATTATTTCATGAATCTGCATTCGTTCTTAATTGGATATCTCTTGTCTTCTATTGAATATACTCTACATACAGTTTATCTAAACAGATGAATATTTTGTATTTCATAATTATGGTCATTTAGTTGAAATTGCATTGAATTTAAATGCCAATCCTTTTTTGTTCTCTCGCGAGAACATCATTTCTATCGTTTGTTTTTCAAATGATATTAATTTAAAGCCCAACTCAATTTTCATATTTACAAAACTATTTTTCGTGATTACTACATTTTTTAACGCTCGCAGGGGTTCTTTTTTTCTTTTCTTCATTCTTCTTCTATTACTTTTCCCTTTCGTTCTGTTTTTCTTTGTCCCACAATACTTGCTCACTAACTTTATTTCATATTCAATGACAATTTTTATTTTCTCTAAATAATATTATCATAATGGCTTCAGCTCGAAATCTTTGTCAACATTCAGATATCAATGGAAATCAATGTACGTCAAATGATTATATACTTTGTCCACACTGTCAATTACAACTATGTCTTAAGCATTTAAATTATCATCAAGAATTACTTCGTTCTGAACTATACGATCTATGTCATGACATAGATTGTGTTCGTTTGGATTTAGATAGTTTAATATTTGATTCGAATAATCATCGTGAACATTTATTCAAACAATTAGATGAATGGTATCAACTTCAAATAAATTTAACGGATAAAATCTATTCCGAAAAAAAGCAACAAATTCAAATTCTATGTTTGCAATCACGTATGGAATTCGACATATATAAAATTAAACAAGAAAAACAGTTCAAAGATAATTTAATGAATCAATTAAATAAAGTTTTAAAACAAAAACAAATTCATATGGATAATTTAAACGAAATAAGAGCTAAATTAGATTATATTCAACGAGCTTTAGATGAACTTAAACAACTAAATATTGATATTCACTGTAACAATACAAATTTCAATATCAACATTGTTAAAAAACGTTACATTGAAGCAGCTAAGGTAATGTAAAAAATGCTCTCAAGCGTATCAGTCTTTATGTAGATTAGCTAAAAAGATACTTTTCATTTATTGACAAAAATATGTTTTCAAGATCTTGACGCTATCTCATCAAACTGATAGTCTCAACTTTATCAGTCACTTTATTCTACATCAGAAATCAGTCTTTTAGATGCAACAAGAAAAACAATTATATACAAAAATAAATCATACATTGTATAGAAGTAATTAGTATCTCCATTAAAAACGAAACGAAATCTTAAGTTTGTAAAAAGGCAAAATCTATCTGTTGAAAAACAAATTTTATTTACTAATAAACCTTCTCTCGCAGTTATTTCATGATAATAAAATGTTTCTACTAGGAAACAGCTCAATCGCAAGAAAATAAATAGACCTTCATTTTTTTTCAGCCATTGTTTATTGATGATGACAATAATCTGTGGGAAACAAATAATGAAGACGAACAAGAACAAGAACACGAAAAACTAAGATCATCAGATGATCATCCAATGACTGAAGAAATATTGAATAGCAAAGATAAATTATCTTCGCCTTCTGTTGATCACTTTTCATCGCTACCTGTTCCTTCATCGTCTTCATTATCGACGCTAGCTATGCGAAAACCACCATTAAAACTTGTTATCAAACGATTAAAACATCCAACAGTATCCGATTCAGTTAAATACAAACTAACTTCAGTAAATGCATCACTATCGGTAACTACGTGACAATGTTTTGTTTTGGGAAATAAATGTAACAGTTTTGTTTTTGCAATGTTTCTATTCGTCTTTGTATATGAAATATAAGTTGTTTGAAAATTATTATATAAAAACTATCAATCAAAAATTTATCAAAATAAAGATGAATATTTTTCTTATCTATGAATAAGAATCTACGATATGCTTCGATATGAGTCAAACCAAAGTAATAAAATCAAAGAACGACATGAAAAATGATATGTTCGATTATGCTTTCGCTGTTCTATAGTGATGCGAGAGAGACGACTTATTTTATCTTGTCAAGGCTTTTTCTTGACCGTGTCTATCTAATTAGAATCATACGAACTGACGAAAATGCGAACTATCAATATAAAGTAGAATCAGAAACTACATTGAAAATATGAAATAGGCTGATACGATTGTTTACATTGTTTTTTATTGCAAGAAAAACAACAGAAATATAATCTGAAGAACCAATTGAGCAAAGATTATTGAAATCTTTGTTGTTTTTAACCTTCAATATATTACCAGTACATGAGAAGGTACTGTCTACATCATGTACATGAAACATGACATCTTATAAATATCTCACACGTATTATTTATGTATCGTCGTTTTGCTTCTTTCTTTATGTCATCCATTTTCTTTTGCTTTCTTCATTTATTATCTTTTTCGCTTAGATACGAAACTTTTGTATTCTTTTATGGCTATCATTTAAACGATCAGTAGAATAAATGAAATGATCAGTAAGCAAAATAAATATAAAAGCAGTAAAATAATTGAATGATCAGTACATTATTTGGGTGATCAGTTATTAATATATTCAGATTTATTGATATATTTAAAAATCAGTAAATTTGATCAAAGGATCAGTATAAAAATTGAAATATGTTATAAAGTGATTTACGTTTTTTTCATGTTTGTTCTTTTGGTCTATATATGGTACAGCTGACAAGTACATCATATATAAATGTACTCATAGCTCCTTTCTTTCACATTCAGCTTAGTACCAATGAGTAAAAAAGACGGAAGTCGTACAAGTTGTTCAATATGAAAGTGGTATATCAGACAAAGAGGTTCTGGAAGGAAATGATGAAATAAATGGAAATCAAAGAATTCCAAAAAATGGTCTGGGGGTAGCGTAGACGAGCAGAAGAATCACGCCCACACCCAAATTTCTATGTTTTACTGATCAATTTTATCTTTTTTACTGGTAATTATATATAATAAACTGATCATTTCATTCATTTTACTAATCAAATATAATGTTCCTTTCTTTTATTGTATCTTTCATCTTACATACGAACATAGTTATACATTTTCTCTATATTTGAGGAAAGATGATACATCGTAAATAAATAAATATATATATATATATATATATACATATTAACATACTAGTGACATCATATAGTATTTAACAAGTTGTTCAGCTTCAAACGAGTTCAATTTTCACACTTTCTTTCTCATCAAAGGATTACCAGTATTAGAAATACACTTCCTAGAAAAGACCTGCCTATTCATATACTATATGGTACTTTGTTATCATTAGTTAATATTTCATAAATTATGTACATATATTACAAAGACAGCAAACACTTTATAAACAGTAATAAATGAAATTGGATACAAATGGTATTTGGAAATCTCAGACGTTTTTTTTATGCTTTAAAAAATAAGTATCAGCTCATGATGCCTATTCAGAGGATCTATTATAACATTATTCTATTGATGCATTCAGTTAATTTTCTATTTAAAAATATTCTTTAAAAAAATGAAGTTTCAGAACTTCATCGTCGATTGTTTAAAATAAAATGGAAAATATTGATAACAACGAAGAGTCTATTACATAAACAATGTTATATCAATCTTATTTTTAACAATTATGATGATTGTAATAAAATTCTTGATCATCGTACGATATGTATTCACAAATATTATGAAAGCATTTCGATCTGGAACTTCATCTGTAGAAGATAGATCAACATATAACTAAAATATACTAAACGTAATGCAAAAAACGATTCTTCTATTAAGTTTTACGTATGCTATTATCAACTAAAACTCAAATAAATTGATAATAAGTTGGGAAGAAACGTTGAAGAATATTCATTCTTTTCGAACGTTTCATATCTTACTAGTACTTATCTACATGTATAGGAATGTATGTCATTGTATGTTTCGTTATGAATAATTGAAGAGCCTGATATATTTATCATATATTTTGGAAATTGAATAAGGATATCTTAATTTTTGTAAACGATTTTAATATGAATCTACAAACCAAATAAAAAGAAAGCATATAAAACCATAAGCTACTGATTGTTGTATTTTTTTAGAACTCAATCAATCGTATGAAATTAAAGTCGTAGACCTTTTATTGTGAAATTTACAAGAGACTAATTAATTGTTAAGTTCACTCAACTAACAAAAATAGATTTTGTTACCAGAAGCAAATGGGCGATGTTTACAAGGATCTTTTCCAAAAAAAAGCACTCGGTTCATTGTGTAATTCCACGTCCTTGACTTTCTTTGGAAATCACCAGAAGAATCTCAATCAGACTATATTAGAATTACATCGTGTGATTTTATTTTGATCTTTAATTTTTTTCCGATCAAAAGCTTATCAAAAGTCATGCTAAAAATATACTGCCGTTTCACTCTGTTTGAAACGGCAAGACTAACATTTTGTATGAGAAGAAATTCTTAATTTTAAAACTACAATATATTCCACATCTTTTTATTTTCTTTGATTGAAATCTTTTTTGCTTAGAAGTGCTGCATTGTTCTTTTCTAACACATTACTAATTGCAGACATATGTTCTTATGTTATTGTTTCTTTCCTATGGTGTGAATGTATTTGATTGCTCGACTCGAAACAGACACGTTTAAAAATTATTTTAATTTCATTTGCGTGTAGTTGTTATTCTTTGAAAAATTCATACTTCAGTTTCTTTTTCTCTCTTTTTTTAAATGAGTAGAATTTCATATCTTCGATTTTTTTTCACCTGTGTATGCACATAAGAATTGTTAACGATAAGAACAGAACATTATTGTTGAAGTATCAAGCATTTAAGAAAAAATCAGTAAGAGAGAATTCATGACAACTCATAATCTTTTCGAAAGACCTGAATTACTTGACAGTCAAACTCGTTTAATTTTATCTGCTGATACTAAACCAAAACGATTAATCCGCAGTGCAACACGATCAGCTGGACATCATGCTACACATGAACGTTCAGATTCAGCTGTAAGCGCAACTGCTATTCAAGAAGTAGATAATGAATTATTAGATGAAAATGCTGAAACAAATAATGAAAATTTTCCTATAAGACAAATTTCAGTTATATCAAATGAAATTGATTATGACACTGATCTTGAGCAAGAGCAAGAATCACATCGTGATTATACATGTAAAGGTATTTATATGGATCAGTGTCGTCGCCACAGTCTTATACCATCTTCACATTTTTTACGTCATGTTGATAATGAAACATTAGCAATACGCTATTGTGGTTTAAAATCGATTAATGTTAAAGTTATGGTACCATCATTGAGAATTAATTCAACTATTACAAAACTTGATCTGCAAGATAATAGTATTGGATCACGAGGTGCTATTTATATAGCATATTTAATTAAAGATAATGAATATATTGACGAATTAAATCTTGCAAACAATGATATTGGCCTACAGGGTACGAGTATTTTAAATGAAAAATAAAACTATGCGTTTCATATTTTAGATTAGTGATAAGTTAGATATTCTTATGAAGTTTTCAATGGATAAAGCGAAAATCTGATAAGAGTATAATTCATCACTATTAAAATTGCGCTCAAATTTGAGAAAAAACGAAGAAAATATTTGAAATATCTCTTTATGTTCGATTGAAAAGTTTGACTATAAATAGCCTATCATTCTCAAGAGAAGTATAATGCAATTTCCCTATAGTTCAATACGAAATTTTTCTCGAAAAAAAATCTTTTTCAATTCTAAAAAATAATCTTTTCAATCAACTGTTGTTTTTCTTTTTGTTTGCCAAACTGTCCATAGTTAATTATTATTAAAATCCATTCTATCATATTTATACTCTTTTTTGTGTGCATAGGTTGTAAAGTACTTTGCCGAGTACTTAGTTCAAATCGTTCACTTCGCAAAATTAATCTTGATGGCAATCGTTTCAATGATGATTGTGCACCATTCTTTGCTGAAGTTTTTTCTCAAAATGAATTTTTAATTTCGATTAATTTAAATAAAAATTTCTTTGAAAATGAAACAACAGGTCGACTTTTTGGTAAAGCATTAAGTGAAAATCAAACATTGGAACATTTTTATATTGGTTGGAACTGCCTTTGTTCAAAAGCATGTGGTCATTTACTAAAACCATTGACCTTAAATGCACGTATAACATCATTGGATTTATCTTGGAATGGCGCTGGGCTTTTTGCAGCTAAAGCAATTAGTGAATTATTAAGAAAAAATACAGTAATAGAAAAACTGTTTTTAGATAACAACAAATTCAATACTGAATGTGCTACGTATATCGGCAAAGGTTTATCGAAAAATGAATCGTTAAAAATCCTAACATTAAGTGGAAATCCATTAGAATCAAGTGGTTGCTATGCTGTATTACGTCCATTAGTTAAACATTCAACATGTCAACTGCGAACCATCGATTTACGTGGAATAATTGTAAACAAAGATTTTCTCGAGCTAGGAGCTGAACTTGCGACTGTTTTACCAGAATTGACTGTCAGATTAGGTAGCGAACAGGCAAAAAGTGATTGAATGATTTCAAATAAAAAGAAAAAAGAAAGATTGATCAAAGAATTCTTAATAAACACGAACGACAAGGAGAAAAGAAAAGAAAAGAAAAGAATATACACTAGTCTAAAACGAGCTGTATGTTTTATTTCTTTTACTTCCAATGCATATCGATTCCTAAGTAAGAAATGACCTCAACATCATTTTCACATTGTCTTACAACTGAAGTTGATTCTGAGTTTTTGCATATAAATGAACAGGCGCAACAACCTTTACAGAACTATTTACGAGAACACCTTCTGGAAATTCGTACACTTAATTATTCCAATACAGGCATAGCTGATGCTAAAGCTATAGAAAAAATTTCATCAGAATTTGAAATCCTTTTTTTTTGGTCCAGCCCGTGTTGGTAAATCAACATTGATAAGAGAACTTTCAGGCAATGAGCAAATACGAGCTAGTGCAGGCTAACATACTTGTACGCAAACAACAACAACAACAGCTTACACCGATCAGTTTGGTATAAGATGGTGGGATACACGAGGTAAGAAAATAATCCTTGTGAATTTGTAAGTGCCATAGAAAAGTTGTCGAATATTCTATTGCGTAGAAATAAATTTTGATGATCGATTCTAGAAGTATATTGATAAGTTATTTTTACACAACTGTATAATTATTACTAACCGGTATCGAGCATTGGACTGAAAATGAAGTTCGATCATTTTTAAAAGAAAAATTCCTCGATCGACATATCATTCCACGAGCTGCAATATTCTGTCGTACGGCAGGTTCCTTTGCGAATACTCCTGTCTTGAAATTGTTGTTTAATGAACTTGCATCTCATGGTATCGCTCTGTTCTTTGTTATTACTCGATGACCATTTTTTTACCACGACGTGAACAAATCGCTATTGTAGACGAAGCTATTGAATTATTAGGTGGCACAGCTACAGATATTTACTCATCGAAAACAAGAAACATAAATAAAAATGTTCAAAATGTAGAAATTGTAACAACTTCAACAGGTACAGTTCAATATCAATTTTATTCTTTTCAAAACGAAACTAATTGAATTCCTCTTGTAAGTTGCCGGTTGTTTTGGTTCATGTCGTGCAACTCATCCACTTTCAGCGAATGTTTCAACTCCTGTTGAATCACCGATGACTATCTATCATGCACTTGAATGTAAACATGATATGTCTTATATTGTTCCAGTTAATTCATATATCGCTGACTTTGGTCACCGCTTTCAATCGACTACATTCCCTGTGATGAATTTTATGCTTCTTCGGCAATTAATTATAACAAAAACATGCCGTGGAAATGATCGAGAATAAAAACTAATTGATCTATATAAAAATCAAATGTCTCTATTTGATACGATTGGTTATCATGCATTTGAAGTATTGGATGATCTTGGCTATGGTGCTTCATCATTTGGGTTAGACAAAAAAAGAAGAAATTTATCGAGCATTAAAACAAGGTGGTAGAAATCAGCATATGGCTACACCTTTAGGTAAAGCTATTATTGATAAAGTTACTGGAATGATGTCATTTCCAATGGCTATAGTTTCATTGTCACAACCTATGACTTCTGCTATTGGTACACGTCAACATCAGGAAACATAGAAAAATTAATATCAATTTAGATATTGACATTCGCACTAGCTTTGTTTTATTTTAAACTGATGATTTTTTATAAAAATCATACTACAAAATATGTTTTTAGAAGGGTTTTACACTCATTAAAAACTCATACTGCAAACTTTTCTGCTGAATATATCAAAACTTAGATTTGACGAAAATATTACTTAATAACGAAGATGAGTGTAAACAACAGTTTAAGATATTTCTATTTGGCATTACATGCATACGCCCTCAATATTGTATCTAAAGAAATAACGATCTTTTAATAGCTATTAATGGAGTGAACAAAAGTTTTTCATATTTGTGATTCATGCTACATCGTATTCGATAGAAAATATCAATTACTTTATAAATGTTTATTATATGATGATTACGTAGTTTACCCATCTTGCCTATCATGCATACAGAAATATTTACTAGGGTATTGTGTCATATTTGTCAAAGAACTAACGAGTAGATTTGTACGACTTTACAATTAACGATCATAATTCACCATAACATGAAAAAAATGACCAGATACTATCATGGGATGGTGATTGACTAAAGTGAAAATATGATTAGACAAGAATAGATACACGAACGATTAGCAAACATGATTATCCTAGATGAAGATAAAGAGAGACATCATCGCTTCTGAGGAGTGATTTATCACGTTGAATTTGATTTATTTTTGTATCAAACGATCATTTGAAAGCACCATGTTTGATTTATACAGTATACTTTTTTTACCGATTTGTGCATTACATCTTCGACAAAAATAAATCGATTAATCCCCAGAAAATATATTCGAATAATTTTGAAGTATCAACTGAACTGTGAATATCAATCAGTACACAGACTTTTCAAGATGCTGTAGGAACAATGATCTTTGCATGAGTTGATTATTTGAGTGGCCAAACAGCTGTTACATCGATATCTTTGACACTATTGTTTCAAATAGTTTAAGTAATTTCTTGTAATAGCTTTATTATAATCATCTTAATTTTCATAGCAAAACATATACCGATTGGAATCCCTTATCAAATATTATATAGATTGAAATTTACTAATTGTTGAAATTTACATCAAAATTATCAATTTATTATTAAGGTGCAGCAAGAATAAAAGTTGAGCAAAATTTTTTGGACCTTTATAATTTTACGTGTTTGGGAAAAGCTTAACGAGCTGATCACAAATATCACCTTTTAAAGTTATTCTTTTTAGTAAGTTTTCATCGGAAAAGTTTTTCAGAATACCGAAAAAAGATATAAACTCGCAAAAATCGACTGTTTGAAATTTGTTTAAAGAAAATTCAAGTTTTTTCTTATTTAAAATAATTAAAAACTTACAGATAAATTTTTTAGGTTTTGTGAAACCTTTTCGGTTAATACTTACTAAAAAAGACTTTAAAATTTGATATTCACGATCAGCTCGTTGAGTTCTATTCAAACATTTAAAATTATAAGGATCAAACAAATTTCGCTGGACTTTTTTCTTGGAGCGCTCTACTTACTTCGTTAAAGTGTCAAAGAAATGATCGTCTCTTCATAAAACTACTTTTAGATAATTATAATAAAAGTACTTACTTCGAAAAGTGAAGTCTAACAGAGGTATTAGAGTTCCATATGGTCTTTCATAGAATAGGAAAAAAACGATTCCCTAAGTAAACCTTCTCAAAAGTTATTGGTTACGCAACAAGACAAGCATGAACACAAAAACCATCGAACCACTTCTGACTTTCTCTTATTAAAACTATATATTTCAAACCAATTTAACAGAAGTTTTTTAGGGCTTTCTGAGGCAGTAACGAGTCAGATAAAAAATAAGATTTTCATCTAACAAGGAGATCTCAAAGTATTTATACATTGCTGTTCTCTTCAACAATATTGATAGAAATATAGATACTTTTCGAGAGGAAAAACGCGCTCAAATACTTGTTAAAAAAGATAGGCTGTGGAGTACACCCTGGAATGTACTTTTAATTGATGCAATTGTATATAACATGATAGCATGAAGAAAATAAATTCAACACACAAAATTTTTTATTTTCATTCTTCTTCAAGGATACTTTATTGAAGAGATCTTAACAATGCTTTCCATTTTTCTTAAAATCACTCACAAAACTGAGATGCGAACAGTTTTTGTTAAGAAAAGATATTTTTCCTGTCAGAAAAACTATTCAGCCAATGTCTTTTTTATTTAATATTAAATCAAGCTCTATTATAGATCGATATGAATATAATTGAGTAGTTCACATTTTGGTATATGAAGCATCCATTCTGATATTAAAAATATAATTAGTACCAACTAATAATTAAAAACTTGTCGATTAAAATCTGCTTTGTATTTCACTTGCAGATATATCACGAAAAAGTACATCGAACTTCAAACTAAATAATATAATTATTCTTTCATAATAAAAGATTTTAAGGAGATTATCAGTTGTGCTTATTTTTAGTGCCGGTCACTGATGAAAATGGTATCTAAGTAATGCAGATTTAAATCTGGAAAAATCATCAAGTTTTCGCGAGTCTGCTTTTGTCGTTAATTGAAATGCAACTGAATTCAACATTATATTCTCTTGAATTGTTTCTTCAATTATTAACTGTAAAGCAACACAAATACAATTTCAAGTGATGACCTGAGCTGCTCTACAAAATTTTTCGAAGGTTTGTCAAATGTGATTTAAAATAAGGAAGAACTACTGTGCTGTGCAACATTTAAAAACAATTCCAAATTAGAACTTCTGTTGCTTCCGTAATCCCTATACACGTAATACCTACTATAATAAGGAAAAACCATCGCAAAACTTCAATCACATTTGCTATTTTCACACAAAACTCAATTATATTGGTTCAATTTTCAATGCATTCTCTGGTACAATGTTTGAACATTTAAAAAAAGGAAAATTTTATTCACTTGTTTCAGATTATTGTTTAATTACTTTTAATTAATATTTTAATATCTGATAGAAGCCTTTATATCGAAATGAGATGCATGCAATTCTTTACTCACCAGTGTACTAAATAACTTCCATTTGTCATAGGATAAAGATAAAATGAGCTGAAATTTTTTTCCGCTGCAGAAATTGTTTTTTTCTTAAATAAAAACTTAAGATGTTTTTCTTTAATTCATTTCTAAGAAGAACACATTAATCAAGCTATTTTAAATCAGCAAATTTAGCTTCAAATAAGAATTGCGCCCGTTAACGAGTTATAGAATCTACAGTGTATTTATATCGTTACTTTGAATGACAAAACATCTACCGTTTTCTTCTAAAAAAAATATTCTAATTTAGTTTCTTACTTCTAGCATAGATATGTCCTGGGAATTATAATGAGAATAACGATTTAGCCAAAAATAACAGGAGTTTATTGATAAAAAGATGTAAATACGCATGTCTCACGCAGATAGAATGATTATTTATTGTAACTTTACGTCTGTTGTCAGTTTTCTTTCGCATCAAACTCTTCAATGATATTTTTGTGAGACATTTTTCTGACTTTTTAAATAAAATCTTGTTATGAATAGCTAAAACATGGCAATTCTACGGAATAGAAGGACAAGAGTCGCATTAGAAATTTAAGAAAGAAAAAAACAATAATAGTATGCTAGGAAATACAAGTACAGATACTATTCTCTATAGTTAATATACAATGTCGCTGTTTCTTTTTGAACTTTTCGAAATGAACATCTATTTATTGAGTAAAAATCTAGTATTTCAAAACAGTTTCATGCACTATTCTCTATCAGTATAAATTATTAATACATATTTATCAATAATAAAAAGATCAGTACTGTCAATCTCGAGGTAACGAATCTACTCAACTGTTTCTTCAATAAAATGATTTACTAATGACATTACATTTAACTTTTGTTCAAAACGTTTGTAAGGATTGTGTTCGCTTAAATATAATTTATTACGAATACATATTCTTTCATCGTTGTCAAAATTTATTTTCACTATTTTAAATATTAAACACTAAAGCATAGACTCTATTTATCAAAAGAAAAACGTGTGTCATAAACAAAAGTTAATAAAGCTGACAAGAATAACTTGTTACACAAACAAAAATGGAACCAAAAAAAATCCTTTTAAATATCAGAATAGGAAGAATAATTACAAAATAATAATAATAATAATTCTTATTTAGTTCCATTCCCTCGTTTTGTGGGCGAGATTTTTCGATTCGAAGTTTGTGACCGTCTACTTCCACCACTCGATGATGATAACAATGTTTGAGAACTTAGTGGTGGTGGTGGTGGCGGTAAAAACATAGATCGTATACTTGGATCAGCAATACCGATACGATATGGGTTATGTAATGATTGTGACTGAGAATTGCCACTTGTAATTTGAATTTCTGATGAAGTCCATACAACTTTCTTCTGGGTAATACTCGATCGTCCCGGAGTATCTTCATCACTCAATGCAATAATTTCGTCATCACTGTCGTCAATAATTTGACTATCATCTTCTTCAATATTTCGTTGTTGAGACAATGATCGCGCAGTTGAAACCTATATATAGTATAAGTACATCAGAATTGTTTAATTAATGTTATACACGATGGATGAATTCGCGCACGTGGTTTAACACGAATACGTGACCTCTGATCATCAAATATATGTTGTTCAAGTGATGTATATGTTGGTGAACGACGTAATGCTTCAAGAATTTCATCACTAAGATTTTCTTCATCGCCATTTCTTAATTGATTATTTATTGTTAATGCATCACATATATCATGCATAATACCCAGTTCACGATCTAATTTACGTTTATAATCATCTAAATCATCATGAATTTGATCGATTGCTTCATGTGTATCCGTATTATTTGTCTGTAAAGCTTTACACGATTGTTTCATAACATTACTTTTTAAATCACGTCCCCATTTAATGATCAAATCAAGTTTAGCACGTAAAGCTTTCTGTTCATCTGTATAACCACGAAAAGAACCAGGACTCCGGCCAGGCGTACTTGTCATGATTAGAAAAGTATAAAAACCACTCAAAAACACACGAAAAAAAGTTCTATATAAGAAACGGCCAAACTAAATTTATGATTTTGAATTCAACTTAAAGAAAGAAATCGAATAATCAGCTAATCAGAAACGATAATAAATCCTCTATATGAAAGAATTTGTATTATCAGCGAAATCCTTTCAATAGTTCACAAATAGTAACCTTTTTGAAGATAAAATCCATGAAAAGTACAGTTTTTGAAATTTCAAAAAACCTCAACTTCACGTTGCAGTCAAGTGCTATTAAGCGACATCTATGAGAAATTGTTTCGCTAGAATCGGTGTAGTATACTAGTAGATAATATGCATGCTCAGGTATTTTTCAAACATTTTACTTGTCCTTTCGTAGTTACTTGAATATTGTTTGACAATTGGTTCTAAAGGTCAATTGCAGATATTTTCTCTTTTATTTTCGAGGATGTCTGTTCATTGTGTATGAACTGTATTGCTTCTTCAGGGACTTAACTCAATCGTTCACAAAAGAAATCAAGCTAGTCTATTTGAAATCTTCATCAGATCAATATTGATTCTCAAGTATGTAAATTTGTTTTAAATTTCTTGGTAGAAAATTTAATGGTATTATTTTGTTTTTGTAGATGTACTTACTTAATTTTCTATGAAACGCTAACTAAAAATGAAGTTTTGACTATTCGGATTTTGTCTATCATTTAACACCAGTAGAAAAAATTTTCATATACAAGTCAAAAACTTATATTTAATTTATGCCTACGTTTTTACAGATTGAAACAATGATCGATTATATATCATCGGTTTATTTATGTTAATCGAACCCAAAGCTGAAGCTTGCTGTCGATTACGAGAAAGAGTGCGAAATTTCTGGAGACTTAGTGCCAGAATAATTGTGAAAGTCATATAAAATTTATTATGAAAATTTGATCACTATCAAATTCATGTTGATAATATCTCTAGTGCTATGAATAATTCGTCATCTTATAACAACGTTGAAAAATTTTGTTCTAAATCGATGTAACTTCTTTGTCTTTTTCGCCCGCAAGTTTACTTTATTCATTCGTCAATTGGTATTCTGTATAAATCGTATTTGTCTCAAGTACTTGCTCAAGATGTAATTCTAGTGAGATATGATTAATAGCAAGAATTTTCTTTTAAAGATGATAAATATTTAAGGATTTGTTATGTGAGCTGGTAGATTTTCTCTCATATAACCAAATTATTGTGGAATCTTATTTCAAGTGATTACAAAGAATTTTCTGAAATAAAATGATCTATTATCATTTCAAGACAATTATATGGACTTGAATTCGTTGACTGATAAACTATTCAAAAGAGAATACTATTCTAATAGTTACTATCTCACATTTATCTTTGCCCGAATTCAACACACATTGAATACATTCGCTTCAGTTTATTAAAAAGAACTATATATATACTATTTCGCACTGTTTGATTGCGATGCATCATATTTCGATGCAACTGAATTAATATATATATATATCAAAGAAGTTGAATAAACCATTATAGTTAGTTATATACAGTATTCAATGCAGTAACATTATAATCATAATAAAATTTCACAATAATTATTCGTGTGAGATTGAGAAAAAAGACAATTATGAAGTCACTGAATAATGCTTCAGGCGAACTATTAAGTAGTTTCATAGCTTCGAGAATACTCTCTTATTACATCATTGATAAAGGGATAACATCCTACGTTTACATTGAATGCCTATTTGTTTCCGTTGAGTTAGGATAGAATTTTCTAGTTGATTTCTTCCATTGACAATCATTTTAAGCAAATTACATTTCTCATATTTTTATGATTCAAAAGCTCATTAAACAATCGCTTCTAGTTTTAAGAACGACTTACATTTTATAGTGCAATCCTTGTGTGATGAAAATATGAAACATTAGATACTTTATCTTGATAATCAAAAAAAGGTTTGCTTTATTTTACCTATTTTGACATAGAATTCGTTACAACATCCTTTAGTTTAAGAAGAACTTATTGATATACGATATTTGATTTTATACGAACAACGTATATCCTAGTTCCTATTCGCTATTCATTCATTAAAACATTTAAAGTGGTAGAATTCGAATTCTACTCTCCGTGTAACATAAATCAAAATTTCTTTTGCTAACATGTATATTTCAGTTATTCAGTAAGAGTAAAAGCATAGTTTCGACGACTATTCAACAGCAATCAAATTAGTAACAACTTAAAACCTATTTCTATTAGTAAGTAAAAAAATTAAGAATAAGTGTGACAATTTACCAAACTTAGAGAGATGCAATTTACTCAAATAACGATCAATAAAATAAAATCAACAATTAAACATAGTGATAGATACATTCATGCCCCATGAAAATATTTAATCAGTCTACTTTTATATAGATATTTTTCTAGAAGTAGCGAAAGCATTGATGTTATCTAGTAAGCGGAAATCTAATGATCGTGCTACTTTATTGCATTCGATTTATTAGCCATCATATTACTGTTAAGTAATAGAGTAAATATAGAAAGCCATAGAAAATTTTCAACATATTGAGAATATGTTTATTGTTTGTCTTAGATATGTTTTTATCGTGCAGGTATAATTGAGTTACAAATTGCACATATATGTCGCTCTAGTTTTGGATAAAATGAGTAATAAAAGTTCATTTGTTTTTAAATATATATATTTATGTAAAAAAAAACGTTCTTTATAATCGTATATATGTTCAGACAATCGAATATCATCGCGCGAGAAAAAAGTTCAGATAACAAAAAAAAAAACACATCAGAAGACTTTCATCTACCAATATCATCGCAAAGAATGGCAAGATATAGGCAAAAATCAATAAGAGTAACAACAACAGAAAACAAGAAAAGAAAAACAGGACAGATCTTCATCGAGTCGGCAATAGTTCTTTTAGATTTTGTTTTATAGCTTTGATATTTCTTCGTTTGTTTTTTTATGTAACAGAAAAAAAACGAGATACACACAGAGACACACACGAAGCAGAGTATAGCACCACACGCGGTTTGTTTCCTGTTTTTTTGATCGATGATAAAGAATAAATGCAACATCACACATAAATGAATAAATGAGAGAAAAAACAACGATTGCACAACTTGAGCAACTAGAAAGAGAAGGAGGATAGTCATTTTTCTTTGTTTTTATATATGTTTTGATTATCAGTACGCATCGATTACAGAAAACAAAGTCTTCACTGTGTGCAACGAAGAAAAAGAAGCACGTTTCTATGTACATCATATAAAGAAAAACGACAGCTTTTTCTATAACAGAGGAGAAAAAACAATCGTTGTAAGCAAATGCTAGTACTGTTCGACAATATTATATGGCATCAATGAACTAATAAGGTGTATACCGAACATTGTTACGTATACCCTAAACAAAATCTATTATTGTACAAAGATTTTAATTATTTAAATTTAACTTACGGTTATAGGACCAATAGTTCCATTTGGTGTTGTTGTTATGTATGCCGTTTCTTGATAAGCATGTCTAAAAGATTTTGTTCTATATAATAATAGTTATACGACTAGAAAAATCTCGGCAAACAATAAGAATGTCATAGACTGGAGATGTAGGAGTTTTTCTTTTCAATATGATTAAACTCATACATTATGCTCGGCTACACTTGGTTGTTTTTTATTCTTTTACATAAAAAATGTTTATATCGAATTCGAGTGGGTGTAGTACTAAAAGAGTCGAGAATACCAACGTAACAAACTTAGAAAAAAAAATACAGACCAAGATTATGACTAATATGATGCTATGAGGATTGATGAACTAAGAACAAGATTTCTCATATAAACGCAAAAATATTCAAATAGTAAATTTCTATTTCTATATAAAATTTTCCTACCCAAGTTGACCAGCTGATGAAGTCATATTCGTTGTTGGCCCACCGTTTATAAAATATCCCGTAGGTGCATTAACACCATTACTCATTGGTAAGACACTAAAGATATTAAAAAATTAAATAAATTATAAAAAAAAGTTTTAATTTTCATATAGCATTTACCCAATTGTATAAGCTCCAGTTGGTTGTCCAGCTGATGTAAGACCATGTGTTGTAGTTGCTGTTATATAGCGAACACCAGTTTGATGTTGAGCAGTAGCAGCAAATGGATAAGCTGTTAAGCCACCCAAAGCAGTTAATTGATCAGGATAAATTCTTGACGAGAGAGGGAAATTTCAACATTAAATATTTTATTCTTTACGTTGTACATTTTAAGACAACTTACGTATATCCATTGGGTAAGGCTAAACCGGTAGTAAATGCTGGTGCTGCACGTAATCCTGCAGCTTGTGTTGCTTGAATTAATGTTGGACGTTGTCGTGTATTTATCATGACACCTGTATGAAAGAAAATTTTTGTTTTCGAAAACGTTCATTAAATCATCTCTACTAACTATAAGGATTTGATAAAACTGGTTTCAATTTCGGTTGAGATCGCGCAGTTGCCATATTAACCTAATTGAATAAAAAAAATGTCACGTATAATACAATCGTGAAATACAACAAAAATTCGAGCCAAACATTTCACCGACAAAAAGCAAAGAGAAACAAAGAAATCTCGCTCGATTGAAATCTTCGAGCCATTCATAAATGTGTCAAGTATTTTAAAAAATGTGCATAATCTACCATGACAAATATAAACTTATCGTTCTTTTCTTTATATTTTCTACAAATCATATATATTATATAAAGAGAACATTTCCAAATTGTTTATATGTAGATAAATTTAATGTGCATGGTTTTACATGCGAGTATTATCTTGTCATTATAATGATCGTTCACTTAAATTTTGTGTCTTTTTTTAGTTTTAGTGAACGAACAGCCATGCATCATGCGCTGAAAATTGAATTTTTTTAAGTAAATACATTAAATCTAATTTAGTCCGAACGAAGGTAAAAGGAAAGAAAAAAGAAAACAACATAAATGAACAAAATTTGAACTAAGTAATAATTCTAATGACTATAGCCAAAAGGTTAAACTTGCATTTGATGATTGAATATTATCATGCTCTCTTATATGATTGTTGATTGAATTATTAAAAATTTTCTGTCTAATTTGAAATTAGAAAAACAATCGATCAATGTAGAAAAGACGAACAAGCAGCCACGAACAGGCATGCAAACGAAAACAATTGTTTGAAGTAAAAAAAGAGTTGTAACAGAAAGTGTAATAGTTGGTTGCCTGTTTTTTTTTTCATTATCTCTACCTCCTATATATTGATTCACGCGTAGTAGTGGCAGAAAAAGAACTAGAAGAAGATAGATGAGCTAGATTTTATTCTTTATATTTTCTTAATTTTAATTATTAAACATTATTAACATGGTTAATTATCACATGATTCATATACATACCTCAATTTTACGTCCTTCAATAATAGCTCCATGAAATTTTTCCCGAGCAGCATCAGCGTCTTCATTCAATGCAAATGTTACGAATCCAAAACCCTTGAAATAGAAAAAAAGGTACATAAAAACATTCATTCAACACAGTTTTAATTTAATCTTCCTTGAACTATCACGTTTAATTGCTGCATTGAAATTTTTATTGGAGCATGTATATATATAAGAAGAATTCCGGTTTTCGAATCTGCCCTTCTATTGTCTTTTATTTGAATGATCTTGTCAGTCTTTTTTTTATTTTTATTAGATTAGTTAGTTAATGTATTCAAAAAGTCTTCGTTCTTCTATTCCACTTGACTAGTCAAGTTCTATCTATCCGACTATTCCTATCTAACTATGATAAAATAAACGATAAAAAAACTGTACATATCCTAACTTTCGCCTCTGATTCATATCAATATCGGTTTCAGTAAAGTTTGACAGAAATTTTTCGTCCAGAAACTACTTGTATACTTTCGTGCAAAGAGAAAATCTAATCAACAGGAAATATTTAATAATTTCAAAATAAATGAATGCAAGTCGTTTTCATTCAATGTCATTATACTAAGTGACAATAGAATAAAAAAAACACCTCTTCTTATCAACTTCTGACATTATGAGAATGTTTTTTAACTATATTTTTTTCTTTTGAAAGACATACTTTAGATCCCCGTTCATTGAAAATAATTTCCGTGTCAACAATTTCACCAAATTGCTAAAATAGAAAGTATTTTTATTTCTTAGAAATTTTCTTCTTTGTCTACATTACTTCAAACATAGCTTTAAGATCATCATCTCGAAAACGAAATGGAATATTTGATACATGTAAACGTTTATGTGTAGCATTAGAACTATGCGTTGAAGATGATGAACCATTTGGCGTTATTGTACTGGTTGATTGAGGTGAATGAGATGAAGAAGAATTTGAATGAGCCTAAATATTTGTACATAAATATTTATTTAAAGATTAATTTTATTTTCAAAATTACATACATTATCATTGGGAGATAATGATTGTGTAATATTATTATTACTATTCGTTGTTGTTGATTCACTCATTGATGATGGTGATGATGATACATTAATAAATTGTTGTAAATGTGATGTTGAATCAACTACAATATTGGGCATTTTATTCATATTATTAGATACGTATGTATGATGTTGACTAGGAATTGTGATCGATGTTGACACATCTGTTGAAGATGGTAGAGATGAATATGTACCATTAGTAATGGTTGATAATGTTCCAGTGGTACTTGTCGTCGTTGAACCTGATGCTGATGATGTAGCAGCAGCAGCAGCTAATAGTGTTGGTACCAGAGGCTAAAAGAAAAATTTGATAGTTATTTATTATCATATCTAGCTTTATTAAGCTACTCTATGAAACTAGTTTATATGCATTTCTAATCTTTAATTCAATGTACTTCCGGGAATATGATCTCCTTTTTAATATACATTTGCATTTCGAAGAGATCTTTCAAGCGTAAGCAAATTCATTCTATGTTATCCATTATCTTTTCAGTCGAATTCACATATTTAGATTAGAAAAATCTATATTCAACAAAAAAAACTTACATTTAATGTTAAATACTTATCCGATGACAAAAATGAATATAACATTGTAGATATAGCACCAACAAAGAAAAAGAATAGGAAAAAATAGCTCGTGGAATCAATAGGAGAAGACGAACGTCCTTATATATCTCATTGTTCGAACTAATATGAAGAAAGCAAAAAAAGCAAGAACGACGATCTATATTGGGAAAATGGGTGGAGAGAAAAAGATAGTAGTGGCATCAATAAAATACAACACATACAAAATGAAAGAACAGAAAAACAAAATACGGTCAGCAGTCTCGTTCATTAATAGCAAGAGAACGAAAATAAACAACTGTTAGAGGAAAAGAATTGAGAAAGAAAAAAAAAGAGAATACTAGCATCACTCTTCGACACTAATATAATCTATAGAAAAGAGATGAGCAATGTATAATCATGTGCCTACTACAGAAAGTGCATCAGAGAGAGAGGGGGAGAGGGAGAGAGAGAGAGACAAAATAGTATATAGCATAATTTTGACGATGATGCTAGTTCCTTTTTCCTTTTCTTTTTCATTGATCATCGTTGTCGACATATATTAACTGAATATTCAACATTGCCTATTTTATTTTGTTTTTCCTAATACGTAGAAATCTTTCTAGTCAACCAAATAATACGTTTACTTGTTATCATCTATCAGTAATTGATAGATGCATGCCAATAAATTTTCGAGAAAAAATATATATAAAAGCTCGATTAATATTTGCTTAGATAAATATTCTATGAACAAGTGAACTTTTTGTTCATGAAATCAAAAGATGTATCTATTGTTCTTCTCTTGTTTGACTTATTTTACTGATAAGTTTGATTTTGAAAGGACGAGACAACATATTGCCTGTTGTTATAGGATAACTTCCGTTTTGTTACTTTTTTCCGGTCGATCTCAAGATAAATATAACTGACAGACGGATTGAGCAAGCGAATGACCAACTAATTGCGACTCTTCTCACTATAGAGCATAGATATACTTGAGCAGATGCTTTCTTTATGCTCAACTGTTCTCTTTAATCAATCGATCATATGCATAAAATACATACATACATCTGAATAGGACTCTTGTATCTATGTTGACCGAACTATTTTTTTCGTAGCGCTCTTTTTTTTCTTTCTTATCTCCTCTTTGCCACCATTGAACTATTCATCTAATTAGGATGTCGAAGAAGAAAAAACCGAATGGATGAAATTAGTAGAGACTCAAAAATGGGTCTAAGCCATTGTATATGTGAACATATGGCCTGAAGTCATGTATTTCTATCTGCATGTTTAATATTCATACCGAATTGGATGATGATGTGTCAAGTTGTTGTTGAAGATGATGAAAAGAGATGAGATCGTTTTTTGTAAGAAGTGTTGTCGTAGGACTAGTTGCATTCGCATTGTTGTTGTTGTTGTTTCGACTACTAATACTATGTGATGGAGCTGTTACTAACATCGTTGGACTCTAAATTATAAGAAAAATATATATGAAAAATAAAGCGAAGAATTGATATAAATATTTTATAACTATCATATAAACATATAGAAAGACAAATAGAGCAAGATGAGTTAGTGACCAGCATAAGAACATTGAAATCGTGAGACAATCAAAAACAATAGAACTCAAATATCTCGATTACGAGATGAAAGTCTTTTCTCCCTTGAGTCTGGCAAACGTGCACTTACAATTAACAACATGTTGGTTGAATATGGTTGCGTGCGTGCGAACTAGATGCTCACATATATACAACAAAATATGATTATTTTATGATTGTTTCAATGTAGTAGACTCGTTTCTTTCTTTTTTACTTATTCACGGTACGATGTCGAACAGTCGAAGTTGTTTTATGCACGTAATCGGTAGAAGAAGAAAAAAAGAAGATTAACTGAACGAAACAAGTGAGAAGAATCTCGTGTACTATTGTCGATTTGATATGCGCATACACTTTTTAGTCTTTTTTCTCTCTTGTCTTTCTCAATGACATGTAAGTTTGGTTCGATTGAATGATCACACTAGTAGGTTTCTTCTTTTGTTTAATAATAACAACGAAACATCCTTTTTTCCCCCTTTTTCTTTATCATTCTTTTTCTTTGTCACTATTGAATTCGTATAGTGAGCGTGCTATCAAAAAAAGTATGGAGACAACAACGACCAACAAACCGACGAAATAATCAAAGATATATGAAATGTGATTTTTCTTCCTTTCTTTGCTACTATTTTTTTCTCTCTTCTGTTTTACTCTCTTTTACTATCTATTGTTTTGACAATTTGTTTATAGTGAAGAATCTCCATTGATTACACCTTGCAATTGAGACTCACTCTATCTCTCTTGTGTTCTCTCTTTTGTTAACAAAACCAATTGTGTATGTATGCAGGTTTAGATGGTTAAATGTTTCTCTGCTCTTTTTTCTTTTCTTTGTATTTTCCTCTTCTACATACTCAAAACTAGTTCGAACGCATGTGTAGTGTCGGTATGCAGAAATGTTAGATTATTCGTACTCCGTACGAGACTTGTGTCGTTTTTTTTTCTACTAAGAATGACTAGAAATATAGACTTAACTATACTTTCGAATGCAAACAATGATGATTCATAGAAAGCATATCTTATTAGCGAATGAAAATGTCTGCCAAAAAAAAACAAATAAATAAAAGTAATGATGATCGTGACACAAACAAGGATTAATATCAAAACTGATCAATTGACACGTAGAACATAAACAGACCTTGTCGTATACTTGTATGTGACAACTAATGCTCAAACAAGGTTATGATTTTTTTTCACCATTAAAATGAACACTTATGTTCTATATTTAGTTATCAACTCCAGTTGACCGATAGACATTGAATCGTATATTATAAAAAGAGAAACGAGAAAAAAAGAACAACATACATACATACATGCATATCATCTTTATTTGTAAGGAAAAAAAGCTAACTTCATGCTAGACATCTATACGACAAACAAAAGTCGACATGCTTTCATGCATGCATTAGGAAAATAAAATAGTCACACTACATCGATTTGGACTAATCATTCATGCGAATTTTTCTTTGTCAGAGTATCATTGCATCAAGTGCTAGAATATATATTTGTATGTGCAATATAATAGATACGGAATGGTAGGTACAACCACGACACCAATGAAAAAATAAAATAAAATATCAAACTATCTTACCATCATTATCCATCATCTAACCTGAAAAAACGATAAACTGACAATATGTGATAAAACTCAAATTTGTTAGAGTATCACACACATATAGAAAGCAAAGACACAAAGAAGCGACACTAAAGAAAATCATTACCTGTATATAAATATCTCTAACTCCTGTAAGAATGAATATTTTGAAGAAGAAAAAAAACTGAAAACTAATGAATAATATACGTACAAAATATTGTTGTGGAGTTAAAAATCGTTGATTATTATATTGTTGAATCCAAGGTGAAGAAAAATTTTGAAAAAATTGATTTGTTGTTGGTATCGGTGGGCTTGGCTGAGAATACACACTTGATGTTGATGATGGAGATTCTGTAGCTGAGAGAAAACCAGTAGTGGCAATCGTATTATTGTGCAGGAGCATGATGATTTTTTCTCTCGATGAGACAAGAATAGATGAAATAAAAATAAAAGTAACGAATAGATCTGAAATAAGTTGAAAAAAGAAATCAATAAAATTATGAAGGCTTCATCAAATATATTCGAACAAAAGGTTTCATCTGTGTATGTTGAAGAAACGAAAGTGAAGTATCTCTGCTTTCTTAAGAGAATATAATCAAGTGATAGATATGTGCATTTGTTTTTAAAGTTGAACAAAGAAACTGATCGGATTATCTCCTAAGGGAGATAGATTGATTTTATTGGTTGATTAATTACAACAAATTAACAATGTTCATTAGTATAATATTGGAAGATTATTTTTCAGGTTGAATCCTTTTGTCGAGCGGAAATCAACTCGAATAACTTAACTTCGACAATCATGGTTCAAAAATAAAGATTTATTATAGATGAAGGTGCTTTAATTAGTCAACGTAGAGCGACATCTAATGTATCAATTAGATTTTCAACACAAGAAAAGCGATTTCATAATGCTTTCGTCCATACAATCAGAATATTCGTTCGAATAAAGCTTTCGAATTCGAACTAGCTAGTCAATCTTATATTCTTACGACAACGAAAGATGTTCGTATCAAATGAAACTCAGGAAAAGTTACTCATTAAACAATGTAGTTCGAAGGTTGATTTATACTGACTTGAATAAAATTTAAATAATGCACTACCTAAATCTATTTGACACAGTTACTATCGAAATAATACAATTAATCATTTGACTCATCCATTGCATAATCTATTTCTGGCATATGTTTGTAACTAATATTTCAACATTTTCTTGCAGGTCGGATCGTGAAACTTGAAAACAACGTTTTTTATCCTTCAAAACAATGAATATCATCAAATCTATGTTTCATTTATTATTCTAGTAACTCGAAGCCAAACATGTCCACTAAGGTGATGTAATCGCTACTGAAACAGTGATTCTTTTTAGATAGATTGTAAGTCAGGCGTTTATTTACAACCGATTTAAGTACTTACTGCGTGCTCGAAAACTAGTACTATGGTTAGTTTTATAGATTTAATATGACTGCACTTATTTATCACAATGACAGAAGAATTTTGAAAAAATATCATAACTTTACCACCAATTTTTAAATTTAAATTAAAGTCTTAACTTTGAGCTCACCATCAGATAGCCAACATATTTGTTAAAATTAAGAATTCAATCAATCAAACACTCAATCGATTTTCTATGTATCGGGCAGTGTAAAATTGTGCACTAACAAAATATTGTACGTGTAAGAAAACGTTTTCAATGTATCACAGAAGAATTTTCTCTTACTTCCTATTAATGTTTACATAGAATGCTAGTGACTAGAACAAAAACGTTGGGCCATATGATTTTTGTGTTAGCCTACATAAATATGATGGAATAATTGAAGTCTTATTACGGATTGAAAATATTAAATAAAGATAGAATAGTTTTTTAATGAAAAACTTCTATTGCTTTTGTGATTTTTTAATTTCATAAAGCACCCAAGATTTTTCAACTTATATTAGATTACTGAAATCAATGATAAACTGAAGACTAGATAACAGTTCGACTTCTGAAATATATTTTACAGTTCTAGATTGATACAATTTAGCGAGCTTGATATACAAACTTCTAAGAAATCAACGAAATAGATTTAGACATATGATTAGGATACATGAAAATTGTTAAAATAAATTCTATCAGAAGACATGCAAGCTGTACTATCTGAGTAGTCCGGACATGTATCATGGTAGGAATCATAACCGATATATACATATATATATATATTGATTATTTAGGCATAATCTAGAATCTAAAACCAGATAGGCATGCAATAGCCTATGTTTTGACGTCAACCTACCTGAATATAATGGGAAAAAAAGCTATCAGCCGCAAATGTTAAATAGTGACCATATATTGTCATGGTATTATGAATTGACCAATGGAAAGTCAAGAAGACTTTAGAAATAACTCAACTAAATGCTTATTAATAAGAAAGATTCTCGCACAATACTCTAATATTGAACGAGAACTAAGTTGATTACTTCCTTCAAAAATCAGTCGTTTAGAGTAGCAACTAATGACGGAAAACTGTCAGCTTTGATTTTTTTAAGCTTAGATGTACCAGCATCAATGTAATTTGGCATATTCTCGTAAAGTCCTGTACATTTTTAGTTGATTGAAAATACTTTTGACAGTATGCGCATGTTCATATTACCGTTACTAGCTTACATACACCGATGCAGTTTTGAAGATTTTTCAATGATACTCCAAGTATACGTCAGCCATTCTTATCGATTGCAATTCTGTCTGTTTGCATAGTTCTTCATTTGTAGTTGAGTTTATTCTAGAAACTAAGATTAAAAATTCGTGTACTGCATGGAAACCAACTCTTCTACTTATAGCTAATCATTAATATTAATACTATACATATACGTTTTTTATTTTGTGTTAACACATTTTGAATTTAGTTTTTTGTGAGAACATTTTTGGTTGAAAACATATAATGATATGTTTGTTGATCGTATTTAAATCAGATCAAGCAACAATAAAAGAAAGTGTGTATAATCATGAATTGTGACTTTGTTCATATCGAGAAAAAAGTCTTCCGGTGACCATGCAATTATAGTAAATCATTCGTAGAATATGAATTATATATCTAAAAACAATTAAGATCTGAATTCATCAAAGAGAAAATAGTGAATAATTCTTTATTTCTTTTTCGACTTATGACAGATTTAAAAGGACATATCTAAGTACAAATTTTTATTTTACTTAAAACTATCGGAGAATTTTCTCTGCAGTCATGTTCACCACCGATGTGAACTTATTTTTCAATAGTTAGAAATCGATGATCTTTTATTCTTATTGTTGTTGATGATTTTGTTCAGTTTTTCAAAAATTTTGATAACATTTTTTGAAAGATGTCCAGTTGATTGAAACGAAAATCTTAATGAACTATTTTTGTCTCGTGCAAAACCAATTCAATGCGCACTTTTTTCATCAATACACAAATCGAATAACTATGATGTGTACTTAACCTAGAAAATATACTCCTCCAAAATAATTGAAAGTGCTACTAACCGTAAGAATAAGTATAGCAATAAATTTTTCCCTTAATATTTTTCGTCATGAAAAGGAGAAAATGTATGGCGTGAACGATTATATGCCCTTATGATCTAGCTAAATAACATTGAAGAGTTTATCTTTACTTGATCGAATTGAAAGTCTGAAGTGCTTCTGAGAAAACGAGAAAAGGTTAAGCTACTTTCGTAATCTATTTTACTGTGCTATCATCTAAATGCATGATGTTCTATAATAAATCGTGATATGACAGTGTAGTCATGAATTAAAATAATGAGGTTTTAATTTAAATGAATACTATATAAGTAATTATAACGAAATATTTAATATATATAACGATTCTTTAAATAATTTAAGTAAAAACCGATTAAAATAAAGGAAGAAAAATATATCGTAGTGTCCATTTATCTGAATTATAATAGAGAATTATTGATAATTTTGTAATTTCATTGAATGTCTCAATGAGATTTATATTATTTTTCGATGAATAAATAGTAAGATGAATTCATGATTATTACAAAATATGAATAGCTAGTAGTATCATCTTTGTGTATTTCAAATATGATATTCAAACGTATCGTTTGCATTTTCGTGTACTCAAAAAGTGAGTACATTCTAGAATCGGTCAGTGTGTCCGTCCGTCCGTTTACACGATAACTTTCGAAAGGAGAGTTAGATCATGATGAAATTTTCTACACAGTTCAGCCTCATCAATGTCTCAGTTGAGTTCGAAGATGTGAGAAGGATCCGTCAAGAGATGGTTGAGTTATCGAAANTTTTGAACTAAATCATAGCTTTATAACGAAACATCGCCTGAAAAACGTCTCAAAATGCACAAAAACTGCATCCAGAAATCAAATTGCCTAGTTTCTCATAATAATTTTGGCGTTCAGACATTCTAGAATGACTCATACATCCCATGCACTTTTTGCAGTACACATAACTTTCGAATGAAATCTGAAGTTTCCACATTTATTAATCATAGGATTAAACTTGACAAATACTTATATTAGCACATTTTGAAATCTCATAGATCATAGTGAATTGGTCTGGAAAGAAAAGTTAATTAATTTCTACTGTAACCATTCCGCTCATCTACTTACATCGTATACTTATAAGAAATTGTCACTGACAATATATTAAGTTTATTCGATGTTTCATTTGTTTACCTAGATGCCTCTTCTAATATGTCACTAGCAAATGACTTATTTTATCATAAAAATACATCCTATCTTATCCAGTAAAATGAGTTTTTTTCCGGTCTGATCCACAAATTCGCTATTATCTGACTAAAATATCACTCTTTAAATAATAGACAAGCATGTTAACATCTCTTACTAGCAAATCTAGAAAGGTTGCATGCAATATTATGTGTCGTTTTTCATAAATGGAAGACTTTTATAATGCATAATATTTCAAATTTATCATTAAGAGAAATTCCATGAGATAATCGAGAAGTATTTTACGCATTAAAATCATCTTATATCAACGTTATCACACCATACCTACATCAAAATTTATAGTATATTTGATGAATATCAAATTTAAAAACGAACTTAGACGAGTGCTTTGATTTCTCAATCGTCAGTCTCTTAATAAAAACAAGTGTATTTCGCTCACTTGCATGTTTTTTAACATTTAAAAACAAGGTAATATATTAAAAAAGAACATTTAATTGAAAAAACAACGAGACATAATAATATAATATGCCAAACTGAATCTTGGAAGATAGGATCAGAAATGAATTCAATTATTAGAGAGAATCTCTATAGTTTTCTCTTATTTCTAAGGTAAGCAACAGTGATTTCATTTATTATTCAGTATAATCTGATCACAAAAGACTCGCAAGAGAAATCAAAATATATACTATCAGATTTTATGATGTCTGTGAAAAAGTTTTCTTCTGTCATGTTACCTTGAATAAAAGCAAAGAAGAAGAAAATAATAATACGAGTCTTTATTTCGTTGAATTCACTGACGTGTGAAAATTTGAGAAGACCAAAACCTACACTTGAAAGTTACAGGAGATGAAAGTTTTTAATAATACTGTGATAATGTTAAGATGAAGTTTGAATTGATGTTTCAACGTCCTTGAAAACTGCTCGATTAACTTATTTTCAACAAACCTTTGTTTGTATTCTATTATTACTTTTAATAATGTCTCATTGAAATATATATGAATTACTTTCCTATTGGACTTCTGACGTCTTCAGTAAAGTAAGATTGAGGAAATGTATCTCAATATATAGATAGAATAAAATAAAGTAAGTTTTCTGTAGTTAGCAACAGTAGTTATATCGTGTCTAACACTTCTATACAACAGACATTGCGTTTATAGCTTTTAGTTTTCTATAATATTTTACTTTTATCCATTGGTGTAAAAACGAACGATGAATATATCTTTTTTTTTACAATCAAATATAATATAGTAAATCATATCGATAAGAATATAATCCAAAATTTCCATTATAATTCGATTTTCTAAAAGTTTCACGTCATTAAAAGAATCAGAATATATGCAAATTAAAAACAAAGTTATTACTCATTTGCCACTTCAAAATATGTATACATAAGAAATAAGTCTTCGTGATTTGAAGGACAAAAAATCAAATTATTTAATATCAAATCGAATAATATCTAAAACATTTCTATAATATTTCTATATATTAAAAGATGACAAAAAAAATCAACGTCACAATTTATCATTCACTGTGATTAAAATTATACAGCATGAGTAAGAGTTGCTGTTGACGATGATGTATTAATCACTTGATATACATCATTATTCGTCTTGTTCGAATTTCGATATTTTCTGCTTTGTGATGGAACAACATAGTCTAATGTACTGTAAATAGGCGATCCTATATCTTCTTTATGATGCGATGATCTTTCAATAAAACTATCTCTTTTTGCTGATATATGTTCAATAGTTTGGTTCGTTCGTTTATGACCTGAAATTACAGCTTGGCGAAATGAATCTGTTCGATAAATTGATGAAATTCTTCTATAACTATTGTTATCTAAAGGTAATTGATAGATTGTATCATTTGAAGGATAGTCTTGTTGTTGAATCGGTGAAATATAAAGTGATGATGTCGACGAAGATGATGTTGGTGTTAGTGATTTTTCTGTTTTCATTCGATGTCGTTTTTGTCTTTGACGTAACCAACAAAATACTCCTATAGCAATAATAAGAGATGTACCAAATAGACCAACAAGAACACCAAGTACTATACGAAGAGTTTGATCATTTGAACTAAAAATTATTTAAAAAAACAAGAAAAAACTCTTCCTTTTTCCTTCTCTAATTTATATTTACGCATCGGAAATATTTGTTTTCATAGTTGTTGTTAATATATCATCGCTACATTGACCATTTAAACAAGCTTGTCCTAGTGGACAACGACGTATATTATCGTTGCTAGAGCAATTAAATGAATTTACAGGCAATTCACAAACATATAAATTATTTCTTTGAATTTTTAATGTATCCATTGGACAAATACACAAAGTATTTGTTGTTGAATGACACAATGTTACACAACGTGTTGGAAATATACTACAATTACTTGAAGTCATTGTATCGGTGCATAAAGATAAATTCGTATATGAAACGAGAGAGCTTGTTGAAAGACACGTACATGTTGCTGATAATGATGAACAACTTGTAAGAGAAGGTGACCCACAAGTATCACTCGATGGATTACAGGAACTACCTGAAACAGATTTCTCGTGTAATAATACTCATATAAGAATAATTTAAAAAGAAAATTTATGCTTCAGTATTATTAGTTACATAAATTCTATTGTAATCTAAGTAACGGATCTTTACCGGAAAACGACTTTCAAATGCTATGAAAAGAACAATATTTCATACAGTTGAATTTTCTCTTTTGTTCGTCTTCGATGAAATGGCACACAGTTAATCTACTGGAAAATCTGATTATGATTGAATTAGCCACGAATCTCTCCCTACTTCCGGTGAAAATAGATTTTAAAAAAGGGATGAAATACTTAAGCGCATATTATAGGATTTACACTTCGCATTGGTCTGAAAATCATATTCTATATCGTCTTCTGCTAGTTGTCTTATTCTCTGATGCATTGCATAGTTTCAGCTAATTGTTACAAAAGAAATGAAATAAAATATTCTATGACATATATGAGCCGAACTATAATTGAAACACTAAGATAAAAATAAAATCTTTTTTGATGATTATTTAAGAAATAAAAGCCTCTTTTTTTTAATATCATAATGAAACAGAATTTCCTTTTAAATTGAATTTAGTTTCACTATTATTTATATCAGAGTTTTTCTACTCAATTTGAACGACATAGAAGTTTTGTTTATTTATTATTTACATAAAATACATTGAACTCATTCTTTTGTGAATTACTAATAACAATAAGAAAAACTAATCCTATAAAATATACTTTAACTATCGCATGCAAACTTGTCTACACACACTTTTAATAGATATAGACCTATATAAAATTAAAAAAATTAAAATTAAAATCGCTTATAATAATATTATTTTTACATCAGTACAATTATTATTTTAGCTTACCAGCGGACTTTTCATATTTTATTCGAATATAAAATGTTGTATTTTGCTCAGTGATCAATTGTCCATCATTTAATAAACAATCACTTAGTTGATAAAGGCCTTCTTTCAAATATAAACCCATTTGATTCGGTGAAATCAATGTTGATGTATAATTGAATTGTGTTAATTGTACACGTATAGGTTCCGCATCCCGTGATATCGACGTACTGCCCGCCATTATTGTCAATTGGCAAGAACGAACAATAGATGTACAATTAAGAAGAACGGGAAATGGTACAAGAGGATTTGATGCCCCAAATGTATAAATAAGGCCTAGTTCAAATGTTGATATTGATAATGATGACGTTGGTGATGCGTAACTAGCTGTAAGTATAATTGATGTACGATTAGGAAATTCAAATTGATCAGAAACTGCAGCGCTAGTTAAATATGTAGAATTTAAAAAAGAACAACCATAAACGAGATTAGGTCCTGCTGTTGTTGTTGTTGTTGTTGTTGTTGTTTGACAATGTGTTGTATGGATGTCAAGAATAAGAAGAAACACAATAAACATCGCATAGACCATACACCATTGCGACTTGTCACAAAACAAGAACAAGAAAATCAAATGTCTGAAATTAATATAGCTCAGTTAAACAAAGACAAAGAAGAAGAATGAGAGAAAGAAACGTAGAACGAAGCGTGTTTGTGTCACTCGGCACGTCTCATCGAGAAAAAAAGGAGACCGCGTGTAAGACTCTTTAAAAGAGCAAAGGAAAGATGCGAAGAGCAATACTCTCTTTTCATTTTTCTTTTGTTGTATGCAGATTCTTGGAATGTCACATAAAAATAAAATTATGGTTTTTTTTTAATGATGTTAACTGTTCAAAGAAATGTAAAAACGCTATTTCCAGACACAAAAATTAAAAAGAGAAGCGAAGAAAAGAATCTACTTGAAATTAAACAGAGTTTACTTCAAGTCTTAAACACATCAGATACGAACCAATATTAAAAGCATTGCTCGCAGATAAATACTCGGAAAATATTAAAACTAATAGAAAATCAAGTATATTTTTTAGGTTATTATTTTTGAAAATCATAGACACTTGTTCAATTTAATGTAGTACAAGGTACTTACTACTGTATGCACATATAAACAGTTGATCTAATTACATAAGCAAGTTTTTTTTTGCTTCTCTATAGTTTCTTCATTCAACGAACAATGGTCATCGTACAGGGTTAATAAAATCGAATATACTCTTCTCTCGTTCTAATGTGAGAACGAACACTGCTGTTATCGTCGCGCTAAATTTGAGTTAAGACCCATTATAATCATTACGAAAAAATGGTGATCTCTTCTCTAATCTTTACGAGATTACATCAACTCTTCTCTTTCTCTCATTAGTGCATACTTCCCCCCCCCCTCCCCCTATGATCAATCGTTTTATACATTTTTCTTCGCATACCTGATCGAACTTGGATTGTGTTTAGATTAAAATCGGTTATAAAGAGAATTGCTACTGGCGTCACTGGTGCGACTAATTTAATATGTCAATATTTGTCGGCATACGTGTATATTTAAATGGTTAATTCGTATACAACACATATACACAGGAGCGCTCGCTGCTATTTATCAATATTCCGCTTTGCCATGTGAAAGTGCATAGTCATTTTTTTTCTTCATCTCTCTTTTGTTTCCTCTCTTGGTTTCACAAACAGCACACAACTGTGATTGATGTGGCACACACACACACTTCATAATTATTCGCTAATGACTTAAGACAAGATGTATGTTTACTCGGAGTATGATTACCTGTTACCTTGATACCATAAATCTAAATATGTTCAACAAATGAAATCTGATGTCTGAACATTTTTCAATGAATATTTAACTCAGATTTATATAAATAAAAAAAACATTCAGACATTCAAAATAATTAAGAAAAGCAACAAAAAAAAGCATCACCATTAAAAACTCAAACATATAGATGGTATTCTCTATGCTCTATCCATCTATCTTATTTTCTTTATTTTCGCTCTCTCTCTATCTCTCTCTCTCTCTCCCTGTCTCGCTTGTAACCCGATCAAGAGGCATCAAGAAAAAAAAAAGAATCAAGCACAAGTGCATACAATATCTCATATACTGATGGGACTAGATGCACAATTCATTATGCTCGAGAGATGAATTTGAAAAGTGTGTAGGTGTTGTTTGATGTTACTATATACATATACATCATATGTTGTAGAGCGACGAAAGTGGACACTTGTCGTTTTGTTTTATATACAAATAGGAGTAAGAGAACTGATGAAATCAAAGAATGTAGACGTATGTATATATATATATATATTTCATGCCTGCTTTGCCGACAGCAAATGTACAATGTACATGTTGAATGATTGATGTTTTTATTTGGTGTGCGCAAAGTATTGGTTTAGTTGATGACATATTCGCTGGTATTGATAGAAATCTTAAAAAACAAATTTTTACTGAAAATAGAAAAAGTGAAATTTGATCTCATTCATTAAGTATATTTTCGGTTTATTATATCCAATGCGTTTTTATATTTAATAAAAAAGCAACAACGACGAATTCAGCTTTGCATTGCTTATGACAACAAATATATAAAATTTTGATAGGAATCACTGAATTGAAATTAAATTGAAATAGAGCAACTGACTTTGTTGAAAGAGAACAAGAAAGAAAATTAATTATACGCCTGACGAAACCTTATCTTTATCAATCCAACCATTACGATGAACGTTTGTACATGTTCTATGATAGCAAGTGATTTAAATTCTAGAATAATTTCAGTCTATTTCCGATGACTATTTATAATTGTTACTAGACGACCAATTTTGAACGTCAATTTGAGCATTATTTTTAGTGCCTCTTTTTACTTCCTTACTTAAGTATGTCTGTTCGTCGACCTCTAGTTTCACATCAGCATCATCATCATCATCATCATCATTAACAGCAGTAGTAGCATTTACTCGGCTTCTGTTACACTGTGTAATGACATGAACTGATGTTCGTACGTATATGTACAGTTATGTCTATTTACATTGATACTCAATCTTTCGCTTTCTTTTTCTCTTCATTACGACAAGAAATGAGATGAGCATGTGCATGTAACTTATGACTGATTTTATCGTTTTTTGCTTACTCCACCTTATGCCATCTTACATATAAAGATGAAAGGTAGCCTATAAACTGCAAAGACTTCCAAGGCTACTATGTATACATATATATATGCACAGGCGCGTGCACTTGCACACAAGTAGCTTCTCGATAATCGAATCAATGGGCGACAATAGTAATAGTAGTAGTCGTGTAGACAGTATAAATAATTGATATATAGTACGTATATCGGTAAGGTTATGCGCGTTACACAGACAAATGAGTATCAAAGAAAAATAAATACGTAAAGCACGTGCGAGTCAAACTTCTACATCGGTTAATATGCAGACAAATGAGCGTAAAAGTAGACAGAGGGAAAGAAAAAGAAACGGTTTACTAACTGTATTGAAGTGAATATACGTAAATGAGCAGTCTGCTACACGGCATTATGCTTCATTTCTTACATTCTTGTTTTTTCTTCGATGATTATTACGATTGACTGATATTGATTATATAAAAATACAATATATGTTGAAATGATTCGAGTTTTCTACTCTATATGTCAATTAAGATACGTAATCTATAGTTTTTTATCTTTAAAATTCTGGTATTCGTTTCATTCTGTTATGATAACACTTTTGAATCATAGATATACTTCAAAGGTTTGATTTCATCATAACTTGTTTTCTAATATTGATGTTTCTCTACAATTAAAATTAAGTATTCAGAAAATAATCATAATTAATTGGAAATATCCGGTAGTGATTGTTGAACAATAAATTTCAGCTGATGATTAATTGTAAATTAAACGTTAACTGTTGGCATGAATAAAATATTTGACAGGAAGTACTTCCAAAAAAATCGATTCAAAAATAATAAATCAAGAACAACTGTCATCGAAATAGTAGTTAAGTTTTTGAATAGTAATAAGCCATATTATTATCGATATGTAATTGTCTATTTGTATGATTGAATCGATCATTTATTGTTTGATTTCATAGAGCACGCATGCATAAGCAGGAAGATTAGATATTGTGAAAGTATCGTATTCAAATAATGTGTTATAAATGCTATAATAAAAGAAATAACACGTACATACTCATCTTGAGATTCATCTCATTTGTAATCGATATCGTTGAAGAATATATTTTGCAATTTTTTTCTCAAGAAAGTGACGAAAAGATTTGCTCCGATACAATTACAATAGAGTTTTATAAGTTTTTAAAAATAAAATAAATGGCAAGCTTTTTCTTTATAATAAATTTGTGTTGAAAAATAAAAGTGAAATGAATGTATTTGAAGCCTAAAACAAGATGAATATTTCAATAAACAAGTTATAATTGACATCATGAAGCATTCTTTCTGCATAAACGATTTTACTTCCCGTTGAAATAACATTTGAAAGTAATTTAAATTGATTTTGAAACTTACTGGGTTATCTGTCAACTGTTTATCTACGCAGTCAAGTGTAATCTATTTTTTGAAAGAAAAATAAAATTATTTTATTTGAAACGTTAGTGCAAATTCTGTTCATTTGAAAAGAGAGATAATATTTCTTGTAAAGAAAAAAACCATATACTTTATTTGTGTTCAATTATTTATCGAGCTATTATTCTTCTACTATTTTTATTTGTTACCTTCTCAACACGTTCATTCTTGGATTTCGAAGATGTACTACATTATTGTTTTTTAGTGAAATAGTGTTTAACTGAAAGAAAAGATCTTGACTTGATTATTTCATATTTCATTTAAATCGAGCAGTATATCTCATTCTTGAAGACTCACGCAAAACGAATAGCTTCTCAATTTCAGATTTCCTAAATTAAACTTTTTTATCATCAAATTTTTATTACTCATCTTCGTGAGTGATTCTGTTGCTCTGCTACTAATCAAGGAAATGTTTCATCAATTATCAGTTTAAAACTAGCCCCAATGAAGCCTATACAAGAATCAACGACTTAATTATTGACTAGGTGACTATGATTATTAATAGAGAAGGTGAAATTTGTTTAATTATAATATTCTCAGAGCTTTGATAACATGACCATTTTTCCCGTTCATTTGTTTTTCGATACCACAGTAGATAACTATGTTTTTTTGCACAAGAATGTAGTGACTACAATGTGCAAACAGCATATCTCTTCTCACTTAAACAGACTGTTGAATGTTATTTTTTAGTACTAAAAAACAAATTTCTTGACACGGCCACACAGCTCATAAATTTTCTGTCTTGGCTACCTCCCTGCTTTTCCGAGAAATTATATCAGAGTACTTTGTCTTGATTACGGAAAATGATTAATTTTCCTCGATGACTTATCAGCAACAAAAGAACGTCAAGGACGATCATATTTACAAAATTTCAAAGAAATTCCAGTATCTATCTTATTCATTCACAATAATAGCTATCCAAATAAATAATAAAGTCTCTGATTCTTCTGAAAACTTAATTAAAGCTACTTTCTTCACGATAGTTTACGAAATTTCATTGTCAAACAGAAAGATAACTATAAATTATTCGAAAAATTTGACACAAATAGACTCCATAAAGTATTTCTTATAAAGTAATCTAGTTCGAAACTATTTGTTTTATTGGATCTCAAACAATTAGAAATGTTGTTTTATTGACAAATAAGATACGTAAAGTCAAAGTGAATCAAACAAGGGTTCTTACATTTGTCATTACATGTTCAAATATTTTGGATCGTATAGAAAAGTATTGACAGAACAATTATATTAATATTATTTATGAATTTATTAGCACGTGAGGCAAAGCATTCAATATTCGACTATTTGAATGCATTATTATTATTTAGTCTTCATGTTCTTTATTTCTATTTTATTCGATAGACCTGTAATAGTCTACGAGAACAATACATCTATTTTATTTGGTTTTACTTTAGAATTATCGATAGATACGAAGTTTTATCTTAACTGAATTCATCTAGACTATGTATTATTTAAATAAATGTTGAAATCGTGAAGCTTTGCTGTCAATTAATTTGCAGATACTTTGTGACATAGCTATATGAGAAAAATTGTTGATAAGTTAATTAAATAAAACCATATTTTTTCAAGCATCTTCAACAATGTCGTCACACTACAACTGTTGAAAAAGACATTTAGAGACTTTTGTTCAGTAGTATTATTCAAATGATTTGATACGACATCATTCATGTTTCTTCACCTTATGCAGACAGTGTTCAATTTATATCTTCAAATTTAAAAAACCAAAAGCAGATTTAACATTTGAGAGGACAACAAAGATAATTTCCTTTCCCAATCAAATATTTGATAAATTGTTACTACATACATATTAGTGTGATGATATTCAATTGTTTGACGCCAGCACTTTATCCTTTTTCGTTCTAGATAAAAATACTTTACTAGCGAAATCAAAAGTCTGAATTTCTAGACACAGTTAACTGTGTGAGAAATTTCCAGACAAAATTAATCAAATAATTTCTCGCTTCTCATTTATTATTCCATTGTACAACAATCTTAAAAGTAGAAATAGCAACTGTTCATGAACTACAAAATTGCTTATTTTCTATGCAGAGCACGTTTCTTGCGAGATCTTCTTGTTTCAACTAAAAATGTACTGCGATGAAATCATCACTTGCTTCTTTTACTACACCTTCACGTGTTCCCGACTTGTGATATTGAAGTATATATTCTTCACGTCGACGAGCCAATATATTGGCAGCACTATATTCAATCACTTCTTGATCTTTCATCGATGCTAGCAAACCACGATGTCGACCCATAAGCATCGTCGCAATCAGTATAATCTTACTTCTAGAGGAAAGAACAGAAGCAAAGCTCGTCGTCTTATCTGGATAGCCGAGAGACATTCCGACTCCACCAAAAGCCGATATGATCTCAAAGATAATTTTTAGAAGTGTAATATCAGGATCGGCAGGTGACATTCGACGATATTCAATAGCACAAATAAGAAAAATAAACACAAACAACCAAGTTCGTGTCAATACAAAAAAGTCAAAAGTATGTTTGAAGAGTGCTCGGATGAAGTGAATAAGAAATAAACGAAAACGAAGAGCTTTAATACGTTTCGAGTGCTTAAGACTGTACCTCTCATCATCCATAGTTCTGGAGAATTCTTTCCTTGCAAGTTCCTTGGTGACAAGACTCTGTCGGCGTAGAAAACCTTTCATCTGTTTCAAGACAGAAATCTCAGCACTTGTGGTTGGTGTAATCGACATTGCACGTTTTAACATCATTGGAATTGAACCCGATCTATCTGTTGGGTTATTATTAGTCTCAGCGTCGACTTCTGCTTGAGCTTCAAGCGTTAGCCAATATATTTCAAAAGGTGATTCATCTAGAGCACATAACATTTGTGGTTTAGTTGCCATCAATAATATGTAGACGAGCAACGTGGCTGTTGTAAAGAAACTGATATCAAATGTTTGAAAACCACAAAATCTTAAATTGACTGTTTGAAAAAGAAAAATGATAAAACGAATACCAGGACTATGTTGCTGCAAGTCTTTGCTGCTTAAATCCAATAGAAGCGAAATACCGATACTCATCGAATAGAGTATGAGCGTGACACAACAGTAGATACGAGTTTGAAGTGTGGGATACAACAATGTAGATAGATGATGATTGTTCAAGAGAATATAATCGAAAATTACTTTGTGACGCCAAGGAACAAGTCGACGTGATAGAAAAACAACATTACGTAGTAGAATTGGAAAGAAAGATGAACCAGACATTACTAGCTGAAACAAAGCACATCATAGTAAAAATATGAAAATAAATATAATACGAACATTACCAGAACAAAAATGATATTTAGAAAAACATCATCGACATAGCGTGCAAGACTGGTCGAGAAGGGTGTTAGACCATTTTGATTGAAACTGAAAAGAGTCAGCATACCTGATATATACCATGGACTAAGAGTAGCATTGTTTTGCATTAAATATCTTGCACTTCGATGTGTTTCAAGCCACGTTCCGATAGCAATAAATCCACTTGTATATATAGTGAAGTAAAGACTCAATATGAGAATAATACACATGATATAGGCACGGTAACGCAATTGAACTGGTGTAGGTAACCGGGATAATTCAGCACGAATATGTGGTGGCAAATTAAGATCCGACTGAAAATGTGACATGTTACATTCGTCATCATTTTCTGGATCATATTTGTCATGATCATCGTCAACATTGGTGCCTTGAGTCGTTTTATGAGTTTGAGCTTTGATGATGAGTGCTGGTAGTGTACTTATCGCAAAACCTGATATAAATGCGAAACCCATCATAATCAACTGTGAAGCATGAGAGAGTTGTGCGAAATCTATCGTTGTCAAACCACAACTACATATAGTTGAAACAGTCGTGAACCAAGCATCAATGTATGCTACGTCCATGTATGGGTTGCGAGATGATGAGTAGTTTTCGATGAGAAAAATGAGTAGACCACCGAAGAGTCCATTGAGTATATAAGCTAATAGATGAATATAGAAGTAGTGACTCATTTTCCAGTGATAACGTCCGAATAGAGAAGCTTTTGATTTTGAAAAGCCATTGTGTGTTGTTTGCCTATCGAACTTACTAATTGCATTAAGTTCTACGGCCACATTCGATGAATGATGTACATCATTGAGAGGTGTACGAGTTAAACTAGTATGGTCTGAACCAAATAGATCTAAACCTTCGGTAATTGCTACGAGCGCACCAGCAGCAAGGCGTGAATTACGTCTCTCGCGTTGATAGTCCCGTGTTGATACTGGCATTGGCTATACCCTTTGAGCTATAGGTTCATGTACATATGAATATAAGTATGAGTACGTTAATAACAGTATTAATCAAAGTAAATTTTGAGTATAAACTAAGAGTTTCTACGAAGAAATGGGTAAATAAAAAACAAAAAGCCTACATGATATACTATGATTGTTGCCGAGTGAATCAAGATTCTACATAGTGAGAATGATTTTCACAGGAAATTTAGGTTTTACTCTGACTTTAAAAACACACAAATAATTTTTTTCGAATTGAAAAGTATTCCTATTAAGGATTGCTACAACAAATAGGATGAGTGGTTCATTGAAACAGTTAATAATGCTAATTATCGAGCTGTTTCATATATTCAGACTTCTTTTATGTTACGCATAACATATGCTGAAATAGAAGATAATAAAATCAAAAGACGAGTAAATGAAATACTAGTGAAGATAGATGCAGAGAGGAAATAATGATAGATATGAGATGAAGACGAAAGAAAAATCAGTAAAATTTCCAATCGATATCATCACTCAAATTGTGAATTAATTTAGTAGCACTAATAATTGTCTAAAAAGGAAGATAGGAAGACGTAGAAAATAAACGAAAATCAATCATGATGTAATGAGGAAAAACTAGAGACCGATATTTAATAACGAAATTTACGGTGAAAGTTTCTGCTACACTATTTCGACTCAAATATAGTGTCTGTTTCACTGTTTCATATAGCATCCAGAAGGTTTGCTCAAAATTATTAAAAAATATAATAAATCGCAAGTATAAAATACTCAAACTAGTTATCTCTACACCCTTTACGATGCTCGCGTCGGCATTTCGTGCATGAATAGTATTTGTACGTCAACGAAAATACGCAGAACAATTGTTATTTTTTTCGTAATAATCAATTAATTGGTAGTGATATGTTTCTCGAAACAAAAAAAGACATTAAAAAACTTCACAGCCTTTTTATGATTACAATGTAGCCGATCACGAGCACTTCACAACATGGCATATTTTACCTTATCATTTCATTCAGACATGAAAAGAAAAATATAAATCCAATTGGAACTGAGAAAAAATAATCAATTATTCAATCTGTAACCTTCTATATTTGTTTCTCTCATTAAAAGAAATAAAGTCCGATCTACAAACAGTCATGTCGAATGTGTGATACATACGGCGAGATCAACAGTATAGATTTATATGTAAAGGATGATTGGAGAAAACTAACGGTATAACAGGATCAATAAAAGAAGTACCTTATTCAAGTCATTCTATTTTGACATAATTACTTGTTTGATAGAGAAGAATAGCGAATATAGAGTATAACCATCAGAAAAAAAAAAACGATACGAAAAAACATCAACGAATTATAAAAAACGAACATTTTTCCTAGTCACTATTGTTTCCAAGTAAAATAGAATGCTTTTTCGATTTTGTACCTTTTCTTGTTTGCATAATGAGCGCTTTCGATCATTTGTGGCAAACAGGGTAGTACGATTTCACTGAAATCGATGGTGATAGTAGAGAATATTAGTATTTTTTACCAAGGTACCTGTATCGAAAATGAAATAAAGAAAATGATTGCCTATGTCATTACTGATTTGATCTGTGCATGTTTTATTGTGATCAACGAGTATAAACTGAAGTAACAGCGTTAAGGCTACTCTCTATATCGATATTCACTACGCTACTCCATCACGGTAATTGTGGCCACTACTTATAGAATACGGGCTTATATAAATCAGAGACAGAGAATGCGAGAGAAAATGAGTAAGAAGAAAGAAAAGAATGAATATATTTATGACAGGTTGAATAGGTGACAATGTGAGTAGCCAACTATTCTCATTCATACGATCAGAACGTCTACTCAATTGATCAATGAACGGTCTCATATCATTGATCAGATAAAAGGTAAATAGATCATGTAGCGTCATTCTTAGCAAAATACTGTCAGTGATTTATATCGTATACTGCTCATAGACTAATCATCAATATCAATATACTTCTGATTAAAACAAAAAATTAATTCAAGAGCACTACGATTTTTTTAAATTAAATTTTAGAAACGACTACAGATTTCAGGAAATATTTTAAAGCTAAACTAGTCTATCCAAAAATGACGTAGTGTTTTATGTTATTGACATAAATTAGTTCAAACGGTGAAATTCTTTATTGATCTTTCTGAAAATCAAGTTCGCCATTGATCTTAAGTACACTCTGAAAGTTGGATAATACATATTTTTATTACTTTCCATGCCTTTCAATATGCTCATAAAAACTTAATTAGTGTAACATGTCAAGTTCATGTGTTTTTTTTTGAACTTTTTCTTTTTTTCATGTATGTTTATGGTTAAATGTAAACATTAATGAACAATGAAGAAAAACAAGCAATATTTGCACACACATACAAAAAATGAGAATAATGTCTCTATTTCTGTGCATTAAAAATGTTTGTTATTTCATTCTATTTTCCACCAGCAGCTTGCTTGCGTAACAATTGAAATATTGCTTGTTTAATCCATTCTTTATTATGCGGTTTATATTGTCCAGTTTGTTTTTGAAAAACTAAACAACTTAAATCCGATATTGCATCAATAAATTCAAACAATTCCGATATATCATATGTTATGGATGGTGAAGTTGGATTACGTTTTTTTAAGTGTTCTTCAAATACTTTACATATCCCTAATAGAATATATTTCAAATAGAACTTTATTCAAATGAAGAATTAATCCTACCATCGAGACTTTCATCGACCGATTCATAATCAGAATAAGTACGTGAATCAAGTCTACTTGTTGATTGAAGAAGAAGAATTGTATGTGACATTATCTGCAACAACAAAATACATATATATATTATTATTTTTTACTCTTATACAGTAAATTTTAAACATCGTGTATCTTTATGAATATCAAGACATTTCAATGAACAATATAAACTTCCACATATTTGGCATGTATATTGAGATAGAACACCGCATACAGAACAAAGTTTTATGGCCGGATATCTCGATGGTTTAGCTACAATCGTATAATAGTTTTTCTCCTCGATCGATTTATCACCATTGGGACCTAATTGTTCGTCTAATAAGGTTTGTAAATTTTTCCGAAAACGTGTTTTAAACACATCATGTTTAAATTGTACTTTTCGACGTTTATTCGATGAATTTGTTGTTGTTGTAGTTGGCTCATCCGATTCAAGAATTAAACCTTTAGAATGGCGACTATAACCAAACGCAGATGTATTACTAAGATGTTTTGCAATCTGTTCTTGAGTTAATGTTGATTCAAATGATGATGCTTCTGTTGGATCATCATGAAAATTATCTTGTTCAAGTGATTCAAGAAATTTTTGTGTTCGTCGTGCTCGTGTCGAAGCATCGAGAACACGATTAGATGCTGATGTTGATGATGAATTTTCTTTTGTCTGGCGAGTTAATCGTTGCTGTGGTTGTTCCATTAACAATTCATTAGAAAAAACAACAATACACGTTCTCCCTTTTTTTTCTTTCTTTTTTTCTCTCTATGTCGAAAGATAGCCAATTATAGTTGATGTCCATGTTTTCGAGGGCGCCACTCATCAATACATGTATAAGCAACTCCATTGTTTTAATGATTCGTCTGGGATTGGAGTAGGTAGATCTATCTTGATACAATTGCGCATCTGCGTTATCCCTATGTCTATATTTCTTCTCCACAAGTCTTTTTTTCTGCTATTATGATTCTATCAAGAATATATTTTCCTACAGGTGGTACTTAGTCTAGAGATACATATGTGTGTAAACGTAGGTTCGTTACTAAAAATACTGATTGTCTGGGATCTTTTTTTGTCGCATCAACTTGATTATTAGATTTTAGTTAAGTGTAGTCTACAAAAAGATATTTCATGTTGCTATAATGGTTTGTTACTCGACTCGACGAAACAGCATCTCGGCTGCGTAAAACCAAGATCTTTATTAAACATCTCTAGGACATTCAATTCATACTGTACTCATTTTGACTTTGTTTCAAAGAAACACCAGCTACTATCCGAATATGATTTAGTATGTACCCTGAAGAACTTCATATCAAGTCTGATAAAATGACATTAGTGTCAACAAGCGATACTAGGAACGTTTTCAAGTGAGGTTTGGACATTCTTCAGCAAAAACAGTTTTTCTTTGAAATTGCATTTAAGACATGCAATAGTTATGTTATTCTGATGTTAACACAAACAAATTTTTAGTGAATACATCAAATGTTACATTATCAAACTTTTTACAGAAACATTTTTCAACTTGTAACCTATAAGAGAATGATATTTTAAATCTCAGCATTTCGATGACTTGTAGTTTTTTTTTTCATCATTTTCTCTCCTCTAGTAAGTTATCAAAGCAACACGAATTCCAATCTTTCTCAGTGTAATTACTCTGTTCAACTTCCTCTGGCACCTAATTTGTTCTGTCATTAACATCAAGTCCAAACGAATAAAATCATTGCGAATTGATCACTGGAATAATGCATTAATGCATTTAGAATATGATTGAATTGTTTTTCCTATTTAAAAAATATTAGAACAGTACTTTCAGTCATACCATAACGATAAATAAATTCAAATTGACAGAATTTCTTGAGAGGACACGGTCATACAAAAATGGCGGTCGGTTAGTTGCCAAAAATAAGTCTATCGATATTGGAAAAGATCTAATTCTAGTTATTTGAACAAATATTTCTATTGAACAAATATTTATCAAGAAGGAAACGTGATAATATTCATTCATAAACTATTTAAAAGCAATCAATGTGTATATCTTTAGAAAAACTTGAAAGATTTTGCTAGTTGCTCACAGTATGACACGTGAGAAATCGATTTACAAGATTGCTATTTTTATTGATTATTATCACAGTGTAGATATTTGAGTCATGATGAAATAAATATAGATTTTTCACGAATTGAAAATGATATTGTATGATTGTTATTTATCATGTTTTGAATCAAAAATCAATTGTTGCCTTATCTCATGTAACGACTTATTTATGACTTTATCTATTTGAAATCCAAAATAAATAATCGAAAGATTTATAAGTGAGTGAAAATTTCCTCATTCAATACTAGGGAATAGAAGTAAATATGTATTTAGAACAGAGTGATACTTGAATAATACAAGTGTCAGACATATAATAATCAGTAGAATGATTTCTTTGATATTCAGAACAAATTCTTAGATATTAGATAGTCTGAATATTTTAACTTACAAAAATTTTACTAAATATTTACTATGAGCTAAAGCGTTACTCAAATATTTATTCTATGTTTTGTTTTTGAATATTATCTTATGTTTTTTACACGTTAGACGTGTAGAGTCTATTAGTTGTACACTAGTGTGCTGTACAGGAGCTTTGAATAATTATTTAACTGTAGAGAAATATTCTCATTTAGTACTTTGAGCAAACGAGTATACCTCTTCAAAGAATAAAAGTATCAAAGATTTTTACAGCTTTGTGTCTTTTTTGTGAACAGAAAGTATCCAAATAGCGTATTCTTCTATTTTAGTATACATAGCATTCATTTTTGAAGTAAAAACATTTTTTTAAATTGATGATTAGCAAGCATTTACATTTTATATGACATTTTTCGTGCTTAATGAAAGATATTCATATAAAAGCTATAGAAATGAGTCCAACTTTTCCCTTACTTTGATAAAAGAAACGACTTTTGTTTTAGCTGGTTTTTGTTGCGATGATTACAGTCGTCTATGAAAAGTAAAACCTTTCGATAATCTTTATATGATTGATATACATGACGTTGTTAAAGTATCACTCCTATTTGTTGAACAGACCTGTTTTCTTTATATCTCTCGAGTAAAATATTTTTCTGTATTAAATTCTTTTTCTTCTCAAATTGCCAAACATTCTATTCAGTTAGATTAATCTTCTGTTGTCTGGTGATACTGATTGAAAAGAGGGATCAGAATGAAGATTTAGACAACCGATTATCTAGTATATAAAGAGAAAAACAATGATGAAAATAATCCAGGAAATTCATCCCTCACGAGAATCGATTAAAAGAATATAGAGCGATTCAAATCAAGCGATCGCTAACTTGTTCAATAATCAAATTAAGATTGTGAATCATGTGATATTCTTTCATCGTACCAAAATCAATATCTAGACTACTAGGCCTTTCTAGTCGTATTGGATTTAATAAAAGATATTGAATTTCCTCTTAACATTGAACATGAAATCTATAATCATTGTTTTCCGAAAACATCGTGATCGCTGAACCAACTATATATTCTTTATTAGTCTAAAAAACGTATAGTATCCATTGTATTAATGATTAAATTTGACATAAGAAAATCTCATTTTGAACCTTTTCAATTAATTGTTTATTTGTAAGTGCGATATAAAAAGAATAGTGTTATTACATGAAATAAATGCGTCAGTTCTTGTTATACCTAAATATCGAGATATTTTTCTGACTTGTTTCTTTTTGAGTAAAATAGCTTCTAATTATCTATTACTCGGATCTATAGAGATGTTTTTGATCAGAGAAAGTTTTTTTTCTCCATTCTTTCCATTTTCCTATTATGTAGTGTCAACAACATTGATAGATCTTGTCAACAAATGTCGAACGAGCATATCTCTTGATCCATTTGCTCTTACATTCTTTTTCTTTCTCTTTTCTTTTTCTCTATAGTTTTGTTCATTTGCATTTCCGAGAAAAAAAATAATAGTCCTCAATCACATCGTCATTCACATCGATTTTTTTTCTATTCGACAACCCTATTTTCTTTAGTTTTAGATCGTACGGCATCTAGAGAAGATGACGTCGGTCAAAGTGGCCGTACGTGTACGACCATTTAATACACGTGAACGAAATCGTCAATCGAAATGTATCATCCACATGAATCAAAAAGAACAAACAACATTTATAAGAAATCCTATTGATGATTCTGTTAAAAATTATAAATATGATTATTCATATTGGTCATGTGATGAAGATGTAAACAATCAAACATTTGCTACACAAGAACAAGTTTATCAAAATTTAGGCATTGAAATGTTAGAACATTCATTTGAAGGATATAATGTTTGTATATTTGCGTATGGACAAACGGGTGCTGGTAAATCTTATACGATGATGGGTAAAAATGAATCTAATCAACAAGGTATTATTCCAAGACTATGTGGTGATTTATTTAATCGAATAAAATCTTCATCGTCAATATCATCGCCAACATCTATTACTCATGTAAAACCGCATTATACAGTAGAAGTTTCATATATGGAAATCTATTGTGAACGTGTACGAGATTTACTTTCGCCAAAAAAATCTCAAACAACTGGTGTGGGTAGTTCACATAATTTACGTGTTCGTGAGCATCCTATTATGGGACCATATGTTGAAGATTTATCTCGTCTACTCGTTACATCTTATGATGATATATCACGATTAATTGACGAAGGTAATAAAGCACGAACAGTAGCTGCAACGAATATGAATGAAACATCAAGTCGATCACATGCTGTATTTACAATTTTATTTTCTCAATCTACACATGACTTCAAAACCGATTTAACAACTGAAAAACAATCAAAAATTTCTCTAGTAGATTTAGCTGGTAGTGAACGAGCTGATTCAACTGGTGCAACAGGCGATAGATTAAAAGAAGGAGCAAATATTAATAAATCATTAACAACACTTGGAAAAGTTATCGCAGCACTTGCTGAAATGGTTTGTTAATTATTAAAAGGACAATACCGAAAACAACTAATATATATTTACTTTAACATTCAATTTAGAGTTCAAGACATCGTAAATTACGTTCAGAGAAAAAAATTGATTTTATACCGTATCGGGATTCAATACTAACATGGTTACTAAAAGAAAATCTTGGTAAGAATTCTCATATATACTATTCATCAATATAGTATAAACTTCGAATGTCGTAGTTCATATACAACAATTTGAATATCTATGAGCTATCCTACAGCTCAAAAATCTCATCATAAAATGTTCATTCATTTTACAGTCGATAAACGAAAATCTCTGTTGAAAATAAAAGTAGTTAGTTCGAATATCAAAATTTTTTGTCTGACTAAGATCCTATCAGTACTATGATGTTGTTCTAAAATAGTGATTGCATGGAATATGTGTTAGAATAATTTTTGTATTTTGTTTGAAATCTGTGTACCATATAATTTTACAGGTCGAGTCTCAAAATTTTTATATTGTTAAAAGTCAATGTTGAGAATTCCTTTTTTTTTTTGATAGAAACTTTATTCCTTAGTGATAATAATAGATGATATTTTTTCTACCATATTGCTTTTTTTTGTAGACTTCAGTAATCTACAATAATGTTGAGTTATATTTATTCGAAGATATATTCTCGAAAAGAACAAATATATTTTGTAACTGTAACCAGTTATCTTTAGATGTCTGTTAAGTTATTCTCTTTTAGTCAAGACTTTGAAGATCATATGGCTTCGTCTATGAAACAGAAGAAAAATTTTATATTCATATTTACATAATTTTTCTACCGAAAAAAAGATATAATTATTAATTTTGAATTTAGGTGGTAATTCTAAAACAGCTATGATTGCTGCGATTTCTCCAGCTGGCATCAACTATGAAGAAACTCTTTCAACTCTTCGATATGCTGATCGAGCGAAAGCGATTGTTTGTAAAGCAGTTATTAATGAAGATGCCAATGCTCGACTTGTACGTGATTTGAAAGAAGAAATAATAAAGTTAAAAGAATTATTGAAACATGAAGCGGGCATCGATTTATCGCCTGATGGTGCTTCTATTCCATTTTCATCGACAACAAATACTGCCAAACATCACCGTCTTAAATCAACATCATCACAAAGTAGTGAAGATGCTTTAGAACGTTTAAAAGAAAATCAAAAACTAATGGATTCATTATGTATGTCATATGAAGAAAAACTTAAAAAGACAGAAAAAATTATGGCTGAACGGTAAAACAATAAATATTCGTTTAAATGTTTTCAATTAGGTGTATTCAAATTTTTAGTGAAGCTACTTTTCATGAACTAGGTCTCTATTCAAAGAATGATGGCAATGCTGTAGGTATTTTTACCCCGAAAAATGTATGTATTGACAATCAATCTACATTAGCTAATTAGTTACAGTTGTTTGTTTATTTATTTATTTTTCAATATTTCAGTCTCCACACCTTGTAAATCTCAATGAAGATCCATTAATGTCTGAATGTTTAATGTATTTTATTAAAAATGGTACTACTCGGTAAGAGAATCTTTATGTGATCTAAAACGAATAGACTATGAACAATCAGCTGTTCATGAACACAACGAAATAACGCATTATAAGCTGCTTGATATTTTTGCACAGATCAATATGATTTGTTTGGCTTATTTTTTTTCATATTTCATAAACCGTTTGAATACGGTGTCCATATGTACACGACTAAGATTTTTTATACAATATAAATTTAAAAATCTTGCGATATTGTTTCACCGTCACGGGTAGAGCTAGTGTAGATGCATTTTAAAACCTAACAGATGGATTAGTTGCATTTCTAAAGTTATTTTTCTGATTATTTTGATTTCATTATCACAGTAGCGTTAGTTGAAATCACTACCGATGCATATCGAATGAAAAAGAAGGAAGTCTCGATTTAGAGAGCTAGGAAAATTTCCTAAGTTGTTCTATTTAATAATTCAATTTAATGTGAAAATAAACAGAAATTCATCATATTATTACAATAGTTTGATTACTATTCATGATTTAATCTCAGTGAAAAACACATATTAAAGTATTATTTACGATGACTAGATATTCATAAATTTTTGCAAAAAGTTCTATAAACAAAAGCACAAAGATACAGTAGAGAAGTCCATAAAATATATGAATTAAAATAAAATCTTATCAATAATATCCTATGCCCGTTATTTTCAATCGTCAAAATCCGTGATTTTAAACTTTCGAATAATTTTTCATTATACCTGTTGATCGACTTTTTGTTTTTATTTTTAGTGTCGGTCGTTCCGATGCACCAGTTCATCAAGATATTGTTCTGTCTTGTACACACATTGAACCTGAACATTGTATAATAACAAATTCGCAAAATGTTGTCCATTTAAAACCTTGTAGTCAAACCGCTATGTGTTATGTTAATGGAAAAAAAGTTGATGTGAATATAAACGTTGAATTGACATCTGGATCTCGTGTTATCTTTGGTAAATCTCATGTTTTTCGTTTTCTTAATCCTGAACAAGCAAGAAGAAAAACTGCTAAAGTAGAATCCATTGGTGGTATGCTAATTTTTGTTCTTCTTTACTACTAGATTCTGTTTTTTTTGTTTTATTTAAAATCTAGAAGCAACTGATTGGAATAGTGCCATACAGGAATTATTAGAAAAGCAAGGTGTTGATATAAAACAAGAAATGGAAAAAAAGTAAGACGATTTCTTTTCTAGTTTTTTGTTTCATCGATCGAACTGTTTGTTGTTTTTCTATGTGTAGACTAGTAGCAATGGAAGAAGCATTTAAACGAGAAAAAGAAGAAGCCGATCGCCTTTTACAAAAACAAAAACTTGAATATGAATCTAAAATAATTGAATTACAAAAGCAAGTAATGGAAACATCAATGAGCCAGTCAATGCTTTCATCGATTTTATCATCATCTGATCTAATTGATCCAACATTATTGCGACAAGATACACTTCAAGAAGATCTCAATGGCCCTGACAATGATGCATTTAGTTGTAAGATATTTTTGTTATGAAATCATCTAAAAATCTATACTGTATTTGATTTCAGCTTGCTCTTGGTCGGAGCGAACTTATCAATTGGTTTGGTGGGCATGGAAAAAATGGCGTTTTCATCGGTTAACATCATTACGAGTAGGTTTTCGTATGTATTCATTTTTAGATTTGTTTTCCTTAAAGCTCATGGAAATCCATATCTTTTATTATTTCACATTCAATATATCTTTTTTTTGAGACAACAGTATTACTCATTCCCCTTGAATAGGACTATTCAAATCGTATTCAGCCGATCCGGCTAATTAAGGTATACTTTTTGACTGTTATTCATGTTTGTCTTTGTTTCTATCGATGTTGTTTCTGAAAAATCCTCTGCAAATCAATTACTTTTTTTTAATAACTACAATAATTGAAATCATGAGCCAAGTCGTTGTCTTTTGTATATTTTATTATTTGATTTTTATTTGTTGTCAATTTATAAGTATTTGCATGCGCAAAAAACAAAACTACTCCTCGGAACAATGCAAGTTTATGGAAATAATTATAACTTAGTAGTATGCCACATTTTCGTTCCCTGTGCCATTTATAGGATGTCTTTGTAAACGATGTACATGGTGTAGCTGCTAGCCAATAAGCAAAGACGAAAGAAGCTCAGCATATACAAATAGGATGATTTTAAAAATTTTATGATTAATATTAGCATGCTGCTTTTTTTTGTATGCCCTGCTTTTAGATGAATGAGCTTTTGTCCGTTAATAATCATAGTTTCCTATTGCTTTTTCCAAGAAGTTATACAATATCTAATTATTAGTACTGTTAATAGTAGAGATCCAATAAATGAATTCGTCATAGAATTTTAACTCAAACATTAATATAAATCGTTCATGACCACTGAATCCTGACTAATTTTATATTAGAATGAAAAAGAACGATCCTTCGATGCATTTAAAAGATTTTCTATTTAATTTTTAAGTCATGTTATTCTAAGTTTGATGCAAGCTTTAACTGAAAGCGTTAGACGCGTATGAGACGAATGTTTTGGATTCAATCTAGAAAGCATTATTGCTGCGTTCTTTAATGTTGATTTTTTTTGTAACTCGACAACTAGTACTCGTTTTAATATCATGCAGCATGAATTATGATTTGCAAGATACTTTGCTTCTAACTGTTATTTTAGTTCTTGTTGTGACAATTTTTGACTCTGAACTTTGATGGCTGATATTTAAATTTAGGCATATACAGAGTGTCCCATAAGTAAGGTAACAGAGTGTTTTTTTTCGCTTTCTTTCCTATATATCGTCAGTTAGAATTCATATGTATACCACAAATGCTAGGCGATACAAGTGAAAGATCCAGCATATGAACAATATTTGAATGAAGCAATTTGTTAAAAGATCGTACAAATATAGTACAATGAAAAAATAAGGACGCATGTCTGAGTTGTAGTAAAATTTTTATTAAAACAACAAAACCAGAAAATGGCATACAGAAAAGTTTGTCTTTGCGAAGTCTCTTCAGTACAAAGATTTTCATTAAAATTTCTCAATGTATTCGTCTTCTAAGTCTTTGCAAAGTTGTATGTTTCCTTTTTTTTTGTTATACTATATTTATACACTTTTGGACAAATTACTGCATTCCAATATTGTTCATACGCTGGATCTTTCACTTGTATCGCCTAGTATCTGTGGTAATTACATATATTAATTCTAACTGACGATATATAGGGAAGAAAGAGAAAAAATAACTCTGTTACCTTACTTATGGGACATCCTGCATAGCTCTAGTAAGCATCATTTAGCAATATCTCGTAGAAACATTCAATTATAATATTATTTTGGTAAACTTAACATTGAACATTTAAAAAGGGTACCTTCTTGAAGCAGTTAAAATGACAAAGCATGTCAAAAAAATAGCTCATACACTTTTCTTCTCAAGCTGTCAAAAGCTCAATTGATTTGATTTGACGAGAAAACAATAATAATAATATTATTGTTTTTTTGTAAATTTAATTTAACAAAACAATAACCATGAAAATATCTGCAAATTTTAGGATCTTTTGTGGGGCAATAGTGTTTATTTAAAGGAAGCCAATGCTATTAGTGCTGAATTACGTAAACGTGTTCAATTTCAATTTGTTCTTCTAACCGATACACTTTATTCTCCTTTACCAACTGATTTGTATCCATCACCGTCGAAACTACCTTCACATACAATTGTAGCGATTGAAGTACAAGATTTAAAAAATGGTGCTGTACATTATTGGTCATTAGAAAAATTCCGGTAAGTAATATGCTAATATAAATTAGTATATAAAAAAAAAGAGAAATCTAACAGAGGATAAAAAGCTCAATAGTAAATAAATTAAAAACAAACATATAGATCTCGTCTCGAAATCATGCGTCATATATACAATTGTGAACAAATTTCGATTCCACGTGCAATTAGTTATAATGATATGAGCGATTCATCGTCACAACATATTTTTATGAAAAGTGATTCTCAAAATTCAAGTTTTGACGATACAATTCCATCTACAACAGCAAAAGGAAAATTTGATTTTTCGACTAATGCCAGGTTTGTGCATGCAATCGTGTTCTCGGTTATTATTGTCTTCTATAAATATATCTCATGAAAACAAGAAATTCAAGAAATCCAGTTAATTATTGGAGTTTTCCTTTTTTGAATAGACAACGACTAGAATTAATGCGTGAAATGTATTCAAATGCTGCTGATCATTCACCAACATCACCCAATCAAAGTATGGACTCGTTAGTCACTGATGAAATATCAATTCAAGCTGATCCATTCTATGATCGGTTTCCTTGGTTTCGACCCATTGGAAGGTAAAGATAACTTCATTGTGTCTATCTCTTCAGAGTTCATTTTTTTGTTCAACACCGTTTAGAAGGAGTGTTGAAATACAAGACTAGAAACGAATTCAATCTGATTTTATGAAAGCTAGTTCAACAGAATCAAAGCTGAGCTGAAAAATAATTCATGGAGCTATTGTAGATTCGGTTGAAGTGTAATACAGTTGGAAGCGATACAATATATTTTGGTTGATCGTTTAAGATTTTTATTTAAATTTTAACATAATGCAACAATTTTCTTATTTATAATTCCATTTTTCTCTATTACACTGAAATCAAAACCAGTCTAAAATGTCATTTTAATTCTCAGAGAACAAAATTTGAATCTAATTTCAACTCATCATAGAGGTACACTAGAGCCTTTTATAAACCAGAGAAATCCATTTTGGTCGAGCCATTCAAGATAAAATCTATCTCATAATCGATGGAAAAGCAATAGTTGCATTCTCTTACACAACTCCCTTCTATAGGAATTATAGCAACAGTTGTTTTAATTTATTTTTATTTTTTCAGAGCATTTGTGTATTTGACTAATCTTCTTTATGGTTTACCGTTAGTTCAAAATGTTGCTATTGTATCTGAACGAGGTGCTATAAAAGGATATTTAAAAATTGCGATACAACAATTACAAACATCAATGTCGTCATCAACAGAAGAACCAAACAGTGAACAAATTAAATTAATGAAAATCTATAAAAATGCTAATGGAATGACAAAAATTGCTTTCGATGATGAAACATATTTCAAAGTAAATAGAAATAATCGAAGAATGAACTATATGATGCATTAAAACAAAGTTGTTTTCTCAAAGACATATATCACCTACCGATTATTTGCTGAATTAAATAACTGATGCATTCATCATTTGAAAGAAATCAAAAATAAAAATTTCGTTTTCTCTAGGAAATAAGAACTTCGTCGTCGTCAATCGATTTAATAAAATCAAGTGATTCCTTAGATATTAACTTTCGTTACGTTGAAGGACAATCACAATGTGGGCTCAATGATCTTGTTCAACAAAAGTCTACTATAGATTCTTTACCTGCGTACATTCAAAATAGTAAATATAAATCATATATTTCAAATATGAAGAACATAACACTTATTTCTTTCTCCTAAACTATTAGAAGAACTATCGATGATGACTACAAGTGATATTCCATCAAATGAATTATTACAACAGTTAGGTATCGAATATCAATTTCGTGTAATAATCTTAGAAGCATCGAAAATTCCAATTGAATATGAAGATATTTTTTGTCAATTTAACTTTCTTCATCAACATCACGAAGCTTATTCAACAGAACCAATTAAAAATCAAGGCAAATCTAGTGGATCACTTGGTTTTTCTCATATACAAAATGTAAAATTAACAGAAGAAACTATTTAAAATAAATGTAAAAATGTTTTTGAATCATTTTTTAGTTCAGCGTTATTGTTACTTGTTCATTTATTGATTACCTTCGTTCGAAACCAATCATCTTCGAAGTTATGGGTCATTATCAAGAACATGCAAATCCCACACTCAACACGTAAATCTAATGGAGTCGCGAGAACTTAATTTCTCTAAATTTTATATTTAATTTAGTCTAACAACGACTTGTTCACCAATAGCTAGCACAATAGTCAAAGCCTTTTCAAAACCGATACCTGCACAAACACTAAACCCGATGACACCTATCAGGTTAGTAATTAGACAAATTTACTTAGTTTTGATTAATAGATTTCGAATGATTAAATGCAATAAAGTATACCAAAATAGTCTTTCATTCGACAGTGAAATTGATAATAATCTAATCCAATAGTGCAGTTTTGTTTACATCGAAGTTAGTATAGATTATAGATAGATGCGAAAATTGTCTGTTCAAAGAAATTCCAGCTACTCGGGCTATTAAAGTTATTTCGACAAGCCTGTTTTGCAATCTATAGAATACTCAACAAGCTGACATATCTACGAGTTGGGTCCATGTTGTTCAAGTTCAAGACATTTTTTCATTATTTTATATGCACATTGAATGTTTATTATTGGACTAGAGTCTTATAGCTCATTGTGTTAATGTCCTGAACTGATAAAATTATTTTTTAAATCAATATCATATCTATAATGTAGACGCAAATAGACTATCAGTAGATTTTTAAGTGTTAGATTGCTCTGATGATCTAGAACTCGTACATTACTTTTAAAATGAATGCCGTAGTCTTCTGTAGGAAAAGTGATTTTTGAATTTCGCATGAACATTTTATAGAGACAAATACTTTATGAAAAATAATTAACTTTGAAATTTTCACATATTTTCTTGTGTTTCTATGATAAAATTAGCGATTTAAAATATACACTACTATAGTCGCTCTATCTCAAGAGAAGAGCAACGATACGATCTGAAAATGAGTGGCTCTAAATTATTTTTATTGAGGCATGTCTCTATGCGAAGTTGTGAGAAGAAATTTGAAGCTCAAGTTTTCTGACAGAAAAACATCGTATTCATTTAAAAAATCCTGTAAAATCATAACATCTCCATCGTAATATGTTTATGCCAGATATTGATTTTGCAGACATTCACAGCTCGTTTAAAGCTACATAAGGTAAATAATTTCGACTTAAAAGCGGTTTACTATTTGTATAATTCACTCAATGAGTCTTAATTCATTATAGTTGAAGATTTGTTTTTCTCAAACCTATCTTAACTATTCCTATTTTATGCGGTATTTTTTATGAAAATCTTTTCTTTTTTTAAGACACAAGAAAAATAAACCGTTTTCAGTAATCTTGATTTGTTTGTTTTTCTTAGTATAATCAATAAAATTCATGCTATTCATGATCTTCTTGTTTGGTATGAAATCTTTGAATTATCACTAACTGGCGTGTAAGTTGTCATTTTTTTAAATTTTTATCCATTCTTTTTTTCAATAATTATAGATATGCTCCTGTTACCGTTGATCATTGTGATGATTTACCATGTTCCAGTCGATTTATTCTTCATCAAGGTATTCAACGTCGTATTGGAATAACATTATGTCATGAAACAAATCCAGAAATTATTTGGAAAAGTGTTCGTGAAGTTGTTGTTGGTATGTGCATAATCTTGGGAAAAAAACGTTTTTTCTCCAGATCTTTGTTTATTAGGTCGAATTCGTAGTCAACAACATTCTGTCTTTGATGAAACTGATGGCCAAATACTTTCCTTAAACATCCTGTCATCTCATTATATTCAAAAACAACATGATAATCGAACATTTTTTCATTTTGAAGTTGCTTGGGATTCATCATTACATAATTCGTTATTACTTAATCGTTGTACATCGAATGGCAGTTCAGTTTATTTAACGATATCATCGTATATTGACATTGAGCATGTCGGTCAGTCAGTGATAATAACAAAAGATCTTTCCGTTGTTTTATATCCACGTAGTGAAGATTCAGCATCACGTATTCGTTCATCATTGAAAAACTTTTTTCTATCAACTAGTTCAACAACACGATTACCAATGAACGATGATCATTCAAATTCTATTGCAGCTATTTATGAATTGAAATTAAGAAATGCTTCAATATTAAATTCAATAACACAAGATTTACCCAATCTAAGTCCTGGTGTTCAACGACGACAACGAAAAGTAATTGATACCTCAAAAATCTATGTACGTGGAGAAGAAATGTTACATGGTTGGAGACCAAGAGGTGATTCATTAATTATTGAACATCAGCAAGATTTAGAAAAATTATATAAAATCGAATGTGTATGTATTCAGTTATTGAATATTAAAGAAAATATTCTCTTTTGTCTGGTAGGTTGAACATACAAGACATTTTATACAATGTAAACATTTGTTACAACTACCCAATGATATTTCATCCGAAAAAAATCATAGTTCAATAAAGAATTCAACAGTTTCATTGAATGAACATCAACAAGAATTAATTCGTCGTTGTTTGAGAATGATGGCGCCATCACTACCAGCCATATCCAAATTGGCTATTTCCGATATTGAAGTAATAGAAAATTGATTGATAGAAATAAAACTTTGATCATTTGTCTATTGAATAGGTCACAACCGATCGTCATTCATTGGATGATACTCATAGTAGCCATTGTTTTGTTAAATCTTCATCCTCATCTACAATTGATACACAACCCTCAACCGTAATCAAAATAAATATGACAAATTCCGTTATTAAACCATCCTCAAGTGGTTCGGGTCTCACAAAGTAAATAAAAGAATCAAATAGTAGATAGTTTGTTAATCTTAAAGATCAATCACAATGGAAAAATGTATATTAATAGAATTTAAGAGTATTTTGTATAATGTTTGATCGCAAGAATACAACGAATTAATTTGATACGTACACCATTAGTAGAAAACCTAAAATAAAAAGATATTTTGTCAACAGTTCAATCGCGAAGTAGCAATATTTAAAATAGACGAGAAAAGAGTATCATTAAGATCCTGTAGTTGTTAATCTATTTTATTTTTGCTGTGACTCACATACGTACCTCTGTCAATATTGAGTGGCAATTTAACTACTTTTAAATCTTGTTTCTTACGATTGTAGACTTTCTCATTTGAACCCATCAAGTTCAATATCAGCGGAACATTATGCTGATAGTATTCATGGTTTCACATCATACAATATGTCAAAATCTCGTTCTATGGAAAGTTTAGCGAATGTACCGAGTATGGCACTAAAATATATTCTATCGATTGAAGAAGTTAATATATCATCAGCTGTATTACGTCGCGGTTATTTAAAATTTTTAGAAGAAAAAGGAACAGATTGGATGAAAAAATTTGTTGTAAGTAAAATAAATAAATTCGATTTTGAAGTTGAATGACTAATGTGTGTTGTTTTTCTTTTCTCTAGATTATACGACGTCCTTTTGTATTTATACATAATCATGAAAAAGATCCTGTTATAAGGGATTTCATAAATTTAGGAACAGCTCGTATTGAATTTAACGATGAAGAATCAACAAATGGAACACGAGTAATGAGTTGAATGTAGAAAATATTTTGTAAAAATCTAAGTTTTTGTTTTGTTTTACAGAGTGCTCGAAATACATTTTCTGTTGTTTCGAAATATCGTGGTTTTCTTATTCAACCATTAGCTGAAAAAGATGTTCACGGTTGGCTCTATGCTTTTAATCCATTACTTGCTGGACAAATCAAGTAAATTAAGGTGACTGTTGTGTTTTATCATTGAGACTTTTTCTTGTTTTTAGATCTCGATCATCAAATCGATCGAAAGGAAACATAAGTTGAAATGATAAATATTATGTCGGAGTCAGATGAAATATGACACATTATTTATTCATTTTTTGGAGCAATATGTTTTCATCTTCACTCTGAACAAAACTCATAGTCAAATCTAGTCGTTTCCTTTCTTTCTTTTTATACAGCTTCATAACACTATAAATATTTTTGTTTTTATTCCATAAAATTTTCTTGGCGTCTTTCAGTGCTTCTTAATTGACAAATATATTTGTATGTGGTTGTATGCATGAAAATAAATCCAAATGATTGTGTTTGAGAAACAGTAATAAATTTCTCTGTATGTCCTCTGTTGAAATTTAATTTTACAAATAAAATTCTGTAAATAATTAAAAGTGTAACTTGTAAAAGTGTTTGGATGGTCATGGTTATGTAAAAGGTACATCGATTATTATGTCAGGAACAAAATATCTGATTCGTCGTTGTTGTTTTTTTAGTATCGAAAACAAACTAGAGAGAAGATCACCATCAGAAAGCAATCACGTTTTGATCTCAAGATGTCATAAATTTCGAAAGAGTGCGTGAGTAATGTGTTCGAATATTAAATTCAACAGTTTAAGCTTATGTAGACATTTATAGTTATGTTCAATTTAACTCTGATTATTTTAGTCTTTTTTCTCCTTGTCACGAAAAAATGTTACAAATGTCTCGAAGCTTTCTCGCTGAAAAATTCTATTTCTATGATTTATTTTTCGATATAATTCTACTTCATAATCTCGATTAATAAAGCACGACATTAAAGAACAATAGGATTGATTCTCTCTTCAGTCTGATAATATGAATATCCATCTGAAGTCTAAATTTAACTGAAAATACTAATTAATAGTAACCTAAATGATTCAAAGTGAGTCAATACTTCTGGATCAAGCAGCAATAATAGAAATAAATATTCAAAACAAAATTACTAATCATCTCCATATTATGCAATCCTTTTTCTTGTTCTGTTTTACATGATGATTAAAAAAACAGCTCTTTCTCTCTCTCTCTCTCACATCTGTCAACTAAAACACTGCGTCATGAATATTACGACTGTAACCTTGAGCTTATTGGTGGTCAAGGTAACGGCAATGTATAGCTATATATATAGAGAGAAATCTAATATAAATGTGTGTCTCATTGATATAAAACAAAATAAATAAGAAATGGTTCGAACAATGATCAATTTACTATTCAAGAATTTTAAAAAAACACAATATCTTCTTTTTCTTAATTAAAAACTGATTAAAAATCATTTTCATCAGACACAGATCTATATTTTTCACTTAAAATAAGACAACAAAAAACACTCGTTTACATTATAGTTCAAAGCTTTTTTCTACTAAATTTTTAATATAAACATAAAATTCAGCAATAATCATCATCAACATTGTATTCTTGTCGAAACCAATTCCAAGTTTTTTCTAATCCTTCATATATATTTGTTTTCGGTGCAAAATTTAGAAGTTTTCTTGCTTTTGAATTATCACAATACGTTATGGACGGTTCTGTTTTATGTGATTTCATCGATCGTTTTGATATATGTTTACCGGATAAATGTTCAATATGCTCGATGAACGTTGATAATTTTATTGGATTTCCACATCCAATATTTATTATTTCATAACCATATTGTTGTTCAAGTGCATTTATAAATGCATCAATGACATCATCAATATAAGTCCAATCACGTTTTATTTCACCATCATCAAATACATCAATAGTACATGTTGGATCGATACAGGCACGCATCAATTTAAATGGCATCATGTCAGGTCGACCTCTTGGCCCATAAACATTAAATAGACGTAAAATAGTTATATTAAGTTCATTCATATTATGATAAACGTGTGCTAAGATTTCTGCAGCACGCTTTGTTGCTGCATAGGGTGATAAAGGTTGTGCACATGAGTCAGTTTCAACAAATGGTAATTTATCTGTTTGTCCATAAACACTGGATGTTGAAGCAAAAATGAATTGTTTAACCTTCTGTGAAGCAGCAAGATCAAGTAAGAGTTGTGTACCTGAATAATTGATTTCCATATATTTTCCTATTTGAGATGTTGATGAACGAACGCCAGCAAGTGCCTGAATATGTTGGAAATCAAATGATTAATAATAAATGATAAACAACAAAACACAATACTAACAGCAAGATGAACAATATGTGTTATTTTATATTTGGTAAAAATCATTCGTAATAATTCTTCGTCATTGATACTACCTTGAATAGCAATGAAATTGCCATCAAAAACATGAGTTGGATAACGATCTTCAAGTAATGCAACATTTCGTTGTTTAATTATTGGTGAATAATAATCGTTGAAACTATCTAATAGGATAACATGACCAAGATTAAGTTCTAGTAGACGATCAATCAAATGACTACCAACAAATCCAGCTCCTAGAAACAAGAAGTATTGCAATTATTATATTTCTTTAATATTGTATATTTACCACCGGTTACGAGATACACATCGGATTTAGCCATTTTATTTCAATTGCAGAGTAAGACACTTTTCATAGACTATATAGGAGAAAATGACCGAGCAAAATTCAAAATCAAGGGCGACACTTGTATTTAAAAGCACATATATAGTACGTCATCAATGGTATAACGGTCGAGAATGACGAAGAAGAGAAAAGAAAATGCTGCACCCACTATCACATATGATTAGTGTTATAAATTTTTTTCTTTTTCTTCTGTTCTCTCGAATGCGAAAGAACATTAATGAACGATGGACAATTAATCGAAAACTCCATCTGCACAACTGCTTACATCTTATCTAAATATTTCATAAATTGAATACGTCATTTTTAGACAGTCTTTTAATAGAGCAATCGAACGACTGAAAAACCTTTTAGGGTAAATATGCAATGTCAAAATTGATTTGATATCTTATGACGTCTTTCCATAAACAAATGACGCCTCATCAACAATTACAAGTGTTACATCAACATCATAGAATTTCATTTTAAACATTCTATCTTATTCTTCTATGATTCATTATTTCTATTTATACAATAGATTATACTTATGAAAGAAAAATGTGAAACATTCTTCGCATTATATGATTGAACCAGACATATTAGTGAATCGTTTCTAATTTATTCCGAATACTCATCGTATACTTCATAAAGTTGTTTGTCTTATTGAAGTTTTAATTGAAAGCAAACACTTAAAAAATCTTTCTTCTTGTTAAAAAAAAAGCGCAAAAGTTTCTAGTGTTCGTTTTTATCGATTAATTTTATATTGTCTGTGTATAATACAGAAAATAATCATGTCTCTAAAAACATATTGTTTTCCACTGAAGACAGCATCTGAAACATTTACTCAACAAAATAATCTATCGAATTCTGATACATTATTGATTTATTTTAAAGGTGAAAAAGGTCTAACTCAACCTTTATCTTTACTATTAATTAAGCTTAATGAAAGTGTATATGAAAACACAATTGAATTACTTGATGTTGGAAATGTAAATAAAGCGAATAATTTAAAAAAAACTTTACGTCTACTTTACTCATTCTTATTTACATAGCTAGTTCTCACTGGGACATGTAAAACTAGATGCAAATAATATACGATGGAAATTAAATTGGCTGGAAGTTGAACGAGACTATGAAAATGAAGAAAAAAGAATTTTCAAGTAAAACAAATCTTATGAATATTTATAGTTTTTTCATGTTGACATAATAAAATTTTCCAGTAAATCAATGGCTTGACTCAAATCGGAATAAAATACTCGATATATTTATTAAAGAAGTGAAACGATTTTGAGTCGCTACAGGACTATTTATTTGGAAGTTTAGAAGAAAGCACACATACGCCAGACTGACTCTCAAGCATTCTTCTCATCCCTTTTATATGGTGAGAGGAATGTACTTAAGCCGTGTTGGCTCACAACGTTACTACATAGATACGAAAGTAATATTAACATCACAACCTTGAAAAGAAGGTAATAATAGCATAGATAAGAAGGTAATCACAACACAGATGAGGAGGTAATAATAATAATGACGTCACACATAGGTAAGGACACTCTTTTGCACTCGTTGAGTGCAAAACTGCTTCTTGAGGACAAAAGAGTGGCACAAGAAGGTTCTGCACAGTTCGGTAATTTCATCTTAGAATTCTTTCTATTTTATAATACGATTTTTTAAACTTCAACTTATACAATTATTATACGTACCGGAGGTATTAGTCGCTTGTTTTCAAGCAACTATTCGTCTAGCATTGATTGGTGATGGTGCTTCAACACTTCCATTTGATCTAAATGCTAGTACTAGTTCAATTCAATGTAAAGCTAAGAATTTATTTCATTCGAATTCAAAAGATATATTTTATATTTCATCATTTCAATCCGTTGATGTTGGCCAAGTATGAGAAATTTTCAATTATTTAAAAAAAAATTAGAATAATATTATTTTATACTAAGCTATTTCATATAAAACTGCAACAGAGCTGGGCAACTCAACTCAATTTCTGAGTTGAAATGAATCGAATTGGGGGTGTATTTTTGAGTTGATGAATTGTCTTGAATTGAATTGATAGGACGTTTTCTGAATTGGTTAATTGAAATGAATTGAATGGAGTATAATTCGGAAATATCTCTGAATTGAATTGAATTGAGTTGGAAAAGTTCTTAGAGATCGACGATTTGAGTTGAATTGAATTGAACTTTTCTTTCAATGAATTGAATCGAATTGGACACCTTTTTGAGTTGAGTTGACCAGCTCTGNCTGAATTGGTGAATTGAAATGAATTGAATTGAGTTGAGTTGGAAAAGTTCTTAGAGATCGACGATTTGAGTTGAATTGAATTGAACTTTTCTTTCAATGAATTGAATCGAATTGGACACCTTTTTGAGTTGAGTTGCCCAGCTCTGAACTGCAATGTGGTTGTCATGATAGTTTCTCATACTATTGTAAAAGTATTGAAGTTATTAATAATTTAACTGGTGTAAAATATTTGTACGTGTATAGATATGATTAAATTGTATTAAGAATAATTTATCGGCCAGCGTTCTTGTCAATCATTGGTTTGGATCAAACTTAGAGAAACACATCAGATACCATTTCAAAAAGATAATATTGGTGACACTGAGGTAAAATAGAGCAGTTGAGAATGAATTCATTAAAAAAAATTACATATTTGAATATCATCATTTTATTAGGTAAGCAATGTGAAAGTTTGTTTCGTGAACAAATCAACAGAAAAAAATAATCGAAGTTAAATGGGCTTGTGCTTGGATTGAAATTCGTGATATTTTCTATCAACGAAATTATTGGTATTACTCAGTGTTTTGTTTTAGAGAATAAACCATAATTGTTTTGAAAATTGGATTAAAAATTAGTGTTGAGGCGTATGCCTAAGCAGAAAAAATTCTTCTCTTAAAGGAGCAACAGCTTTCTTGTTATATTTCTCTAACATTAAATTAAAAGATGTTCAAGTATTGTGTCTGGAGACCGTTTGAATGAAACAATATTTATGTGACTAACAACAAAAGCTCGACTGTATTTCATATTTTAATCTTGTAGAGGTTACACTGATAGCTTTCTATTTTAGTTACATACTTCCCAAGAGCCTTATTAGTAGTGCGACGAATGTAACAAATAATTTTACATATCTAGAAAGAATTACTGATCTACCATGTTTAAAAAATAGTAAGACTAATATTTATTCGTTTAACATAATTTATAGATTCTTTTATGAATATTTGAGTTTAGTTGATAATTAAATGAATGACTAATGTGCTAAAAATAAGATTTATGAAATTCTACACATAGACTAATACAAATTGTAATGAACTGAATAATAAATGAAAAGAAAACAATGGCACTGTGTATCATTCTCTCTTCCATAAGTGAGTTTCAGTTATCTTTGTGAACTGTTATAAAGTTTTCTATAGCGATTATTACATCTTGCATTCTCTCTAACGATTGGTGACTTATTTTAAGCATTAATCGTATGAGAGGAAAAATAAGATATAAAACTAGAAATATTAGTTTTGTGTATGTTCCAAGAGCTCGTCAGCACCGGCAAAGAACCAACTACTGTTACACCAACAGAAAAATAACTACATCTGTAAAGACGCGGAAGTGAAGAGTTATGTTGTGAATGAGGAAACCGTTAATTGCACAAGTAACATGAATCGAAAATCGATTCACCACACCCGAGACTGACAGAACTCACACTTGCAAATATATGAACCGCTGATTTCGTCGGTAGTTTTCGTCATCGATCCTGAAATCTCCAGAAAGATGAGTGGATAAGTTCAATCGAGACAAGTAATACAGAAAATGAATAAGTGAAAGTGGGTTACCGATGAGAAGAAAACGAAAAATTTCCAAGAACCGTGAATAAAAAAATGCAACCAAAATAAGCATGGAAGACACGTGCGAAGCAGTGCCTGAACCACGATTTTGCTTCTGATCAAGCGCGATGGGGGAGAGCTCTCAGTCTCCTAACTAATAGAATACACTGTTGGCAGTTCTCATCAGGGGGTTTTAATATCTTTCAGAGGAGAAAGAGGTTGAGTTTCACCTTGGTACTCGATCGCGCCGTTAAAAAATTTAGTCATGGAGGGATAAAAGTTCCTTATGGGAACCCCGACAGCCCCCCCCCCTCACCTGCTTCGTCATTAGAAGGGACTATTCTGCGTACCTCTCCCTCCTCAGTGGATTCACCAATAATATATCCCATAAAAATGATCATTTGTGTCATTGTTACAAACAGACAGACACAGGTGAATTACGGATTCTAGGCCTTATCCTTTCAGTCTAGGGAAAAGAAGTGAAAGAAGATATGAATAAAAAATCTCAATCTGAATTTACAATCTACGTATATAACTTATCTTTAACTAAATTGCTATTTTCAAAGCTGCTACTGATTGTATACTTGCAGTATTATTAGAAACAAAACTAGCATAAAAATGAATATCTATGTTGATATAAATAAAATAATGATGGCTAGTATTAGGTATCAACGTTTAGTATAACATGTTTGACAGCTGATTATCGAAAGAAAAACTTACGTTTACTATATTTTATATGATATATTCGCAGCATTTGGCCTTCCCATATTCATCAAAAGCCAATGTTCTATAAACTATATCCTTATTAAGCACAGCATTCATTGATGTAAATTTTATTTTCAAATTTATCTATTCAATTGAAGCAGTTAATTTCATCAAATAAAACATATCAGATAGACAAAGTTCAAACGAACAATTAATGAAAATTTCACTACTAAGATTCAGAAAAATACTGCCGACTCCTACAAGTCAGTTCACATTTGAGATTCAGTAAAATAAGCAGGTTAACAAGAATGCTTTTAGCGAATATTTAATGAGTAGATCATTAACCTGTGCGGTTATGTTTACGTACCAAGCTGTAACAACTGTGTTTTCAAAGCAGAATGTTATAGAAGAAACTGGTATTGTATTCTTTTCTAGCTATTGAATTCATGTGCATGCATGATGACTCTATCTATAATAATAACCACTAGTCATGAAAAACAGAAAAAAGGCAATGAGGTTTTGAATATTGATAAAGATACAAATTTGAATTCATAATTTTCTCTCAAACAATTGATCTACGTCCCAAAGAAATTAAATTTATCAATAATTTTGCCACTAATCATGAAGATGACAGGCTGCTTCTGCTTCAGATTAAATATATTTTTAGTACATTTGAGGTTCTACATGTCGATTTCAGATGATTCTCTTGGGCACAAAATAAGATAACTGATCGCATATTTTTTCTCGTACGAACATATAAGCAAAATAGTTGTCGAAGAAAAACTTGCTACATGATAAAAGTATTTGTACAGAAGCGAATTTGAATGACACATTTAATTACAAAATATCTGCTAAAAAATAGGTTACAGAAGCAAGAAAAATAAATGAAATTGGCATGACTGAAGATTTTTATTTTACATTCACATATGAGAGTTTTTGAGAAAAGAAAACGACTTGTCTTTCTATTTCTTATTTTTATATAAACAATTTTCTTAGTATATTCATGTTCAATCCCATAACCAGCTATTGCTAAATAATACTTCATATCTTATCTAATTTCCAATTTATATATTAATTAAAACGTTTAGTTGCTTTCGTTAGTTACAAGACGTTGCACTCATATAATCGGAAAAAATTAGTTCATTTTTTCTACAGAGGCTTTTATTTTTGTCCTGAGGGCTTTTTTTTCTGTGCTGACTTACACTATAATTGTTTTAGTATCTAATTCTATGTAAGATGATATTTAATAATTTTAGTAGCACGAACGAAGAAACTTGGCACTTAGTTTAGATCATAGATCATATCAGATAAATGTCTCTGAAGATAAACTGTAATTATTAAATTTTGTGTTGTCCTATGTTGGCATTTATGATAAATATCTTTAATTTCTCTTTTAAATGTAACATGACGATGCATAATTACACAGGAAAACGTATGACAGCTTTTAGAAATTTGCAAAATTTAACATCTGTTCTTAGACTCGTTTTTCTTTAACAGTAAAATAACTCTTCTGTAATTCATATTTGTAGGTGGTTAACAACTTCTATCTATTATGCGCATGAATAAATCAAATGACGTCAGTAATTATGTGTTGCATACTCCATGATTGCATAGTTTTGGATTTATTTTACTTCTAACAATTCTCAAGACGTTGTGTCTTACAATAAGTCATTCGTAATGACGTTCTTCAACAGGTTTATCCTCGTGCTATAGAATAGTTATGCACAAAAGAAAATAATTAAGATACTTTCTTTATATTACAAAATGTTTCTTTCCCTAAGATTACATACACGTTTTCTCTCTAATCTGAATAGACGTCATTATCTTTTCAAAAGAAACATTTTCTAAGATTTTTGCATCGATGATTTGAAGAACTTCAATACAATATGTCACGTGTTTTTTATTGCAAGTAAAATTAAGCGTTACAGCCTATTCTATTTGCTCTATGAGTATCATTCGTTTGCTAGATTTTTACCTGCATCATCAAAATAACTATTCGTTGTTTTATAAGTTTCGATCTGTCAATAATACTCATTTAGAGAAATACTAGCCGAAAGCTATTTTTTTTGAATAAGTTTAACAAGAAACAAGACAAACAAATACACCTGTCATTTGAGGATAATTCTTATGAACGGATTTTTTTTTTAAGTTTAATAATGAAACTTCTTGAAAATTTCACTAATCTGAGAGCTGACTACAGAGAAATTTTAATTATTAGGTTTTCATAAATAGTATCCATCACAAATTCAAAGCAAACCCATAACACATACAGATTTATTTTTATTGTTTCAGACGTTTGCCAATAGTTTTTAGAGGTTATCAAGCTGTTTTTGCAAGCGACTCATAAGAAGCAGGTAATTTCGTGTTTTTTTGCTTATTCTAAAAGACAAAATTTTGATTTAGAAAATCAATTTAAAGAACATTAGAGAACACCCTATGAAAACATCTATTGAATAATTGGATATCATTTTATCTCGTCTACACATGAGTATAAATCACAGTACTCGATCCAAATTATATGAGACATGATCGAAAAAGTTTTCATCTCTATTTTTCTATCAATGAACATTCAGTTCATCGTACTCAGACACGTTACTCTTTATTTGCATTTCGATATACAATCATCTTACCCAGCTGTGATTCTCTGATACAAAGATACCTAGTCATGGATAACTTTCATATTATTGCATTTAAAATGTAAATAATGCTTCCGTTAAATGAATATTATGATGTAGATTATTTGGCTGCGTTTCTTGCACTTTGAAAACGTATTTTTTTTCACTATAAAAGAGCATCGTTTTTAGCGAACTGATCGTGCTAAATTTAAGCAGTATACAGATATCATATATTTCATGATGTCTTTGCTAAGGCGCACATTACACTATATATAATTAGATACTATTATATTTGAGATTGCATTTCTAATTGACGTCTAGTTGGATTTGTCGTTCAAAGAAATGACAAGATTGTATATTCAATAAAGTCTACAAGAAGGTTTAACTAGATGTCAATTGTAGGAATCATACATCGACAATCACGAAGATATTTTCTATTGAAATATGAAGCCATGTTGCAACAGAATAGAAATGAACGAGTATTTTTCATTGTTTTCCATCAGATAAAACCATGGAAGTAGATACTTGACGATTGGACATATCAAGAAACAAACCTATTTGTATATACTGGTATTTCCGATGATTATCCTTTCAACGAAAACCAAATGATGAGTAGATGCAGGAATTATAGAAACATAAGAACAAAGCGTTTTCTCTTTTTCAATATTGATAATTGAAAAAAATATATATTAATACATAGTTTCTCTTATTTTTAGCAAAGAGCAAATGAATAATTATTGGTAGATTGCATATATTAACGTAGATATTTTTCTAATGGGTTGTACAGTATCTAAGACTCGACTACCTGAACTTCTCCCTAAACGTATATCATTACACCATGATGCAATTCCATCGTCGAAGAAACCAGTTTCATGGTCAACACATTTTCTCGAAAATTTTCTTACTATTTGGCTTTATGATGAGGCTTCAAATAAATATGAAAATGAAATGGAACATTTAGGAAAGCTTCTGTATGGTTTAAAAACATTTAATAATATTGAAACATGCAATCATTTTATTTATAATGTTCGAGATAAAAAGATTTTTCTTATTTTATCTGGTATTCATCGAGCATGTGAACATTTTCATGATTTTCCACAACTCGAGAAAATATTCATATTCGATTGTTCTCATGAAATAAACGATACAAAACATCGAATTTTCAAATATGATACCATGCAAAACGTTGATAGTCTTTATAGACAACTACAAGAAGATATAAGAATATGCGAAATGGATTTTACACTTATTACGGTTGTATTGGCATCATCTCAAGAAATCTCGTTCTCATCAAAATTGACAAGACAACAAGCATTTTTTCTTTTTGCAAAAATGATGAAAGAGATTACTGCTCGCCTTAAATTTGAAAGTTGTTCGAAAGATGTCTTGATCGATTTTTGTCGAGTCGTATACATGAACCATGATGAACAACTGCGCGCAATCGATGAATTTGCTAAAAATTATCGAACAAATAAAGTTCTTTATTGTTTAACAAATCAATCTTTTATTTCAAGAATACTAAATCGTGTCGTACGTACGCATGAGATCGATATTCTCTACAAGTTTGGCTTTTTCGTTAAACAAGCAACCATTCAACTTAATCGATTACACGAAGAAAATAAAGTACTAATCGAAACTATTTCCATGGTCTATCGTGGTCAAACAATGTCATTTTTGGAATTTGAAACCTTAATAAAAAACCAATGGCGGTGGTTTTCTTTCATTTCCTAATTTTCTTATCGCTTCAGTGAAAAAACATTTGCTGTTGATTTTATTGATCGTCAACTTGCAATGCATCGAGATATGATAGGTATTCTTTTCGAAATAGATATTGCAAAGACAACATTCGATGAAAAACGTCCATTCGCCTTACTCAAAGATCCAGATGTAGATAAAGATGATGTTTGTTTTAGTATGAGCACAATTTTTCGTATTCAATCAGTTGCACAAATCACCAATGGTGAAACGATGATGTGGTCTGTTGAATTAAAATTAGTCAATAATGATGATCCACAACTACGATATATCATAGCATCGACTCGTCATGATGAAGTGCATGCTAATCCAGCCTTTCATTTGGGTAAATTACTGATGGATATGGGAGAATATAAACGTGCTGAATAGCTTCTTCTTAGTTTATTACAAGATACAGCTATTCTCAGTCAACCCCGACGACTTGTACGTATATGTAATGGTCTCGCTGCTATCTATACTTACAATCATGACTACGTCAAAGCCTTAAATCATTATCAAGAAGTACTTCGATTGAGTTTAACTTATCTACAATCTGATCATCTAGATCTGATACCGATTTATAAAGTCATTGGTGGCAATCATTACAACCAAAAAGAATACAGTAATGCTCTAGAAAACTATGAAAAAGCAATTAAATTATTAGAGCAAAATACATCGCCAATGAATGTTGACACGAGCAGTGATCTACATAATTCTATAAGCATGACAAAGCAGTTGTTAAAAACCCATCAATAATTCTATTATCTTTATCATTACGTTTTCAAAATAAAAATTCATTCTATATTAAAATATTCATCGTATATAAATAATATTGGTTGTGTGTAGTATTGAGTAGACCAACATATTCTGTAGTAGTGAAATGTCTTTGTATTCTAACTTACCGTTCACCTTGAATGTTGGATCTAGGAGATAAGAAAATGAAATAAAACAAAAAATAGATACGCCCTGTTAAACAGAAGAACGATTCACTTTTTAACGAAATGATAATAAAGGACAAAAGAACAATTCAAGTTTCCTCAATGCTTTTCAACTGCAGTTGCTAGATGTTATTATTTAGTCGAGTCACTTAAATTATTCATATTGAAAATAAACTGTTAACTATCATGACGAAACTATTGAATCGAACTCTCGATGGATTTATTTGCCATACCGAATAGTACAGTTGAGAATGAACTGGGAACAACAAGCGTTACTAATAGAACAAAGATGCGCAATACCAAAGAATATGATGTAATAATTATTGGAGCTGGATTTGCAGATCTTATTGCTGTTCATGAACTTAGTTGTCGTTGTCGAAGTGTATTGATTATTGAAACACAAGATCGTATAGGTCGTCGAACTTTTATTGCACAAATTGATAATCAATCACATGAGATTGGTGGAACACGGATTCATTGGAGTCAACCACACATATGGACAGAAATAACACTTTATAGGTTTTCATAAATTGAATCTCAAAGAGCAACGACTGATCATATTAGTGTTTCACTTGATAATTGCTCGAAATTAAGAACTTTCTCAATAAATGATGTTTATCCTGAATTATTTTATCTGACGAATGAGTTTTAGGAATGTAGATGAAGTATTTGGACGATCAATTTTTCCTTGGCCACACACATCTTTAACTGTTGCACAAGCTATACAAACTTATGATTGCTTGACAATGCAACAAAGATCGGAACAAATATCAACTTCACTTGTTACTACTACTGGTGCTGCTGCTGCTGATGATGATGATGATAATGATGACGATAAAGACATGTGTCAAATCTTAGATGCTTATCTTTCAATAAATACATCACAAGATGATTTGAGAGAAAGTGGATTTCTAGATCATCTCAGTTTTTGGGCACTTGACGATTGTGATGTGATGAGAACATGTGATAAAACTAGTCGATAAAAAAAATACATCAAGGAACAAGTGCATTATCTCAAACAATACTTGATGCTTGTCAAGATGTAGATATATTACTCTCTACACCGGTCATTTCTATTCATCGAATTAATGATAATAAAATTAAAATTCATACAAAAGATGAACAAATATTCAGTGCTTTTGCATTGATCATAACTATTCCATTAAGTGTATGACATCAAATAGAATTTCAGCCAGCACTGTCCATGGCAAATCAGTATGCACTTGCTCAAGGTCAATGTCAAGGTGGTACTAAATTTTAGGTTGAACTTCGAAATTCAATAGGTAATTGCTGTGGTTTCGGACCATATCCTAATCCAATAGCTATTGTTTATACTGATGATAGAGAATGTACTATTATTGTTGGTTTTGGTCCTGATAGTGCACTTGATATTCGAGATATTGTAACAGGAGAACTTGAAGTCAAGAGATTATTACCAGATTGCAGAGTCAAACAAGTTTTTTTGACATGATTGACGTAGTGATTCATTCATAAAAAAGCACCTATAATCATAGTATAAACCAAGTCAACTGCCATCAAATCTTCGAATATTACAAACTTGAGAAGGCTCCTTGTTTTTTGCTAATAGTGATATAGCTAGTAGCTGGTGAGATTGTCTTGATGGTGCCGTGAAAAGTGGTCTTACTAGTGTTCGTCAAGTTCAACAACACTTTTACAATCCAACTCTTTAAAAGGTAGTATGTGTAATAGAAGAAAGATGCTCATTTTTCTTCGTGCGTCGACACAATCGTTTGTTTCAACCTTGATTAGTTTGTAGCTCGGATATTTTGTGTTTTATTTCTCGTAGTGCATATAATTGGATTGAGTTTAAACCGTAGAAAGTGAAAGAAAATTGATAGCTAAGTTTATACAGAGCTGTAAACTATCCGACTGCAAACGAGTTTCCGTAAGATTAAAAAAATTTGATCACATGTTTCTTCTAATATGTTTATGGTATAAAATACTCATCAAGTAGAAGTCTCCGAGAACTTTAGCTACTAGTTAGTTCAATATTGATAATATTTTTGTGACAAGACATCAATGACATATTGTTCTACAACTTTTGGTTCTATCATGTCATCTTCTCAAATTCAATACTCTTATTCATGGAAAAAAACAGTTCATTGAAGCTTTTGATTCATTTTTATTCAGAAATAAAGATTTGAGCAAGTTGTAAACATAGATGTAACTATCTAGACTCATGTTGTTAGGAAAATCGTGAAGATTCAAATAAGAAGATGTTGTGTTATACGCCTGAATACTAGAGAAAAGAATAACTACACCACATAATAGTAGATGTCCGATTTGTTTCCATCGAACAATGTAATACAGATTCGTCAATTTAATTTCAACTCATTCACTGTTCAATTCGCTATTCTGATCTTCAACTGTCATTTGTAGCATTGTTTTAATTTGTTCATCATTAAAAGATATTTGATCTTTCAAAAATTCCTCGTTTGTCGTAAGTTCATCATTGCTATCATTGATTGATTGGTGCGAATCAATGAACAACAATCGTCAATTAATCGTTCAAGTAGAAGTGGATCAGGTAGAACGATGGACAAAGCTTGTTTGGCATAATTTACAGCTTGTTCATATCGTGCATTATGGGTGGACCGTTCATTTTAATTTGAGTTAATTAAGTAGTTTTACTTAACACTTAATGTTATATTAACGTAAAGTGCCACCCCAATCGTGCACATCTTTGAAGGCTTCGTGCTAAGCAAACATAACATTTTTCGATTGTGTCCTTAGTATATGGTTTCCCATAGCCGTGTATAACATGTTGAAAAGCACGATTAAAACGTTTTGATTGATGAATGGAACTGTAGCGTCCAATCTTGCACATACATCTTGCTGTCGTCATTGCATTATTAACGAATATGTCTTCCATGGACAAATTGAGGGCTTCTTTGTAAAGGCCTAAAGCCTTTTCTAAATCATTCATTGAGGTATAAACATCACCCATTCTCTCTGAATATGATCCAAGCAAAGGATTGAAATAAGAAGACGACGATTGAGGCGTTACCGATAGTTCTTTTTTACGTATATAGCAGATTAAAGCTTTTTCAGTATTTTGATTCTGATAGAAATGTTTGTACCCGAATTCACCCCATGCGTCAATGATATATGAACTCCTCTGATCAATGGAGAGCTCATTTTCGTCATCATCGTATGAACTATAATAGTCGCGAAATGCATACGAATTTTCAAGAAACACTATATCTGATATGCCATCGAGTCATGCAAATAAAATGTCTTCGTAAAGAAAAGCATCCATATCGCCAGTCTGATTCATAAGTTCATCGAAAATATTCCAAGCAAGCTGAAAGTCACCTTCAACTTTATGTATTTGAGTCAGATGAGCATTAAAATAGAATTAAGCAAAATTTTAAGAGAAAAAATGATAGAACAACCGTATGAAGAGATGATACGTATATTCGAATAGTAGACATATAAGTTACTGAAAACCAAACAATGTGAACAACGAAAATTGTGAAATAATACGAGCACATCAATCCTATTAAGGGGCAAGATTACATTTCAATGTTGATACTTCATTTTTAATGAAGCGTTTAGTTTATGTAAAACATCCATTATGCGAGTCTCTCTATTTTACCAGTAACCATCTTAAAGATCTTGATCTGTTACAAAATCAAATTTCTAGTGAAAGCGTTATAAACACAGCGTAAGTATTGATTTTTTCATCACAGAATGAAATAAATGAGACAGTAGTTACATTCATGCCCAATACTATTTCGAATCTCGATACGACTGTTGCATTTGAGACAATGGGACAGTAGAAATCAAAGTTATTCTGAAGAAAGTTTACAATAAGCCAAAAGAAGTGTAGAATCGATCAGTAAATTTCTGTTTCTTTAATATTCGGTAAAGATTGTTCTATAATTTTGAACACGTATTCAATTCAACATGATGTTCGGGTATGTTTCACTCATTTTCTTCACACATGACACAAGTTAGATTGTTCTGCCCGTTGACGTGGAAGAGAACAACGAGACGAGCAACTGTTTTTTTGTCGTCGATTCATAACCAAACCAAACGGGCGGTCATTGTTTATGATATAAACAATAGCTATATTGCATTGACGAAATAAAACGAAGCATTCCTATCATTCTAGGTTCGTTTATTAATTATGAAAGGCACAATTGCTTCTCTTGTTTTGCTCGCTCTTGAGCTTACACTTTGTCTTGTTTCATCACGTTGGCATTCAGTTGAAGTTAATGATACTCAAATATGTTTCAAAAATCTTTTTGTTCGTTTTAATACATCTTCATCAAAACATCAATATTTACATGTTGGTCCACTGTATTCATCTCGTTTGGTCAAAGCAGATAATACCTTTGAAAGTTCATCAACTGATCATGCCAAAACTGAAACAATTTTGATCATTACTGGTATTGGTTTTATAATCATCTCGGCTATTACTTTATCATCAATCGAATTCTGTTTGAGTAAATCGTTTATCGATCGATATCGTATTTGGTTTCATTTAGTCAATGTTATCCTATTAATAATCAGTTCAATTATATTAATCGTTAGTTTCTATTCATTACAACATATGTTTAAACATTCATTGAATGGTGTAGCAGCTCTAGGATTTTTTATTGGCATCTTATTTATGGTTGCATTAACTACACATTCGGCAATTACATTTTGGGCTGATATTTGGCATATGCGTAATAAAAAAATAGAAAAAGTTGCAATATAGACTAAACATATGTTATTTTATTTTGTTAAAAGTGTAGATTTTTGTAAATAAAATTCATTTTGGTATGTAATCTAAAATACTTCCACCAAAATAAGTCTCACAGGATTGAAGCGGAATATTTCGAATGAATTTCTTCATTGCAATAGAATTTATGACACAATTATCAATAATGGTAGCTAAATTTCTGTTGATTGCTGATTTATCATGAAATATTAATAAAATGTGTCCAATCAATGATTTCTAGTCTACCATATGAATAGCTGTTTACATCGGAGTGTGTTGTTCATCTGTGGTTACTGTTCTATATATGCGAAAATAGGAATTCTACTTAGTGCTTGACGTGTGATTCACAGATTAATTCGAAAAATCTAGATTAATCCAATTTATATCGAATACTTTTTAAACTTTATTACAGCATTTTCAAAACAAAATTGATTTGATAACTCGAAAGGATAATTGTAACGTTTATATAATCAATGTATGACAATTAAAATTATTTCGATTGAGCATAAAATACGTCTGACCTATTAAATTGTATGAAAGGGGCAGACAATGAAGGTTAGACACCAAGATAAAAGAAAGTGTCATAGCATTTCGAAGCTCATAAATGAATTTCTTTTGAAATTTTCACTAAATTGAATTAGTTCTGTTACTCTTTTGATAAGTATAATAATGTTAAAAAAGATTATTTGAGTTTAATTTTTGATCGAATATAATTGCCATCGCTAATTTTTTTAATATGAGGCATCAATGTAAAAATGATTTACACACAGACCGTTCGGGTCATTTTTTCACCTTGGAATGTATCGAACAAAATGAAAATATCTTCTGCGTTCATATGCAGAATAAGTACGCTAACGCCTTCATTTAGTATTATGATACACAGCAGTGTAAGTAAGAGTGAGAGTGGTAGCGTATTTAATTCTGCATATACATACTTTCGTGATAAGTATCCTTCTTTCACCCTCTTTGTTTATCAATAGTTGAGCCTTATTTAATAGATGAAACATTTTATAATACACTGTCGTTTCTTTTATAGGCAATAAATAATTTTGTCGTATTGATACAACAATGGCAGAAATCATTATGAAATTAAATTTTCTTTTAATTGGAGAGCAGTATGAACCCAATTTTATTCGTATGGTTTCCATCGATTCTTTGTAATACTTCAAATTTACATATGTAAAACAAAGTCGTCATTATGCAAAAATCGAAACCATATACGAAACAAAGTTATACGGGTAAAATTAAATTTATGGTGAAACTTCGATATATATGCGAGCAGCGCATTAGACTTATAGTATGTCTAATTCTCTTGCTATTTATTTTACTTCATATTCTTCAAAATGGATTGTTTTTAATGAAACATTTTACAGAAGATGAAAATCAAAATAATATGATAAAGCTTGATATGAAAACATGGCAAAGTCTTACGAGTAATCAATCTCATAGAAAAGTTCCTCGATACATACATCAAATTTGGATTTCATCAAGAACTAATGAAAAAATTTATGATAACTTTCGGATAGCGGCCAATGCTTGCATTGAATTACATCCAAAATATACTTATAAATTATGGACTGATAAAGAAATTTTAGTTTTATTAAAAACTCATTATTCATGGTTTTTACCGACTTATGAAAAATACGGATATGATATGCAACGAGTCGATGCTATGAAATATGTATTACTATTTCATTTTGGTGGAATTTATATTGATCTTGATATAAAATGTAAAATTCCAGATTTAATAACTTCTATGTTACCTACAGATAAACGAAATTTCGAACCCGATATTATATTTCATATGGGTGCAGAAGGTATTTCAGCAAATACAGATATAATGGCAGCAAAGCAATTTCATCCTTTTTTTAAATTAGCTATTAGTCAACTTAAAAATGCAAATCGTTGGTTTTATTTATATCATTTAACTATTATTCTTAGCGCTGGCCCTACGTTTCTCTATGGTATTTATCAGCAATTTCCATTAAAAGATATGTTCTATTATGTACCAAATAATCTATTATATGGAAAACTAATCGAAGGTGTTGGCGGAGGAACATGGTATGGTTACGATAGTGAATTTTTAATACGACTGATGGATAATAAAATTTGGTCAAGTTTCCTAATGTGTGTTTCAATTATTATTTTGTTTTTAGTTTGGAAAGTTTCTCAAAAAAAATTCTACTAGTAAAGCTGAATTGTTAAATTTAATTGTACAGTTCGTTCTATTCGTGTGCTTTTTTCAAATTCATATCTGTTGTGCTTACAAAATCGCGCAAAAATATTTTTGAACACTTTTCGTAGTTGACAGTTAAAAATAGAAAAATTATTACTAATAATTGTGATGAAGACAATACAAGCTCGTGAATATTTCGACATATATGTTGAAAACAAAAAAGAATATTATATCTATACATATTCTATCATATGCGCATTTATTTATACGCCAATTAACGCATATTTACTTTCATACTATATAAAGATACATACTTATACATACTCGTACTTCATTGCTGTCATTATTTGTTGCTTATCAACGTTAGCAAGTCATATTTATTGGTCTTTGTAAATATAACTTGACAGTTTTGAGACAAAAGAAAACAAATATGTAAAATATTTACGTAGTATTCAACAGTCGGTCTATATGTGAAATACTTTATTATTAAAACTGATGATTATTCATTTTGTTCGAAATTATCGTATACTACATGATTGCAAGAATCGAAAGAATCCACAGCGACATTTGAACACAAATTGAAGGGTAATTTGCGCATGGATATTAAAACTTTGCCTGCTTGTTTTTGTAATTGCATAGAAATCATGGCTATAGAAATTTATGAAAGCCACATGAAATGCATGATCCATGACTAAAAATAAAGAAAAAGAAAGATTTTTATTATATATGAGCGTAACCATACGTATATTTATATAAAGAAAACTAGTTTTATTTCATTCGAAGCATTTACTAGTGATAGAGAGTATTGATACTGTCTCTTTTATTAATTTTCAAAATGTAAGGATAGCATGGTCTTTTTTTTTGGTATTAATAATTGATTTCAAGATGGTATTTTAAGAAGACGAGCTCTTGACAATTTAGAATATTTGTCTTGACAAAACTAAGCATAAACGGTCATGAATTTCGAAAAAACTTCTTATATACACAAATGCAATTTTCTTCTTTTCGTTTTGTTTAGTTTCAACGATGACCGATGAAGAGCAAGAATTTGCACCATTTAATAAAATCCAAGGAGTCGCTTCGACTAATGTAGTGGCATATTCTAATGAATATGATGATTTCATTTCTTTTGAAGGATCCTATGTTCATGGAATATTTACTGGTTTCAAATGGCAGTGTGTTGAGTTCGCTCGTCGATGGCTATTATTATGTAAAAGTTGTATCTTTCAGAGTATTAGGACTGCTGCTGATATGTGGCATAAACTGTCATTTGTAGAACGCGTTACAGATGGTCAAAAGTTTCATTTAAAAAAATATTCAAATGGATCACCATATAAACCAACATGCGATACTTTTCTTATATATTCTGCTAGTATCCAAGCTCCATACGGACATATAGCAGTCATATGTGAAGTTCAGGAAAGTTTCATTCGCGTAATTGAGCAGAACTTTCGATTCCATATTTGGTCAAATAATTATTCTCGACAAGTTCCATTGGTGTTTCGAGATGGTCTTTATTATATTGAAGATTATTTAAATATTTATGGATGGATGGGAATTGAAAACAATGATCAATTAAGATCATTGAATAAATCAAATGTAAATTTGATTCTTGAAAAATATCGACAACCGAAAGAAATCAGCGGATTAAATCGCTGTATTGCTCCTCATAAAGTCTTCGATGATATGTCTGTGTTGTACTCGATGGATATTAATAACCAAAACGAAAAATGTTCTATGAAGTTCAATGGCAACGATCGTTGTTATTATCAAGCCAATGATGATTTTTTTATTAATATCAGCTCGATTTCAAATGAATTATATTCATTATTTATACAAGTTACAGATAATATTATTCATGATGATGAGATTTTAAGAGATCTTGAAATACCAAATCAATTCTGGCTTCGAATTCGTAAATCCTGGATAGATGAACGTGAATTTGATGTAATAGATCATATGGAATTCAAACTTGACGAAAAAAACTTGAAATTGTGCAAATATAAAGTTAATCCTGCATTGATGATTTTTCATTCTGCAGTTCTGCAAGAAAAATCAATTCAAACTATGAACATCGCTTATGATTTTACATCGACTTTTCAATTACATCATCTTCTAGTGAGATATTGGAAAAAACTAGATATAAAAAATACTATTCATATATTAATTGATAGTGACGACGAGCTTAAGGAGAGTATTATTTATATGCAAACGGTAATGATAGAAGCTGGTATTAATGTAAAAATATGCCTATTGTCGAATGAACTTCATTGGAAAAACTCCACAATTGTAGATAGTGACGGTGAAATTGTGAAAATTGTTTGGAAATTATGCATTTGGGAAAAGATCTTTCAAGATTTTACAGGTCAATATGATGCCAATAAGAAAAAAGATTGCTGGACACCAGCCCATAAAGAACATCCATGTTTAAGTGATATTTTACTAAATGAACAAATTAGAATCATTGAACCTTTATGGAAATCAATCACAAATCATACTGCATTTTTATCGATTCTATCTAGAAAGTTTCCAAATCATCCTAATATTGTGTCAAGTGAATGGATTCCATCTAAAGATTCAAAATATACTCCGTTAGTCAACTGGTCAACGGAAAAAAAGAATAACGATATCATTCAATCGTATAATGCGACGAAGACTTTTGATTATCGGCATATGTGTGAGGAAATAATATCGGAAAAAAATTGTGAAAACTCAGATAAAACTATTGTCAGTTTGATGATTCATGGTGTTTGTGCTGGTTTCGGTATAATTGAAGAACCCAATCATATTATGGACGCAAAGAATAATAAACTGTACTGTTGTATGATTTAAAACGAATAGTTTTTGTTTGATTGTAAATCTGTATATTTATATATATATATAAACTGACAACATTTCACTGATCTACCTGTATAGTGTGTGACCATTAGCATAAAAAGCAGAAGCATATGAGAAAACTCGCTCCTCTGGTGCCGATGATGCTTGAACGGGAAAATGCGTATAACCAGTGTTTTCGAAATACTGAAACAAGAATTTAACCAATATTCAGAAAATCGCGATCTCACAGGATCATTAATATGTGCTTCTAATTCGTTAGCAGCATCCATTGATGTTGAGTCATTTGATTCATCATTATTATCATCATTATAATTGAACAACTTTCTTCGTTTGGTTTTGGCGTTGAAGATGAAAATGTTACCGACGATAATGATGATGATGACAATGATGAAAACCTTTGATCAGTTCCTAAATATATAAAAACAACAATCTCAAATCAATAAAAAACAGTGATGTCCTTGTAAAGACCATTCTCAAATACATAGCGAGACTGTCTTGATATTTATAGTCATCAATTTAAATAAAAAAATGTTTACATCAAAGTACATAGAATGAAAACGCTAAATATACAGCTATCAGATAGATCTTCAGTATATTGGCATTTACATATCTTCAAATAAGTACTTGTGGACTTAGTAAAATCACTCACGTACAAAATGTACTTAGTACCAGTACGAAAGTACATTTTATACTGAGTAAGTTGACTAAGTAAAAGTCCAAAGTACATTTCTGTAGTAAAAGTATTCGTACTTTTACTTGTCCAGTGTCTGACCGTATCAAATCAACTACTGCAAAGAACTCTACCATAGGATTTTTAAATATTCATTCAGAATTTGAATTATAGCTGGGCTGTTTTTTGGTTTTGTTTTATATCCGTTAGGCAAAAATTTGCTTAAACTATTGTGAACGACGTCTCTTCGAATCAACTTAAGTCATCGTACTACTTCTGTCGTTATCTCTGAGACAATTGATATAATTGGAAAGGATAATGTTAAACTTAAACACAAAGATTAAGATTTGGAAGCTAACTGGCACTGAAACACAAATCATTATAAAGACTTTTCATGAAATATTTCATTAGATGTTAAAAGCTGATTGCGTAGAATTGCAGTTATTTTAATGACTACTTCATGCTACTAAACTTTGAACTAAAGAAAAATATTTTTGATGTTTCTCTATTTTTATATCCGGAAATGAATAGTTGAAAAAGAACTTAATTCTCTTGCAACAGTATGTTTGTCTTGTTTACAACATAAATTTGAATCATTCGAAGACCTTGGTAAACAAGACCAAATGGCTAAGAATGCTCTTGTAAAATTGGCCAATGAAACTAAGACAGACCGCTTGGATGGCATCAGTGTCGATCTTTTTGGTTTGACATTGACCGGAAAATCAACTGTGCTTAATGCTCTTCTTGGTCAATCAGTATCTACAGGTGTAGGCGAAACCACAACAGAAATCAAAGCATACAAAGGCACTAATAAATTAAAACTTATTTGCCCTATGTCACTTCGGCATTATTCCAATCATAGTTAAATTTGACAGAAAATCAAGTCCTGATGAATATATAGAGTGAATATTATGAATAAATTATGTAGTATCATGTGAGAATAGATTTTTCTTTATTATGCGAAGAGTAAATGTGCGCTTTAGTTACTCGCTTTCAGAATAGTTAATTACCAATTAAATACACAAAATATACTTGTCTTATGTAAATGACCAAACATCATTTAAGTCGTTTTATTTATCTTAGTTAGTTCAATTATGATAAGAACCTTTCAAGAATTGCTGTTCATTCTGATTCGCAAAGTCATTGTGCCAACGAAAAATCGGTTTCCTCCGAAATTTATTTCCTATCGAAGTTTTATTTTTGAGATTGTTTCGTTATTTCAAATTAATATAGATAACATAAAAGTATTTATTCTGCAAAAGCGAAAAAAAATGGGTGCGCAATAAAGTCAATAGGTCATGTCATTCGTTTGTCTTCATCATAAAGTATGTTCTTTCATTGTTTGCTTCTCGATGGTAATCTGTTTTCTTTAACAGCCATTCCAAGTAGATACAAAGTATCGGGAAATTTAGTGGAAAATATGCTCTATGTGTAATTAGACATGAAAGATTTGTTAGAAATTTGTGGTTCAAATTGAGTTAAAAGTTTACTTCGATCTTTGTCATAAAATTCATCAATGAGAAAATTAGGTTCCGGTTTCAGTTGAACACAACTCTCATTCCAATTTATGATATGCTCAGTCGTTAACCATTTAGATTGCTCTGTAATATTTCCATTGATCCATTCATTTGATGATAAATCAAGAATCGAGATGTCAGCTCAGTATTCAAATGACCATTGAGTAGTTAATTTGGCGACTACTTGTTTCAATGGATAAGTCACTATTTGATTATTTTGCTGGTAGGAAAATTCTGATATAATACAAAACTTGAGATGCCTTTCATTGACGTCATAGATAGAAAAAAAAGTCGTGTTATGAATCCAAAAATAGGATCTTTCTTAATGACATAACTGTGAAGAAAATTGTCTAGATAAGGAATAATATTCACCGTTACCACTAGAATGAGCAGTATTGAACTGATAGTTAATATAATAATTTTGTCGTATAAACCTGATTTGCAAGCATATACACAGAAGATAAATAAGCTATTTTCCCCTATCATATTGCTTGTGTTGCTGTATATATATATAGCGACTGATTGGACCGGGATTTGTGTCAGTACTTATTGATAATGAGATAGAATGAAAATGAAAATACTTTACAAAAATAAGATATTTGAATATTGTCGTTTTCATTCAGTAAGATTTTTGCAATCAATAAAGCACTCATCAAGGTAAGAGTGAAGTTCTATGATAGCTTTAGAAATCTTACACGTATTAATTGATTTAAAAAAAATATTAAACCACTTCAATCACTTCAGAATATGAATGACTACGATCAATTAACAAAAAAAATACATGGCTTAATTTCACTTGTGAATACTTTCACAGTACGATTCAAAAGTATATCTTTGTTTCTGATAGTTTCTTTATCATAGATGAAACAACTCTAGCTTTGCAAAAGTCAGTACTAGTGTCGAATCACCATGTGTTGCATATTTGTTTTCTTATGCATACGGTTTTCACGTTCCGTTAAAGCAAAAAAGTATTTTACACAAGTTTCGGTGATAAAAAACAGTAGATCAAAGAAGCTAGAACCCTAATCGGTTTCATTTGCGTTTGTGAGTCATTACAACATGTGATGAATTTTTATAAAAAAACCTAAAAAATATTTTATAAAACCTTTAGGTAGAGCAGTGGATATAATTGAGTATAAAAATGAGTAAATAACTGCTACAAAATACATTAGTATTTTATCAAAATTTCGAGCTTTCGGTGAGTACTCCCGTCATCATCAGGAAATGACATAACTAGAGAGAATGAGCTATTTATATACATATGAAAAGAAAAGAAACAGAATAAATAGATTGAAAGAAAAAAAATAAAAAGGTGCTAATTAGCTTGACGCATTCGTCAATATATAAATATAATTAATAGGCAACAAAAAATCTGTTCAAACTTACGCATTGACGAATACATCAAGCTAATTAGCACCTTCTTATGTTTTTTTTCTTTCAATCTATTTATTCTATTTCCTTTCTTTTCATATGTATATAAATAACTCATTCTCTCTAGCTATGTCATTTCCTGATGATGGTGGGAGTTGTGCCGATATTGATGGCACGCTTCGATATTTCTCCTTCCTGCTCTTTCTGCTCTCTTTCCTATATATACGTGTTATGTATGAAGTTGGAACACTCTGGAGATGGCAGATGACACAATACACAATCATGCCGACGGGCATAGGCGACACTCTCTAGTTTTGTCGTTACACTCTGGATGCTTGAAGTAGCCTAATAAACATCTTTGCTGAGAGTGGCACAAGCTACTCTAATCAAGTTGTTCGTTACAGGAGTACTCACCGAAAGCTCGAAATTTTGATCATATTTAATAAATTTGAATTTTGATAAAATTCTAGGATTAAAAACTAACTCCTTGCTATAGTTAGAATCTCAAAACAACTTTTATACAAACTTAAAAGTGATTTAGAATATTTTTTTTTCAAGATTGCTAAGAATCGTTCTTTTTGTTTACAAAAAGATCCAGATCAAAATGAGGATAAAAATACCAGTAAATTCTTCAGTTGTCAGAATTATGTTGTGTTCTGAACAAAAAACACCATGACATATTGAAGAATCCTTCAATTTATTTTTATTAAGATTTTGCTCAATATTTTTATTGAAATTCTATTATGATCTATAGATTTTCAAATCTTGAAAGGATCATGATCTTAATCAAGCTAAAAACGAGACGAAACCGTTTCACTCATTCTTGCTAGGTTCCTGATAGGAACCTGAAAATAAAATTTGAAATAGGCTATAGACACAAACCTGGAAAGATCTTAACTGGCTCTTTGTATTTTCTTATCAAGATCCTGGTCATACTTGTATCCTTTTTAAGCATTCGAAATACCTGATCTTGAGCAGTTCCTCTCAGGAACCTGATAGAAGTTTGTCAGGATTTCTTAGCTGAGTATTCTGAATAATCATGTTCTATTCTTGGTATAATTCTCCTCTGATATAATTCTAACTTTTGACAGGATCGTTCTATCAAGATCCAGCACGGATCTTCACTTAAACGTAATGAAATCTTGGCGAAATTCTCTTTATAATTTTTGTCAGGTTCCTGAATAGGATTACCAGTGTATCTTAGGAGGATCCTGTAAACTCAATTCAGAAAAAAATCCGAACAAGAATCTGAACAAATTCTGGATGGCTTCTAAATCAAACCTGGCAGGATCCTTCAAGTCTATCCCAAGAAATGGGCATGACTGAGTGAACTAAGCAGTAACTTGTAAAGATCTTTGCTAAATCCTTACATTTTCTTATCAAGATTCTGATTAAGATTGATATTGTATTGCAAGGTTTGAAAACGCATATTCTTGAAAACATCTGAACAAGATCCTTATTGAAGCTTTCCAGGATTAGTCAGTTTTACATTGTGGCTGTTCTTGTTATTTTCTTGTCAAGATCCTTGAATGATGTGGCTATCAATCATAACAGGATCCTGATACAAAGATTTGACTAAGCCCTTAAGAGAACCTGATAAAATCTTGACAGAATCCTTTCTCAAAAACTTGAGAGGATCCTTGATAGGCTCTTGTTTCACCTTGAAAAATCCTGGAAACGAGAATTACTAGGATTCGAAACAGGATACTGAATAAAACTTGACAAGATCCTGAAAGATCCTTTCAGGGTTTCTCAAGGAATGAACAGGATTGAGACTAGGGTATGCTTCTGTTTCCTTAAACTCGGAAGCACTTTCTGTTGCACACATGATAGATTATTATCTTGACACCATTGTTCGAATTTTCATCATCACTGTCGTAAATAACTAAGTAAATTAGATGCATATTATGTTTTTACTTTCAATTGCTTTAAAAATAAAAACTGCACAAAAATGTTCTTTGGTGCAGAGTTTAGTATAGTTATCTTTATTGTTCCTTATAATGAACAATGCTTCGAAGTAAAACTTATTTTATGAAGTTAAGAAAAACGAAAAAAAAACGCACCATAGCTATTTAAAAAATTCAAAACAAACAATTTTTTAATATTTTAATTCAAATATCAATCAATATTCTGTTCTAAAAAAAACGAATTAAGTAAATTTAAAAAATTCTTGCTATAAGATCATTCATTCTATTTCGGATGGATGACTTAAAAGATTACAGTATGACGGTGACGAAAAAATACACAGATACGATTTTTTATTTTATGTATGTGATATATCGTTCTCATTTTCTATAAAAATAATACTTGTTATTGAGTCCTTATACTAATGGAAAAAATGTTAATTAATATTATTACACTGCGTATATGTACATTTATACCCTTCAAAGACAGATATATTTGTTTTTCTTAATTTTTTCAGTAACCAAATTTTTGAGTTTTTTCCCACTGTTAT